CGAGGAGACGGAGCTGAACGTGTGTCCGTTTATTAGGAGGAATAACATTAGCGTGCTTGGCTAAAGTGTTTGGGAAATGGAGACCGAAACTGGGGAACGGCGACTGAAACAGCAGGGGGCGCTGAAACAATATTAACCTTCAGTTTAGCGCTTTAGTTTTATTTCTCCTTTTAAATCAGTAACTGTAGCTAACGTTAGCTGTCTGGCTAACTAACGATTACCTTGATTACATGTTTGTTTCAGCTGTGTGCGTAAGGTCGGTTGCTAGGTAACAGACATGACAATTGATTGTCGACTTTGAGTGAGTTAAGATTTCCTAACTGGAGAAAAGATGCTGTAATAAGATTCCTAAATCAAGGTAAGATTTGCTTCCGTAATACTGATTTGAGAAAAATTTTAACTTAGGAAGTTTCTGTAAAACGGCCCTGACAAGCAGACAAACCTGACTTTTGCGAATGTGTTCAAAGAGAATTCAAAGAGAACTCAGTCTACACTTTCTGAAGGACACGTCTGAGGGTGAGTGAATTACCTACTATTATACAACAGTTAGTTCCAGCCACGCAAGCTGATTGGTTGAGAGGCGTTCTAACTGTGCTGTTATTTCACCATAACATCACTTTTTTTTTCCCCCTCCACAAAACACTACCACTCCGCTGAGACGCCATTACTAAGCAACGACTTTGACAGCTGTAGGAGCCATTTGAACGTTTTTACTTCTTACTTTGCCACAAACAGAAAATGGACACTTAAGATCACATTTGACCGACAGCCGATTTGGTCAGACTCTGAAGATGAGACGACACTAAATTCCCAAACTGTCATCACCACTGAGCAGCTTTTCAGTCGGCAGCTGAGACAGAAGAACAGCTAAACAACCTGGAATCAGCCAGAAATGAACCCAATACCATTCGCCAAACTAAATGGGCTGTAAGATGCTTTACAGACTGGCTGGAACAAAACAACATTAATACTGATCTGGCAAAAACTGACAAAACTGAGCTGAACCTGATATTGCGGCAGTTTTGTGGCTCAGTCTGATTTGGTCAGACTCTGAAGATCAGACCACACGTTTGGCGAATGGTATTGGGTCAATTTCCGGCTGATTCCAGGTTGTTTAGCTGCTGTTCTGTCTCAGCTGCCGACTGAAAAGCTGCTCAGTGGTGATGACAGTTTGGGAGTTTAGTGTGAGGAGCTGGAGAACGAACTGCTGGCTGTGCAGCGAGTGGGCGGAGCTCGTTACTCTGACATAACAACAAGCTGCTCGTTAAGGAACTATAATTTGGTGAAGGAACTGCGAACATTAAAACATTAAACGCCGCGTTCACGACCCAGTTTATTAATTTATTACTCGTTTTTTAACTGTTGTATAAAAGCAATAGAACACTCGAGGTCTCAAATCTAGTTGCAACCCTGCAAGATCCCCAATCTCTCTTCAAAGTCATCTAGTGCATAATTAGCATTAGACAAAGAAAAGTTGATCCTAAAAGCTTTTTAGGGTTAGTCCACATAATATCAGCTGAAGAGTGGGTTAAAACAGTCTCAATAAGCCACTGAAGGTGGAGAAAGCCATGTTTGTGCTCAGGCAAACTCACAGAAGCTCCATATGTGGACATTAATAGGTTCAGGACAGAGCATGAACATCTAAAACTGAAGGGGAAGCGCAAGCTGTTTGACGGACTCTGTACCTGGCGTTTTGCTGGGGGTTTTGGACAAGCTCAGCGACCGGTTGGCACTTTTGCTGGGTGACAAAGCGCCTGTGTGCGCTGAAGTGGACGTGCTGGCCTTCCTCTGCCACCTGGCCATCGGAGCGTTTGTTATCGGCATGTCCAGCTTCAGGACGCTGTGGATGTCATTCTCAAATCCAAAGTGGGACATGATGCACTGCAACGAGAAAAGGAGAGGTTAACAGCTTTAAAGAAGTTAAAGAAATTGGGCTCCTTTAGTTCAGCGCTGAAAGCCAACATTGCCAACACAATAGAAGTCAATAGTCACCAAAATCTTAGCTGTAAACATCAAAACGTCCGTGCCCAAATCTGTGACCTCACTTTTACACACTTACAAGGCGGTTCTTTAGTAAAGGCAATGGTTCAATTTAGAACAGTGAGCTCTATATAGAACCATTTGTATGCTTAAAAGGTTCTTTGCATGGTGAAATAGTTCTTCAGATTGATGGAGAATGTGCTGTATATGGTTCTATGTAGAACCTTTTTTGAAAGTGGTACTATATAGCACCAAAAGGGTTCTTTGATTGTTACAAGCTTGACCTCATAACAAAAGCAGAACATGTGCGCTATATGGAACCATTTGAATGGTTTCCAGAATTCATTGTTATCTAGACTGTCCGACATCCGTATTTGGTCAGTCTTCATACATGCATGTCTACACTGAACATAGTTGGAATAACATGTTAAGTTTCAGATGTTCTCTGTCGTGTGCTTTTAAAATTTCTTGCAACAATTTGGAAAAGTTGGTGGAACTCTCCTTTAGGTTAACTGTTCTCAAACCCACAGACTCCAAGCACGTGAACGCTCAGGCGAGCGGGTTAGTTAAAGGGGAATTCCACCAGCTTTTCAAAGTTTCTGCATATTTCAGTGTGTGAGATGTAAACAGAGTCACTCAGAGTGGTTTGGTGTGAAATTGTTCAGATGTCTTTACAGTGGTGGTGATAGGAACCAGGGGTCACCATGACTACAACACTAATAGACATTATTTACTATCCAAAACCACCAGTGAACCAAAACGAGTCTTCTGAGTTTATATGGAATGTTGATGATGGAAAAACAGTGCAAAATCTGAAATAAGTTTTCTTTGAGGACTGTTTTGCCTTACAATGTCCTGCATGCGTCCCTCCATCATGGATGGTTTAAAATAAATGCATTAACAATACGTATTAGGGCAAAACCTCATCACCTAAGTGCCCTTTCTATGAGAGGCGGACGTCTGGTTCCTATCACCACCACTGTGAACAATTTTGACTCTAATTTTCTCGAGAACTGCATTTCACACCAAACCACTCTCAATCTACACGAGTCTTCTGAGATTATATGGAATGTTGATGGGAAAATAATGGAAAATCAGAAATAATAACTAGCTTAGGTTTTCTTTGGCCTCACAACGCCCTGCATGTATCCCTGCAACATGAACGGATTTTAAGGCCAAAATCCTCAAAACTATCACAAAACGACGTCTCATACCAGACAGCCTCTTCATAACCACTTAGTGTTAGGTTAATAACCTTCTGTGAGGGAGCTTTTAGAGGTAGACGTCTGGTTCCTATCACCACCACTGTGAACAGTTCTGAGTCGCTAAGTTTCTCTAGAACAGAGCGTTTCACACCAAACCGCTCCAGCTAACTGACTTTGTTTACATCTCGACCATTTAATTATGTGGAACTTTTGAAAAAGTGGTGGAGTTGCCCTTTAACTAACGCGAAGTGGTTACAAATGATTACAAAAGCGGCTTTATATTGTCTCTAAACTCACCCCAAACGCCTTAAATCGCCCGGTGTATCAGCAGGAGGTGCTCCAGCAGCAGCTGTTGGGTAAAAAGCGGTTCGGGAGTCTGAAACCAAGTTTACAGTCCGCGCTGATTCTCTGATTCGCTGATTCTCTGATTCTCCGGCTCTTGCGGCTCCACTAACGGCACAAATCAGATCTGGTGCTGAGCTCTATGAGTGGTTTAAATGCCCGGACGCGCCGCCCTGATTGGTCAATTCAAACAGTTATTTTGCTCGTTGCCACGGCAGCTGCACAAAATCCCCGACGCTGATTGGTGGAGCTACGGGAGGCGGTCCTGTCTTTAAAGCGATGACGCAAGAACCGGCCTCCCCTTTCTTTCTCTACGGCTGTGCTCGTGTTAGAACTGAGCAGGGTTTGGCTGCCTCTAGTGGTCAAGTTGGATAATGCGGTTAGACCAGACTGAGCAATAAAAGTCTTTTCAGTAACGAAGGAAAAATAGTGGGCCCTTTTAGAGTAAATTAATTTAGACAACCGAAGATTTTTTTTTACCTGGAGTTTTGCACAGGTTGTCATTTTAGACACCAACAACAACAACAGCAGCAATAATAATAATAACAACAACAACAATAATAATAATAATAACAACAACAACAACAACAATAATATATAATATATAAGTAATATTATTATTATTATTAGTAGTAGTAGTAGTAGTAGTAGTAGTATTATCTAAAGTGACAACCTGTGCAAATGCCTGGTTTAAAAAAATAATTTGGTTAATCTTCGGCTGTCTAAACAAATAAGCCACATATTAAATAATAATAACATTTACAGCATTTAGCAGACGCTCTTATCCAGAGCGACTTAAAAAAGTGCTTTGTCTATCCAGAGAAAGTGTCTTTGCTGGTTACCAATAGGTTAGAGAGAAAGTCAGTCCTGAACTAAGATACTGCTAGAATCAGAAAGTCATTATTGACACCTAGAGAAAAAGGAACAGAGTTCAATACAATACAATACATACGTGCTGTACAATACTTTACAATCAATACTTAACTCAATGATAATAATAATAATAATAATAATAATAATAATAATAATATTTATTATTATTATTATTATTATTATTATTGTTGTTGTTGTTGTTGTTGTTACTTTTGTTTGTCGTTGTTGTTATTATTTACATTTTACATTTACTATTATATACATTTTGAGATTTTTAAATAATTCATAGTTGAAATACACTAATACAATCAATTCAGATGTATTGTCGCGAAATATAAAAAGTTCTCTTATATAGTACCGTTTCTTAAACACTCCGATCACAGAAACAAATATGCAGAAACTGGACACTAAACAGTCCTACTAACACGGTATAATTATAACTTTACAGTTTTTTCTTTTTTTAATAGAGTGAGAAAACCCTAAAGCGATGTGCCACAGACACTATCACACCGTTAAAGAGTATAAAACAGCTGCATGACCTGAAAAAAATATGGTACGCAAACGAATCGCGAGACTTTTATTTTGAAAAGTTTGGGTCGTTGTAGGGTGTTTGTGGTTGGAAACACGCTGGGTGGAGACTGACAAGAAATCTGGCTACAAGTCGGAACGAAACTCAGATTAATATTAATAATTACGAGCTTTTATCTTTATTTACCTCCGCACAACTGCAGCTCCGATGTTTTGTAGCCCTCGCAGCTCTTCGGTTTGTAGGTAAATACGGTCTTAATGATATTTAATGGATGTTTTTCCTTCCCAGTCTGGGTCCTGGAGCGAGTTCACTTCGGTGCAGTTGAAGCGCCGCAGCTGCTGCTGCTGTTTTGGTTGTGTGGATCAGTTTAATGTGGAGTCTGAGGAGTTTTTCACTTTTTAACACTCTTTCAGCGAGTTTAGAGGTTATACTTACTGCCCTCTTCACTCCCTGACTGCTTAAAACCCCTCATTTCTCCTGCTGCGTTTACCTGCTCAACCTCACCCCCCAGTTTACAGGTGAGTAACTCAACATCGACCTGACCACTTCACTAAAACCAGTCATTTAACTTACAGCTGAGCAGCGCGGAGCTACGGAGCCCCGCTGGTGACATCCTGTATAAATAAAAAATAATGCATGGCCACGACTTAGTAAGGCGTGGGAATGAGATGATTAAGTCGTGGCCACGACTTAGTAAAGCGTGGGAACCAGATCCTAATGCGTGGCCACGACTTAGTAAGCCGTGATCTCGTTCCCACGCTTTACTAAGTCGTGGCCACGCATTGGGATCTCGTTCCCACGCATTAATAAGGCGTGGCCACGTATTATTTTTATTTATACAGGATGTCACCAGTGGGACTCCGTACAGAGCTCCTAAGGTGGCATGGTGACTATTTTTAATAAGGCGTATTTTTAATTTGTGGCCACAAATTACTACATGCAAGTCATGAATTGATATATTAAGGCCACAATTTAATATATTACGACCACAATTTCTTATGTTGTGGATCACAAATTAACGTATTGAGGTGACAGTTTAATGTATGGTCACAAATTACTATATGGAGGGCACAAATTAATATATTGAGGCCACAAATAAATATATAGAAGAAATTAATTCGTATATTGAGGCCACAAATTACTACGTTGAGGCTTCAAATTAATATATTGAGATCACAAATTAATATATTGAGGCTTCAAATTAATATATTGAAGAAACAAATTGATATATTGAGGCCACAAATTATGATATTAATGCCACGAATAATGAGAAACCTAACTTGTGGCCTCAGTATAGTACTTCATGGCCTTATTTTATTAAAAAATAATCATGATGTCACCTTGGGGGCTCCGTAGAACAGGAAGACCTATATTGACTTGTGAAGTCAAATGAGCTCTGTCATGCTACTGCTAGCACAGAATAACGTACCCAGTGCCTAAATATGCTGCTGAAAACAGTGACATGTGTGGAATATCAATATTTTAGATAATTTGGCATGTAGTGAAGCACGGAAATACTAATGGAATTGTTATGGATCGCTTTTACTACAGAACAGCCGTCTAAATTTGTGGCTCACACAGAAAAATCCCTGAGAAAGTGAAGTTAGATGAGTTGGCAGAATGTGAGTAAAGCATATTCAGAGGTTTATTCAGATCTAAAGCTTATTTAGTTTGTTATGAGATGACTGTTTGTACAGAAATGTGTCAGATGCAGATCATAAGACCTTCTGCATGATGTTTATTAAACTCAAACACATTGGTTTTGTACTAGTTAGTCCTTTTTATGGCAGCAATAAAGATCCTGTTTATACAGGCTGATGTATTACCACCACATCCCTTGGCATAATAGTAATAATAATAAGTCCAAGCCTGTTAAATACCAGCCTTAACATCCTTGTTTCTACACTCATTGTCCATTTTATCAGCTCCACTGACCACATAGTTTCACTTTGTAGTTCTACAGTTACAGACTGTAGTCCATCTGTTTCTCTGCATACTTTGTTACCCTGTTCTTCAGTGGTCAGGACCCCCATGGACCCTCACAGAGCAGGTACTATTTGGGTGGTGGATCATTCTCAGCACTGCAGTAACACTGACGTGGTGGTGGTGTGTTAGTATGTGTTGTGCTGGTCTGAGTGGATCAGACACAGCAGTGCTGTTGGAGTTTTTAAACACTGTGTCCACTCACTGTCCACTCTATTAGACACTCCTACCTTGTCAGTCCACCTTGTAGATGTAAAGTCAGAGACGATAGCTCATCTGCTGCTGCACAGTTTGTGTTGGTCATCCTCTAGTCCTTCATCAGTGGTCACAGGACGCTGCCCACAGGACGCTGTTGACTGGATATTTTTGGTTGCTGGACTATTCTCAGTCCAGCAGCGACACTGAGGTGTTTAAAAACTCCAGCAGCACTGCTGTGTCTGATCCACTCAGACCAGCACAACACACACTAACACACCACCACCACGTCAGTGTTACTGCGGTGCTGCGAATGACCCTCCACCCAAATAACCAAGACCTGGCTGACTAGACAATTGCGTGAATATGTAATTGGTTCAGATTTATCCTCTCGATAACTTGAAACTGTGACTGAAAGGCTCTGTGTGTATTTACATTGTTTATATGGTTTGTTTTGTTGTTGGTTGTTTTAAAAACCTATTAGATGCAATAAAAGCTAATTTGTTTTCTGATTTTGTTGCCTTTTCTTCACAGAAGGCTTCCTGTACTGGATTTGGAGAATCCCTTCACTCAGGCACAAGCGGAATAGTCTGGAAGACTGTCAGCAATGTTTGGCAGGAAGAATAAACGAGCGGCGATGCCGAAAGGCCAAGGAGCTGCTGCAGCCAAACAGGTTGGTGGCATTTATTGTGAGTCCGTTTGGATCCTAAACCTGGAGCGAGTCAGTCAGTGACATGACGGCCTGGACATTTTGCTTATGTACACTAGAGCTGAACAGCACATTAGTGAATCAATAATGTGACATGGCTTAATACTGGCCTGCGTTATAGTAATAATAATCATAATATAATTAGAAAAAATATAACTGAAACAGTTGACTTATGTTGGATTACATGAATACTTTCATAATAATAATAGTAATAATAACAATAATAATCATCTTTGTGTGTGTGTATGTATATATATATATATATATATATATATATATATATATATGTATGTGTGTGTGTGTGTGTGTTTATGTATATATATGTGTGTGTGTGTGTGTACACACATATATACACACACACACACACACACACACACACACACACATCACTGCTGTCAGAAGAAAACCTGTATATCCAAAATGGTAACTTTACAGGAGAAGGAAAAAACCTACTTTACTTTTAATGTAAGTCAATGGAACCAGACGTTTTTCCAAGTCATTTTGGGCCGTTTATGTTGGTCCATTCATCATGAAATTTACACACACATATATATATACACACAGACACACACACACACACACATATATATATATATATATATATGTGTGTGTGTGTGTGTGTGTGTCTGTGTGTATATATATATATGTGTGTGTATATGCATGTATGTATTACTATTCATGCTGGTGGCAGCTCAAAGTTTTGATACAGACAGATTATGAATACTAATTTAAAATGATGAAAAAAAAAACATATATATCAAGAGCCATAGAGTTTTAATGAAGCACTGAGTTAAAGAGCTGCATTTTCAGATGTTTATTAAAAGTGAGCTCTGAGCTTGACTGCCTAATAAAAGCTGAACTGAGCTCCACAGTTTAGAAGCAGAATAACTGAACGAGTCTCTCCATGTTTTCTATATTTTACAGAAGGTGTTTGTAGAAGCTCAGTATCGGCATAGATAGATCATAAACAGACAGACATTCTGTGATGTAAGCGGTGCTTTAGGGTCTTTTAGAGCTTTAAAACCAGTAGCTGAACCTTAAAATCTACCCTGAACGATACAGACAGTGCAGTTCTTTTAAAACGGGAGTGATCCGATCAGACAACCACAGAAACTCATCTGGAAGAACCCATATTCCTGTTACTGCTCACTGATAAGTGATGAACGTAAATAGAGATGGACACGCCCGCTTATGCAGCTTTAACATGGTGCCTTTATATTGTTTTTCATGAAGTCCACTAAAGTATTTTGGAATCGTGGGAATAGACCTGTGCTGGTAGTTCAGTGTTCAGATGATAACTGCACTAAATCTGGATATGAAACCTCCAGAATCTGGTTTTCCACCAGTTTTCCTCTATATATATATATTGATATATTGAGAGATTGATTTTTGCTGTGATATATATATATTGATTAAATTCAGATTGGTAAACCAATCATGAGGCAAGGAAACTTTATTTATAGAGCACCTTTCATACACTGTGGTCACTCAAAGTGCTTTACGAAAAGAGACAACAGAGATATTTCAAATTATAATTCATTATAATTTTATAATTCAAAACAGAATAGAATAGAAATTCGAAACATGATTAAAACTTGACTAAAACAACAGATTTGAAAAGAGAAGAATAATTAAAATTAGAATAACTTAATAATAAGAGTTTTGTTACAGGATCTGAGAGCGCACTAACAGGAATGTGTTCAGGCTGATTTAAAGTGTCCCAGTGTCGGGGCTCTTCTAACGCTCTCTGTCCACTGGGTCCATTTATGAGCAGCATAGTATCTAAACGCTGCTTCTCCATGTTTAGTCTTCACCTTCAGCAGGGCTGACTGACCAGTTCCTAATGATCTGAGAGTTCTGCTCGGCTCATATCGCTGCAGTAGGTCAGATAAATACGCTGCTCCTGCACCATTAAGACATTTATAGAGCAGTAACTGTAATAAAGAAGCAGATATCCAGTAAAGCTTTGGGTCCTAGAAAAGCACCATATAAATGTTATGTATTATTATGATTATAAAGTTTATTGTTGTTGGTTTGTTTGTGGAACACATGGACAATAAGCGTCATTGTTTTCTATTTTGTTATGTATAAGGTGGATAATGTGAGAGTAGCAAAGCGTTTGCATCGCTGACAACATTCAGACCAACCGAAACAAAACAGCCCGATGTTCTACAGAGATGTTAGCAGCCTGAACTCAGTCAAGCGCAGAGTCAAAACAAACACTGACACTGTTCATGAATAGGTTTATAGAGGTGTGTTATTAGCACGGTATGAAAAGTAGTTTTAGTTAGTCTGTCAAAGGCCTTTGTTTTTATTTTTATTTTTCTGGAAGCCATAAGTTTTGCCCCACCACTTTTGGGGTTGTGGTGCAGCTCCTGATTCTGTAACAGCTACTAAAGCAATGAAAGGCCATACATTACTGCGATTTTATCAAGGACAAAGGTGTTCTGAGCTAAAACTCTCTTCCCTGTGATAAAATCGCCGTAACGCACTGCTGTTATAAAACGGCAGGCAACATAAAATCTGATAAAATACACAGTTTTTCATAGGGTAATTTAAGTTATTACTATTATTATTAATAATTGACATAAAGAAGTATTCCGCCAAGAAATGTAGTTCCATGCACCGCTGAATGAAGAGAAAGTTTGGTCGCCCATCGCTGTAAACTGCAGTCAGTTCATGAATTTTTAAACTTTTTGTCATGTAACAATGAACATATGATGTCACAGCACTGTTCAATGCAGAAACTTTCGCTTTAAAAGCACTTTTTGGTCACCAAATTATCACCGAGTCTTATTTAGCATCAATCCAGCGGCCCCTCTTCTCACACTGGGGCTGCATCTCAAACGGCTCCCTGCTCCCTACATAGTGCGCTACGTAGGAATTTATATACTGGATCCTGCAGCCCAACAGAGCAAAATACAGCTAAGAAACAGTCATTTGGGACACTATTTAGGGAGTACGGAGCCGTTTGGGATTCAGCCTGGGTTTGACGCGAAGTGCTTTAATTCAAGTCTGTGATATTAATGATGGAGCTGTTTAGGCTGTTGGCTCTTTTACCCTGTTAGCTAGCTGACCAGCCTGGTTCTAGTTAAGAACATAAGTTGTCAGCCCCTCAGTTTAAACAAAAAATGGGTTCTTACTTCATCAGTTCACTCTGTGCTCCATGCAAGCAGTATCAGAGTCAAAGATTATTTCATTAACAGCAGGGTTTTTCGTAGCGTGGTGCAGTGATACAGTTCAGTCGCTGTAAGGCATCATAGGTGTGCGTGTATCGTGGATTTTACAGCGTATATATATATATGCTGTTTTTATTATAGCCCCACAGTCTGTTATCAACAACGTTGACACAATAGTTTTAAGATGGGAAATTTTACCTAATAACATGGAGCACAGCCACAATTAACCGGCAGTCTGGTGCACTAAGTCAAGAGTTTAAGTCTCAAAATAGAAAAAAAATAAGCTGCTCAAAAAGGCCTAAACCTCAATTTATACCTCAATAATAAACAACAGCAATTTAAATTGTAATTGCGATATTGGTCAGAAAATCGTTCAGCCCTAGTTAAGCTAGCTGAGCTAAGATATGGTAAGATAATCCTTTATTAGTCCCACAATGGGGAAATTAACAGTGCTACAGTAGCAAAAGGGTTAGCAAGGCACTTAAGAAAAGAGTAACAAGAAGAGAATAAACAAGGTAAGGATATTTGACCTGAATTGTACATGGCGTGTTGATTTTGCTACATGTAGGAATGGTGATGAATTAACATTATAAGTGTTATAGTAGAAAAGCAAGAAAATCTTTAATATGTTTTTGTAATACAGCCCCTGCTTCCTGTCACCACCACTGTGATCAGTTCGGACTTTAAGTTTCTCTAGAACAGAGTGTTTCACACCAAACCACTCTGAATCACTCTGTTTACATCTTAACCACTTAATCATGCAGAAATTTAGAAATTTTGGTGGAAGGTGGAGTTCCCCTTTATCAACTCTGAGTGTCCATCAGAATAACCAGTACTCAGTTGCTAATGTAGTCCATAGTTGTGGTCTTCCTGTTAACACTGTCACTGTAACCTCGTCTTGCTGATGCCGTAGATGGGGTTGTTCCTTGATTTCAAGCCGGAGGATATGATGGAGATGAGCCAGGATGTGGACGATCCGGATTTGGAGGCTGAATTTGCTGCCATCGTTGGGAAAAAACCCACTGCTGCTGCTAGAGGAAAAAAAGCTGCCAAAGGTACGGTGCTCTAACCCATCAGTCAAAACAAAAAGGGGACCTCTAAAGGTGGGCAGTGCAGGACATGCACTTTATCACCGTACACTACACCGGTCAGGCATAACATTATGACCACCTCCTTGTTTCTACGCTCATTTTATCAGCTCCACTTACTATATAGGTGCACTTTGTAGTTCTGCTGGAGTTTTTTGTAGATGTAAAGTCAGAGACGATAGCTCATCTGCTGCTGCACAGTTCGTGTTGGTCATCCTCTAGTCCTTCGTCAGTGGTCACAGGACGCTGCCCACAGGACACGGTTGGCTGGATATTTTTGGTTGGTGGACTATTCTCAGTCCAGCAGTGACACTGAGGTGTTTAAAAACTCCAGCAGCACTGCTGTATCTGATCCACTCAGACCAGCACAACACACACTAACACACCACCACCATGTCAGTGTTACTGCAGTGCTGAGAATGATCCACCACCCAAATAGTACCTGCTCTGTGAGGGTCCATGGGGGTCCTGACCACTGAAGAACAGGGTAAAAGGGGGCTAACAAAGTATCAGAGAAACAGATGGACTACAGTCTGTAACTGTAGAACTACAAAGTGCACCTATACAGTAAGTGGAGCTGATAAAATGGACAGTGAACGTAGAAACAAGGAGGTGGTCATAATGTTATGCCTGATCGGTGTGTGTATCATAATTAGGGGAAGAACCGTTCATTCATTTTCATGGCTGATTCTGATTTCTTTAAAGCCCTGGGTTCACTACCTTAACAGATTATAGAAAGACTGGACATCTCACTCTATCAAACTGGTTTTTGTAGATTTTTTTGAAGTAAAATATTGGGATCACACACTAAACGATCAAACCATCACTGAGCTCATACAAACTCTCGCAAACTCCCGTTACTAGGAGACGCAAATAAACAGACATGGAGCTGCTGCTGCTGTTTTCTCTGCCGTTTGCGCTGAAACCGTAAAGAAGCAGCAGGTAAACGTGTTCAAGTGATGATCATGGATTTAAAAATGTGATTAGTTGGTATTTTAGAGTTTTAAATCTACGTAAACTCAGTTGTGCCTTAAACTCAGCTCGTTAGAAAGCTTCGCTCCACACCTGAAAGACTTTTCGCCATTTTGCTTTGTTTACTTGCTGTGTTTTCTTCGTTCGTGCTCTGTTTTCATTGGCTGTTGCAGGAATCTATTCAGATTGAGTCGTTGATCAGTTCACACTAGTTTACACTCAGAGTCGGGTTAAAGTAAATCAAACGTTTGATAAACTCTGACTGATCTGAAACGCGATCGGGAGGCCAAAAATCTGAGTCTGTGCCCCTCAAACACAACTCGACTCTTTCTCCAACTGTCGACTCCGACTGACCCAAAAATCTCCAGACTAGAGCCGACCAGCCCTGACTCGGCCAGACTGAGAATCAGGGCTAAAATCGGGGTAGAAGTCTTGTAGTGTAACACTGGCTTTAGCTGGGGTTACACTATATGGCTGAGTCTGTGCTGGTCGGCTCTACACTCTTAAAAAAGATCGTTCTTTAAGGGTTCTTTAATAAAGAAAATAGTTCTGTATAGAACCATGAACACGCAAAGAACCCTTCACATGATTAAAGGGTTCTTTGCATCATCAAAAGGTTCTTCAGATAGGTGGAGAATGTGTTGTGTTTGTGTTGTAGAAACCCATAAGGGGTTGATGTCATGCCTAATATTGAAATATGTGTGAATTATATGAAACTGATATTTTAAATTCTTAAAAAAATTAGATGTTGCCTGTTTCAGGCTGCACTATGTGTTTTGTGAAAACTGAAAGAAGTGTCATTACAGAGTGAGGAGAATAGAAACAGGCTAAAATATGGTGAGTGTGAGCTGCTGTGAGTCGCCCTGTAAAGCCTTTAAAGCTACGTTCACATTCCAAGCCTCGTTGCTCAAATCCGAATTTTTGCTCAAATCCGATCTCTCTGACTCGATGGTTCACACTCGTTTAGGTAAGTGACTCAAATCTGTCATTAATGTGACGAACCGGCGTCCTGAAAAGACCCTCATGCGTACATCCTACTTAGTAACGTCACGTGAATGAATCACGTTCATCATCAGCACAAACTAACGAGCAGAACGAGCTTCGCTGAGAAGGTAATTAACTCTGATCAGCTTCATTATTAGAGCGAGACGAAGGAGAAAAAGGTGAGGTGTTTTTTTTTCCACCGTTTACAGGCTTTAACTTCTGTTCGGCGTTGCTGCCATGGTAACGCTGAATGATGGTGCACGCGCAGTGGAAACAAAGCACATGAATTCCGATCACGACCATGACCACGAATCGGAATACGTATCCGATCTAGGACCACATATAAAAGTGGCTCAGGTCAGATTTGAAAAGATCAGATTTGCATGTCCACACAGCCCTGTAAACATCAGATCTGAGTCACATTAGGGCAAAAAAATCAGATTTGTGCCACTTCAGCCTGGTAATGTGAACGTAGCCTGTAAGTCAGAGCTGTCGGATCGAGTTTTTCACACCACGTCGTACGTCTTTACGTGTTGATCTCACACACGAAGACTCAAAAAGAAGGTCCGGCTGGACGTTAAGCTCTCAAATGATCTCAAAATCAACATCATACTGATGAAGATGTGATGACAGTAGTAGATAATTCACTCACATCCTCAGAGACGCGTCCTTCACCAAGTTTAGACTGAGTTCTCTTTGAATTCTCTTTCAATCAGCAGATTCATGCTTGGGGAAGGGAGCCAAAGCACAACCCATGCTACAAAATGTTCTTCCACACATTGCATGCAATTACATCTTTCCACCAGAGAGGTCTCCAAATCCCCAAATCTTACATAGTGCAGCTTTAAACAGCATGAATCAGTGACTGGATATTCACAGTGAGCTGTGTATAATTATGCTGCAGCGTTTTGGTTCAGGTGAGGCAGCAGCTTTTAGGTACAGTGCACTTACCTGCCTCGCCTTATTTACCTCACAAAACTGCAAGACAGATCAGACAAAAAGAAAACGATAAACGTACCGACTGTTGTCTGGACTGCATGTCTGGAGAAAAAATTCAGATTGAGCATCCTTAATCACATTATTTAGCTTTTCTGATGTAAGGAAAAAATGTAAAAAGCGAACTAAATGTACCAGCAGAGCAGTAGTGACGTGTCTTTTTGAACTATTTAAGAAAGAACAGGAGGAAGTAATGAATAAATCATTAAAATAAGATTTGGCTTCATTCAGTCAGCTACTTGTTATTATGCAGCTTAAACATTGACTGTACACTTCCTGTTGTTGTTTACAGGCTCTTTATAATTGGTCTAAATCTGTATTTTCATGATTCATGCATTTGTCAAGTGTTCCAGAAGTACTGATGATACACATTTATCACAATAACATATCATCATGTCCCGTTATCCGCCCCTAGCAGTTGTGTGTAAATACTAGTGTCACTGCTGAAATCCAGCTGTGGCACTCTGTTTAGTACCTAATGTCTCTTCTGTGATTAACATTACAGAAATGGGTGGTACTTTATTTGGAAAGTCCACTTTCGATGCTTTGTAGATACTTTATTTACTTTTGCGTTACATTCAACTAAATATCTACTAAATTGACTATAATTGTCTTTAACACTAAACCTGCTCTAATCCTAACCTTAACCTCAACCCCAAAATTAAGCCCAGCCCTCACCCTGGCCTAAATCCTAACCCCAACCCCAACCCCAACCCCACCTTCTTTGTGATAAAATCGCAGTGACTCACAGCCTCGAGTGACTTATTGCTTTTATAAACGGCGGCCAACATAAAATATATCAAAATACACAATGTTTTAGATAATTATTTAAGTTATTATTAATGATAATCGACATAAACAAGTATTCCGCCAAGAAATGTAGTTCCTTTAGAGTGCGGTATCGTTGCTAAGCAACCATTGACCGCTGAATGAGAAGAATGTTCGGTCGCTAATCGCTGTAAACTGCAGACATTTCATGATTTTTTTTAAAACTTTTTTTCGTATAACAGTGAAGATAACAGTGTTTTCACATATAGCTCGTTTTAAAAGAACCAAACCGAGTTCTGTTGAAGTGAACCTGGAAGGGAACCAACTGCAAGTGACCTCAGTTCTTTTTGTGTTCACAATGTAAGTGAACTCTAAAGAGGACTCTCTTTCTTTCTGGTCCATTGAGATCTCAGACCACTTCTTGTTCAGACCCCAACTCCATTAGAACTCGGACCCCTTTCACAGCACTCGCGGTGTGCACAGCGCTCGCCAAGTGGGCCGCGTTCTCTGATGTATCCGAGCTATCAGGTGACGAGAAGAACCACCAGACCCGCCTGCTGCTCTCCTGTTGGCCGCGCTGAAACGACTGGCCGAAGTCCATCGCGCAAAATTGGAAAAATGGCCCTGCGGGTCTGCCGCGGTGGGCTCCGTGTTCGGCTGTGCTCCTCACTGAGGCGAATTTCCATTCATTCAGCGTTCAGAGTGAAAGCAGCTGAAACTGCACTGTGTGACCAGCTCGAGCCTTTAACACAGTAAAATCACGCGGAGTCTCACATCTGATCGCTTTACTATGTCAGCGCTGCTGTCTGTCTCAGATCACAGACAGGCTTTATCCTGAGCAGAACCTCATAATGATCCTCGGTCTGTTTACCTGCTGAAGTGAAGACTGTGGCTGTGTGTGCGGCGAGCATCGAGGTCTTCACCATAAAGCAGAGCTAAAGCGGACTGAGGCCGTTTTGTTTTCACAATGCACAAATTAATCGAACCACAAAACGAACTACAAACGAACCGAACTGAGACCACCTCGAGAGTCCGGTTCGTTTTTGGGGCCATTTAGGGGGGTCTGAGTTCATTTGGCTATGACTCAGCGGTCTGAGTCCACTTCAGACGCTGAAACGGCCCAGGTGTGAAAACGCCCTAAGCAAACACAGCACTGTTTAATGCAGAGACTTTCTGTTTATAAGCCCTTTTTGGTCACTAAATTACCACCGCGAGTCTCATTTAGCACCATTCCAGCGGCGCCCTCTTCTCACACTGGGGCTGCATCTCAAACGGCTACCCTGCTCCCTACATAGTGCACTACATAGGAGTTTAAATACTGGATCCTGCTGCCCAGCAGAGCAAAATACAGCTAAAAATGGTCATTTGGGATTCATCCACATCCATACTCGACAGGCAGTGCAGTATCTGACAGCAGGAGCTAGAATTTCTAAACTTAATGTTACACAGGGAGCCGTTTGGGATTCGGCCTGGATTTGACGCGACTTCTGACTGAAACACGGACATTTGAAGCGTGTAAGACATTCTTTAGACTTCTATATTGCCGTTTTTCAGTGAATCATATCGTCAGTACTTTAATTCAAGCCTGTGATATTAATGTTGGAGTTGTTTAGCGTGTTGGCTTATTTAGCCTGTTAGCTAGCTGACCAGCCTGGTTTTAGTTAAGAACATAAGTTGTCAGCCCTTCAGTTTAACCAAAAAAACAGGTTCTTACTTCATCAGTGCGCTCTGTGCTCCGTATGATCAGCATTAGAGTCAAAGATTATTCTATTAACAGAAGAAGGTTTGTTTTTATAACATGTTATAATATCAATTTGAACATCTGTAGATAATCTGTAGGGGATTATAGAGGGCTGTCCAAATAAAGTGAGACCCAAAAAAGTTTTAATTCAAAGTAATTCTCATTCTACAGCTCCGTTACCGATGGAGGACATTGAGAAGATGACTGAAGCGTGCATGAAAGATATTGATGATGATGATGATGATGACGATAACCTGGAGGATGATGAAGATCTCTTGGTAATCTTTGCTTTACGTCATTGCTTTTGCCTGCTCGTGTGCTGTGATTATTGTGCACGCTGATATATCAGAAATGTGAAAATGATACGTCAGTCTGAAGTTACCGAGAGCTGTTTTGAAATCAGTTATAATAATAATAATCAGTAAATTACAATAACTTTAATGATTTTTGTTGCTTTATATACATTGACAACCTTTACCATCTAGATTTATCCATGAAGTTATTTGCCAAAAGGTATTTTTAGATGTTTCATTCAATATTTTAAGTATTGTTACATGACATATAATACACTGTAATTATCTGTTTGTACTATTTTGTTTGTTAAATTATCTGTCTTGAGATTTGATCTACTCCTTTGAAAAATGATAATTATTAATTTTATTAGAACATCATTCTTGATTTTTTACAGCTTTCTTAGTCATTTTAGAATCTTCTACAGCTCTGTTTATCATTCTGGACACGTCTAACGTTTCTACGTTTTTATTGACAGTAGTGTCCCACTGATTCTCTGAAAGCTGTGCAGTTAAATCACTTCATGCGCTTATCCACAAATTCGTATTATATAATTGCAAGTGATGTTTCCAAACTTTTGAACGGTAGTTTATGTGCTATTTTTATTGTGCTATTAATTTAATTTGCTAAAAAAATTCTCGGGCTAATGTTATAAATCAGAGATGTGGACTCGAGTCATATGACTTGGACTCGTGAATCGACTTTGTCTTGAACCCCAGTGACTCGGACTGACTCAGACTTGAGCCTCATGACTCGGAAAGGCTCGCGACTTGAACTGGAAAAAACGTGGAGAGTCTGTCTGCAGACGGGACTCAACACAGCCGGTTACTGTTCGCGTGAATGGGTTCGTTTCCTGCAGTAACTCTGATATACAGCAGCGTCGTCAGATGTCTGTTACGTTCGGCTTATTTTATTTCAGGAGACAAACAAAGCGCTTAAAATTCAAGTTCACCTCCACAAGCTGGAAACAAGCGAAGCATCAAGAATCCCAGCTCAGCTCTTAAACTCTTACTGGAGAAACTCACCAGCTAAACTGACCATTTTCCTCATGATAGCAAAACTAAAGAAACACAGCGTCTGTATGTGACCAATTTTAACAGCTTCTGCAGGTAAAACAAGCACAACGTTCACCGCGAGGCTGAAGCTGACTTGTTATTCGGCAGGTTCAGATTGAAATTTGTCGCTCCACCTTAAATGGTGCAGCAGTGAGGCGCCAGAATGTAACCACTGCACCATTTAAGGTGGAACGGAAAATTCGAATAAGAAGCTACTGGCGAAAATAGTTTGTAATTGGCTGAGCTGGTTTTAGAGATATAGTTTTATTTTAATGCTATGTGCCCAATGTTCCAACAAACCCTCCTAAATTATCTTATATAAACAAATATAGTTTTATTTTTTTAAGTTTTGTTTTTTTCAATAGCACTTTGGAAATTCTTTTCATATGTAGTTCACTGCTCTTTGTGTGTACCAGTATGTCGGTCGTGATTATTGATGTACCATGGATTTGGTATTTTTTTTTGGAAGGGTAAAAAAAAATAAATAACATATAAAATAAAAAAAAATAAAATAGACAGCCACACACTGCTAACATGCTGTCTTTAAAAGGCTGCATTACTCTTACCATCATTTTTGGTGTTCAGTGTTGAAATGGCATGCAGACTGACTTGTTTAGGACTCGAGGATCAGGACTTGGGACTTGACTTGAGACTCAACTGTTTTGACTCAGGACTAGAATCGAGACTCGACTGTCTTGAGTCAGGACTTGAGTGTCGAGACTTGAGACTCACTCACTTGCAATGTAGTGACCTTTTTCCACCTCTGTTAAAAATCCAACAAAAAGCTTTTTAGTATTTTATTGTGTATAGGTTATTGTAACAGCACCATTCCATTAATGAGACTGAGACTGAGACTGAGACTAAGACTAAGACTGAGACTGAGATATTTTTCATCTTGCACTATATATCATTATATTTTGCACTAGTATGTCTGTATATACCTGTATCTCATTGTGTTTATCTGTGTGTCTTTGACTGTTTATCTTTATTTTCTTTTATGTCCTTGCTGCCAATTCTAGAGTTGCTCAATGTAAACTGTTTTAAATAATGACAATAAAGATCTGTCTGTCTGTCTGTCTGTCTGTCTGTCTGTCTGTCTGTCTGCCTGCTGCCTGCCTGCCTGCCTGCCTGCTTGTCTATCTGTCTGCCTACCTACCACTGTGTAAATGGTCCCTTTAAAAAAACTTATTTTGAATTGTACCAAAATAAACAAGTTGAATGCACTGATGCTCTGAACAGTTTCCTTAATAGTAGTTCTCTGAGCGCTGTGATGTCAGAGGTTTGTGTTCTAATCCGCAAATATGTTGCTCTATATAATCAGGCTGAGCTGCAGGAAGTGGTGGGTGAGGAGGAAACAGAAGATTCGGGGGCAGAAACCCAAACCTCGCCCTGCGATGAAGAAACACCGATAGCTCAGCCGGCACAGCAGGTAACGTACATTCTATACGCTCTATACACTTTATACGCTGCATACACTCTATACGCTCTATATACTCTATACGTTCTATATACTGTATACGCTCTATACACCTTATACGCTGTATACGCTCTATTCACTCTATATACTCTATACGCTCTATGTACTGTATACACTCTATACACTTTATACGCTGTATACGCTCTATACACTCTATATGCTCTATACGCTCTATGTACTGTACATGCTCTATACACTTTATACACTCTATATACTCTATACACTCTATACGCTCTATATACTGTATACGCTCTATATACTCTATACGCTCTGTACACTCTGTACGCTATATACACTATACACTCTGTACGCTATATATACTCTATACGCTCTATATACTCTATGCTCTATACGCTCTATACACTTTATACGCTGTATACGCTCTATACACTCTATGCTCTATACGCTCTATGTACTGTACATGCTCTATACACTTTATACACTCTATATACTCTATACACTCTATACGCTCTATATACTGTATACGCTCTATATACTCTATACGCTCTGTACACTCTGTACGCTATATACACTATACACTCTGTACGCTATATATACTCTATACGCTCTATATACTCTACGCTCTATACACTTTATACGCTGTATACGCTCTATACACTATACGCTCTATACACTCTATACACTATATACTCTATACGCTCTATACACTTCATACGCTGTATACACTCTGTACACTCTGTACGCTCTATACACTATACACTCTATACGCTCTATACACTATATGCGCTGTATACACTCTATACTCTCTGTACACTCTATACGCTCTATATACTCTATACTTTCTATATGCTCTGTACACTCTATACGCTCCATACACTCTATATACTCTATACACTATACACTCTGTACACTCTATACGCTCCATACACTCTATATACTCTATACACTATACACTCTGTACACTCTATACGCTCCATACACTCTATATACTCTATACACTATACACTCTGTACACTCTATACGCTCCATACACTCTATATACTCTATACACTATACACTCTGTACACTCTATACGCTCCATACACTCTATATACTCTGTACACTATACACTCTGTACACTCTATACTTTCCATATGCTCTATACACTCTATACGCTCCATACACTCTGTAGACTCTATATGCTCTACCTCCTCTGAAAACAGAGCTGCACTCACAGTGTTCCTCACTTCCACAAGGAAAAAATATATCACATCAACACACTTTCGTCTTTCGGTTTACTGCTTTTGTCAGTAGTTGTGTTTGTGTAATATGTTTTGAAGACATCATATAAACCTCAGTTAATATGTTTATACAGAGACTTCAGCTGCATGCGGTTATGGTCTGAGTCTCTCGGTGGAGGAAGTGCAGTAGAGCTTTATGGCTCATTGACATATATGACTGTTTTCCCTGAAGGGGCGACTGACATGCTGTTTGAATGTAGGGAGAGGGAGAGATTGGCATGATTTGCAAGATTGGCAAGTCCCCAGAGATAACAAACAGGGCTTGTGGGTGGCACGTCTGCAGCCCCCACCCCCCTGTCATGTTTGGATGAAGTCACACATGGAGACAGCAACAGCAGATGGTGGGATGTACACCATTAATAATAATAATAATAATAATAATAATAAAATAATGACTAGAACTGTGCATTTGCTGTAGGAAACACAGAATGGTTGTGCAGCTTAAGTGGTTCCCATGTGCTGCTAGGTTGTTGCTAGGCTGGTTGCTATTATGTTGCTAAGTGGATGCTAGGCTGTTGCTGTGGGCTCACAGGTGGTTGCTATGTGGTTGCTATGGTGTTGCTAAGTTGGTGGTTGCTATGGTTGCCACTGCTACCTTAAATCATTACTACCTTAAATCCACTTCCACCTTAAATCTCCTGCTACCTTAAATCCAGTGCCACCTTAAATACACTGCTACCTAAAATCTCCTGCTACCTTAAAAGTATGTGTGTGTTGTGTGTGGTGTTCAGTGTGTTTGTGGAGTGTGTGGTGTGTTGAGTGTGCATGTTAGTGTGTTCGTATCATTGTGACACAATAAAGGTGCCAAAATGCACCTTTAAAAAAGCTTAACAGTAATAAAAGAAATTATGCATACTAACTTAAAATCATATAAGGAAATGACAGATCAAATAAAAAGTTAAGTACTAAAAGATAGTTTTAATTAAACGCTGAGTTAAAGAGCTGCGTTTTCAGATGTTTATTAAAAGTGAGCTCTGAGCTTGACCGTCTAATAAAAGGTGAACTGAGCTCCACAGTTTAGTAACAGAATAACTGAAAGAGTCTCTCCACATTTTCTGTATTTTACAGAAGATGTTTGCAGAAAGTCAGTATCTGCAGATCTGGAACATAAGACCATTTGATTTAAGACCATTTAGACCTTAAAAACTAGTAGCGGAACTTTCTAAACTAGTGCAGTTCTTTCTAAACAGAAGTGATTTTATTTCTCTTTTTAGTTTTTGCGTGATAACATAAGAAAATTCACTTAAACACACACACAAACACACACACACACACACACACACACACACACACACACACACACACATATATATATATGTGGGGCAAGAAAAGGCTGGCAAAGTTGTGTAATGCTTAAAAAAACACCTGGTGGTTGATTAAACAGATCAGCAACATAGACATGGGTATAAAAAAGCATCCCAGAGAGGCGGAGTCCTTCAAAAGTAAAGATGAAGAGGGGTTCACCACTCTGTGAAAGACTGCACTATCAAATAGTGCAACAATTCAAGAATAATGTTTCCCAACGTAAACTATAAACAGCGGAAGTCCCATATTAACAGCGTCCAGAAACGCTGCTGACTTCTCTGGGCTCAAGCTCATCTGAAATGGGACTGATGCTCAGTGGAAACATGTACTGTGGGCTGATGAGTCAAAGATTGAGATTGTTTATGGAAATAATAGATGATGTGTTCTCTGGGCCAAGGAAGAAAAGGACCATGCAGACCTGTTACCAGCATAAAGTACAAAATCTAGTGTGGTGTGGGTAACCTGCACATCTGTAAACTCACTATTAACACAACACATTTTGGAGCAAATGTTGCCTTTTAGATGCCGTCTTTTTCAGGGACATTCATGCTTATTTCAACATGACAACACCAAGAAACGTTCTACATGTGTTACAACAGCATGGCTGTGTAATCAGAGAGTGCAGGTGCTAGACTGACCTGCCTGCGGTCCAGAACTGTTTCCTACTGAAAACGTGTGTTATATTAAGCTTATGCAACAACAAAGACCCTGTATGGTTGCACAGCTGAAGACATGTATAACCAAAAGACTGCATCAGTTTTAAATATTTTCATTTTTGTACCGTTTTCAGTTTATTACAGGCCAAACAGGATTTACTAATCGCTGCTTTCTGTTTTTATCAGCATTTCACTTACTGTCCCAGCATTTTTGGAACTGGGTTTGTACTTTGCTGGTGCAATACTGTGATGCATATTGTGTGAAAATATGCTTCTCTGACATTTTCTAAGCACTAACTGCTATTATCTGCTAGAACTATACAGATTCAGATATTCATTAAGACTCAGAGAGGCTCTCAGAAAGGATCGTGTTACTGTGTTGTCACTGTAAATACAAGCTGACATGTTAATTCCAGCTCTCAGGCGACAGAGCAGGAAATACTTTGGTGAAAGTAAGCATTAGCTCCAAAGCCCTCATAACAAATGTGGTACTTGGTATTTTTATAATGCTAGTACTCCAGAGAATGCCTCCAGCTCTTCTATTGTTTCATGACCGTAACCTTCACCAGGAACCAGGGGGTTGCCGTTAATGCAAGTCCACATCCTGCCTGAATTTCAAGTTTGACAGCAAAGCAGGTAAATATCTGGAACAGAGCTGAGACTTCTGTGAGATTTTCAATTTCAGAATGAATGTACATTGACAGAAAACAATGAAGTTGATAAGATAAAGCATTTTATATCTTGTTTTTGTACTGTTCAAATACAGGTCAAAGTACATTCTTAAATCACTGCTTTCTAAATTAATTTGCATTTTACTTGCTGTCCTGTGAATTGAGTAGAAGTAGAAGTTTAATGTTAATGTGTTTAAAAACAAACTAGGAGAAAAACCAAACGAATGAGATAATAGCATTATAGGTCTACATCCAGCTGCTTGTTACTATGTGGCTTATATTGTCGTTTACAGGCTCTTAATAATTGGCCTAAATCTTTGTTCTGCGTCTTTGAAGTACTGATCATACAGTATATAGTCATAGAGGATTATCATATTGTAATTTATCAAAAATCAGCAGATTTTTGCTTTTTTTTTGAACTGAAGATTGGAAAACTCCTGTTTTTTTTTCTACTGTTTGTCAGAAATATTGCCCTAAAAGTGAGTAACTGATCTAATGGCTGTTTTGACTGGATGTAAAAGGTCAAAAAGGAATTTATTATCAGTGAGAGGGGTAAAAAAAGGCTTGCCAAAGTCTAACCAGATCAGGACGGCGATGAACAAAAATAGAAACAGTAAACGATAAGGGATGGTCAAACACATGTGTGGGTCAAAGCCAAAACAGCAATCAGATCAAGGCAAACAATACCAACTCCAAAGACACGAAACAGTAAACAAGGAAAAGGTCATAAACACAGGAATAACAGAGAGAATAGAACACTCAGTACGCAACGAGTGGAGTTGTCACAGGAGTAAATGAGATACAGGTGACAGCAGTTCAGTCGTCAGCTGACTTGGATGTGGGAAGTGGTTCATGTGAGTCCAGAGAATCATGGGAGTTGTAGTGTGTGGACTTGACAGAGGCCCGGAGGCGTGACAGGTGGTCTCTGGCTTTTGCACAGTGCTATGTGCAATGTTGGCTAATAAAAAAACACTGAGAATGTGAGTGTTTGTTTAGCCCACACAGTCTGAGCTTTGGATTAAAAAAGGCTGACACTGAATCAACTGCACTTAGGTTACTTCAAATGTGTACATGGTTTCCGTGCGCACATACGTACATATATGCATATATATACATAATGTACAACCCCAATTCCAAAAAAGTTGCAGAATATAAATAAAATAGGATGCACTGACATTCAAATAATGTAAACCATATTTTTAAAGGAAAATACTTCAAAGACAATCGTTCATCTCCAAATTTGGCTGTGAAGAAATTGAAATTGGAATTACCCTGAAAAATTCCTGAACTGTGCATCCATAATAAAAATAGCGTGTTGTCATATTGCCCTAGTTAGTGCTAAGACTTTACACTATATGCACTCTGACTTTTGGTGCTCATGCCTGAAATACTATCAGCGTGAGTACTGACCTTAGAGCCGGTTCTCAGGAAAGGCTGTGAGCACCTGGATGATTTCAAGATAAACAGCGATTGACAGACGAGAGATGAAACAGGTGATATAAGTTTGTATGAATACGCATGATGTAATGAGGTCTTCGGTTCTGCCCTTTCCGCAGGAAGTGAGGTCGTCCGCAGTAGCGGGCAGTGTCGAGCACACTCTGGAGGAGAGAATCTCCATGTACAGAACAGCCATAACCAACGCCAAGACTGCAGGAGAGTCATCTAAAGCCAGGAGATACGAGAGGGGGCTGAAGGTGGGTGGGCCCACACTGAAAATAGGGATGTAGTGAATCTAATTTATACAGAAGCTATAAATTATAAACTATAATTATGAATTCTATATAAAATAATGATGAATAATATCGTTCCTGTCGAGGCTAAAGGTTGTTTCTCTGATATGACAGATTTTTTGAAGAGGAACAGAAACGTTCATAACTTTAATTTACATTAATGTAACATTAGTGTAACAAGTGTAGTTTGAGGGAGAAAACAGCTCAATTTAAAGTTTAAACTTCATTATCAATATTAATTTAACTAGAATTTCATTCTGGTTATTAATTTTATTAAAATGACATTGTAGACGTTCATTTTATAAGAACTTTGTTATGAATATTCATTTTAATACAGTCTTTAACAGTATTAATTTTACTAGAACTTCGTTCTGGATATTAATTTTATTAGAGCTCAATTATCAATGTTAATTTTATTAGAAAGTCATTATCTATTAATTTTACTAGAACTTCATTCTGGATATTAATTTTATTAAAGCTTAATTCTGAATATTAATTTTATTAGAATTTCATTCTGGTTATTAATTCTAATGGAAAGTTATTATCAGTATTCATTTTACTAGAACATCTTTCTGGATATTGATTTTATTAGAATGTTATTCTGGATGCTAATTTCATCAAAACTTTATTCTGGATATTAATATTATTATAACTTTATTCGCGATATTAATTTTATTAGAACTCCGTCCTGGATAATAATTTTGATAGAAAGTCATTCTGGCTGATAATTTTCTTAGAACTTCATTCTGGATATTAATTTTATGAGAACTTCATTCTGGATGTTAATTATAATAGAACGTTTTATCCGTATTAATTTTATTAGAAAGTCATTATTAGTATTAATTTTTCATCCTGGATAATAATTTTAATATAAAGTCATTCTGGATGATAATTTTCTTAGAACTTCATTCTGGATATAAATTTTATTTTAATGACATTGTAGACATTAATTTTATGATGACTATTAATTTTATCAAAACATATAGTTCCATTCTTTCTCCTTTTTAAGTTTCAGACTAATTCTTTGAAAGCAGTTGTGCAGAACCATCATTTTATAATCATTTTATTCATTAGGTGTGAAACCTTTGAACAGAAGTGCATCATCATAGTTCTGATCTGATGCTACTTTGAGGTTCGATTAGTTTTCCTGTCTGTCTCCTGCAGACCCTGCAGAGCATGCTGTCATCCGTACGGAAAGGAGGGAAAATAAACGAAGCGGAGATTCCTCCTCCGGTCTCATGCGGGGCCCCTGGCGGCCCCCCTCGACCCCCGGCTCCAGCCGCAGGTACACCAACACCTGAGCTGGAGTCACCTGAGGAGCATGCAGAGTCAGACAGTGCTGTGGAAACCACTCCTGTTTCCATGGAGACCGCTTCCATTTCCATGGAGCCAGCAACCAGCAGTGAAGAACGGCCTTCCTGCACAGTGTCGCCAGAGGAGAAGCAGGGAGGAGGCGTCCCAGAATCACCTGCAGGTCAGTTCCACAGTCACCAGAACTGAGGCTTTAGGACTTCAACAGCTCTGTTAATCCGTGTTTAGTGACTCATAAAAGCGTGACGTCTATGATGAACAGCCAATCATGTGAAACGTGAGGAGCGGCTTATTGTTCAAAGACTGAAATAGAAATCAGACTCATTTAGAAAATAAAAGTGTTATAACAGTAAACATGGCACCAATTCTGCTGACATTGTATTTGGTGTTAATTATAATAATAATAATAATAATAATTGCTTTAGATTTTTCAGGTTCATATATAATTTCTTGTTCCTGCACGTTTTCACATAATTGGCAAACGCCATAAAGGGCTAGCTAAGTGGTTTCTGTGGCATTTGTTTTTATTTATTTATTTATTTATTTATTTTTTATATATTTTAATTACACAAGCACGCTAAAACTATTTAATAGCTGCTGACTTACAGAAATTGAAATGTTTATAGATAAATTGAACAACTCCACACGCTTTGAGGCGACTGTGTGATGATTTATAAAAATTATGATAATTGCATGATGCTTGTGAGCAGCATTAGCCTCATAGCTCCAAACTCTTTCTTTTGCAAAGAACCCAGCTGATTCAAATATCAGTTTTCAGAATTTCATATTTGACTTCTGGCTGATCCGTAGCTTTAAGCCAGGAGTCGCAATCCAAATCTTAAGAAGAGCCATTTTGTCCTTTAAACAAAAATCAAACCACTTTGGGAGTCACAACATTTTATGTCCATTTCACCATCTTGGCTGTAAATATGTCTCAGTATGTGCTGATGTTCTAGTATAGGATAAAAATATAATATAAACAAAAACACAGACTTAAAGCTCTGCTTTAAGCTTCAGCTCAGCTGTAGCTGCTTTTCTCACATCTCTGGCAGGAAACTTTTCCAAAAAAGGCTGAAGTCGCTTCTCATTCACCAGCTTCTTATTCGATTTTTCCCGCTCCACCTTAAATGGTGCCCGACGTGTTTGCTGCACCATTTAAGGTGGAATGGGATAATTGGAATGAGAAGCTGGCGAATGAGAAACTAAGTGCAGCTTTGTGACTTTTTAGTGTTTGTCAGTTTCTCGTTGCAGATTAAACGTATCAGGAAACCAGCTGGAGTGATTATAAACGCAAATAAGTCCATTCGTCTCCAAATGATCAATGTTTATCTTAAATCTCTCTCTTTGTTGTTTCTAGCTAGGCCAGATTGTCTGCGTTGCTATGGTGACCAGCAGTCGGCGCACCAACCTTTAGGGTTAAAGTGTGAATTAGCAGTTCTACATTAACTCCAGAGTTTAACACCATTTATTGTTAAACTGTGTTGAACGATCAGCAGAGCTTTATTTTACTGTAAAGGAGGATTATTTTATTTTTACCTACAAATCTAATTCAGCTGTGGAGACACAACAGGGCAGTAAAAGAGCCGGATGCAGCTCAGAATCCGACCCCTGCTTGTAGGAGAACTGAAATTTCTCCTAAATGTGCCTCTTTTTTTGGTAATTTAACTAGAATATTTCGCTAAGCTGTGACATTCTTCAGGATATTTGCTGAAAAGGTCCATTGTGGTTTGTTGGACAGCCCCTGCAGAGCCTCCTCTGAGACAGCCCACCAAGGAGATGCTGCTGGAGAGACAGAAGGAGTACAGAATGGCTGCTCTGAAGGCAAAGCAAGCTGGAGATATAGAACAAGCCAAAATGCACATCAAGGCTAGCAAGGTAAGAGGTTGAAGTGGCTTCTTTTGTCTTCTAAAGTAGCATGAAACGCTGGCTGTGTGTAGGGATACACAGTCGGAATTGGACAAGATTTGATTCGCCAGCTTTTTACCCCAAACATATGACCAGATTATCATTATACATGAGCCATTATGCTAAATAGTAATTACTTAAATAGGCAACTGGTTCATTTATGCATTTGAATGCCAGTTTGGCCTATTCAAAGAGCAAATAATGGAATTTATATTCTGACTTTGGCTGATAAAAAGTGTGGGAAATGCCATAGCTTGTTTCGTGTGTTTGTTTAGCCCACACAGTGGGAGATTTGGGTTATAAAATGCGAATAAAAATCAGCAAAAAAGTCATCAGTCCAAAAGAAATTGGAGTCAGCCATAAAAATTGTGAACTTTATTAACTTTATTAATTTTATTAAAAATGCAAGAATGTTTATTTGTACACTAGTTGTATTTATTGATGTAAATTTAAAACAGTGGCTTTTTTTAAAGTCTTTTAAAGGGCCCATACTGAAAAATTATAGTCCATATATTTACTCTTAAAAAATGGTTCTATATAGAACCATTGACACTCAAAGAATAATTTGTCTGATTAAAGGGTTCTTTGCATCATGAAAGGGTTCTTCAGATTGGTGGAGAATATGCTATAGATGGTTCTACATAGGTTCTTCTATTGGTGCCTGACATTGTAACAATAGAAGAATGCTTTTTGGTGCTATATAGAACCATATGCAACACATTTTTTGAAATGGTTCTATATAGCTTCCAAAAGGGTTCTTCCATTGTTATACATACAAGCTTGCAATAGAAGAACCCTTCTGGGTGCTATACAGAACCATTTTCAAAAAAGTTCTATATAGAACCGTCTATAGCACTTACAGTGTTCTTTAAGTGTTCATGGTTCTATATAGAACCATTTTCTTTACTAAAGAACCCTTGAAGCACCATCAGGCTGCAAAAATAGCCTGTTTTGAAATAACTGTTTTTGTAAGGTCACAAAAACCGACACATTAATATATCCACCTATTTAACACACAGCGGTTTAGCCCCGCCCACTTACACTGAAGTTATAATGAGTGTTTCAGCCCAGGCTGCTCTTTGATTGAGGCACAGCCAGTCAGTTTAGCGCCCCCAGACAAATGACGTTTTTGTTGATTTTCTGAGCGTAAATAAGTGAGCACATCCTCTACAGCAGGGGTGTCAACACTTTTTTCAAAGAGGGCCGGATTGTACTGCGTTAAAATACCTGAGGGCCGACATATAATTCACAAATGATTCAAAATATTAAGTTTTCAAAATATCAGCACATAGAATCTGAGCTTCCTGTGAGCTACTGTGTTTCCTATCACTGTATACAAGATGCATGAAGCTTATTTTATTGTTAGATTGTTCATTCAGAGCAGTTTGGATCGATAAGCGCTTATAATAAATAATTAAATTGTAATTAAGAGTAACAATACATCATGTCTAACATATTAATCATTTCCTATTGAAATGATTTTTACTTGTTGAAAAATATAATTTGTGACACAAACTAAACAGGTGATGTTCTTTACATACCAAATAAACGCAGTGTAGCCACATTTTTGTTCGACCTTAAAGGGTTAATATTTACTGAACTGCTGAATTTGCTCTGATAAAAAGTTTTCCATCTCACCAAAATCGGCAGTTTTCAGTGTTTAGTTTGAGCTTTATGTCTGTAGTCTAAATGTCATTCACTAAATGAAGCTACAGGTCTCGTCAGCTGCCACCATCAGGTGAAAGGGAGAACTGCAACATACTGGCTGGCGGGCCACTTAAAATACAGTGTAAAACAGAACTGAGGGCCAATTAAAATCTGTCCATGGGCCGCATTTGGCCCTGGGGCCGGACTTCGGACACGCTTCCTCTACAGAGAACACTCTACTGCACATTTTAATACACAATTACTGTCTAGGTACCACTAGAGTTAAACATATTGGCGGAAAAATAAAACATAAAATATGACAAGTTATGGCACGTTTTTATATTTTGTTTTTCTCCCAATATGTTGAATTAAATAAATAGAAACCAGCCAGACACTCGCAGTAAAAAACAAAAAAACACGAAATGAGGCTTTACTTGTAAAGGGTTTGAGAATGCTCGTAGTCAGAGTCAGTGGTCAAATCCAAAGAAGGCCAAAATGCAGAGAACGACAAGCAAAATATCAGGCAACCAGATCTAAAAGGGCAAAAACGAAAAGGTAGTCAGGAAGTCCAAAAATATGGTCAGGAAGGCGTGAAGGCAGTGTAACACACAGTAACGCTCAGTAGCTCTACACAGAGAAACAATACCTCACAAAGAACCTGTACTAGAGCCCGGGCTTCAATACTAAACTAGATCTAGTCACATGATACACATATCAGGTGAGACATATTAGTACTCAGGGGCCACATTAAAGAAAATTCTTAAGTCTGGGATCATATCTTATCTGCTTTGTCGCCATGGCAACAGTTAAGACTGAAGTTAGGACGGAAGCAATTACAGAACAGTTCTTAAGTCTATAATCTTATTTCCAGAAAAGAAAACGGTTTTACAGAAACATCCTAAGTTGCCAAAATATCCTAAATATTTTTTTTAACTTTAAGATAAACCCCAGAACATCCTAACTTCTGTTTTAACCGCCTGTTTCTATTGTTTAATGCAGAAACAGGCAGCACAGTTTACTATAACCAGCATAATGAGGCTCCATTTATCTACACTGTAAACGGGGCTTTGACTCGTGAGGGTTTTTTAACAGTGTTTTAAAAACCCCCAGACGCTGCAGACTCGACCTCCACCGCCCCTCTGATGACCTTCATGTGTTAATGCTGATGATGAAATATTACAGTGATGGTGGTGAACAATGAGGAGACGGAGCTGAACGTGTGTCCGTTTATTAGGAGGAATAACGTTAGCGCGCTCGGCTAAAGCGTTTGGGAAATGGAGACTGAAACTGGAGACGGCGACTCTGATAAACAGCAGGGGGCGCTGACACAATATTAACCTTCAGTTTATCGCGCTTTAGTTTTGTTTGACCTTTTTAAATCAGTGACTGTAGCGAACGTTAGCTGTCTGGCTAACTAGCTTGATTACGTGTTTACGTTTCGTCTTTGCACGTATGGTCGGTTGCTAGGTAACAGACACGACAGTTGATTGTCGACTTCGATCGAGTAAGTTAGGATTTCCAGATCAGATTTGCTGCTGTAGTATGAATTTGTGAAAAATCGTATCTTGACCTGTGAGGTCGTAACTTAGGACAGAAAGATAGGAAGTTTCTGTAATGCAGCCCCAGGTAAACAGGAACGGTGATCGGTGGATTGTAGAGGTTTATCGGTCATGTGATCTCAGAGTTCTGGGAAATGGAGTGTTTGAGAATGTCAGAGCTGGAGGGACGCGTGACGCTGCAGTAGAATTTGCCGTATGAAAAATGCCACCTGTAGGTGGTTCTCTGTACAGAGGAGGAGCAGCTTCATGCTTTTGGATACGACTGTATGTACAGAAAAACAGACAGCCTGTTTTATTCTGAGGGAGAAAGAGAGGTTGTGTCAAATGATTGTGAGAAAAAGAGAACCCTCACCGCGCTGCCGGTGTGTTTGATCTAGTGGTTCAACTAGTTGATCTAGTTATTCACTGGGAAGCCAAGCTGTTGAGGTTAATTAAGGTCAGGTGTCAGATGAGATAAGGACACTTTGCTCGTCACGTATCCACAAACAGTCATTTTGCTGTTTTATTTAACACTGTTTACACATACTGACTTTTGGACCTGTGTCTAATATTTTATCATCTTTTTAAGCCCTAAAACCTTTGTGACATGGTTTCCCCTCCAATGGAGAATGACCCAAATACATTATCAGTTCCATAATTACATAATGTGTTACGTTTACATTCAGTATGAGCAGATTTGTGTCTGCTTTTCTGACTTAATTTTTTTTTGTCAAAAGCCACAAAACAGGACTGCACACACAAAATTAACACTTCACCAAATTCAAACCCCAGTAAAATATCTCCTCTTCTACTCACGAACACAAATGCATGGATTTAAAGTGTAGAACCTGCACTTTCCACATAATTTCTGAACTATGACTGATCTTTTGTGTCACCAGCGATAACTACAGAAGGGTAAATCACACTGTGGCTTCTTTAAAACAATGGAAATTAAACCACTGGTTTTGCATTTTACCCATTTACCAAACAGTCATTTTGCTGTTTTATTTAACACTGTTTACACATATGTGGGTCGTTCTCCATTTGGAGTGGGAATTCAGGTGGATACATTATTAAAAAATCTATTTTGTTCATCCCAAAACTAAGTAATCTTAATATGTTCATTAACGTCTCCTGTTATCTTAATTCCAAACTTATTTTACAGTCACTGGTGTTGTATGAATATAGTCTAACACCAGTGACGGTGACTCCAGTGAAGTTCTGGTTAAAAGTGAGGATTCTGTAAACTGGCTGACTCAGTGGCTGATGAGGTGACCTTGTGCAACTATTTAAAATCAGTCATAAAAATGATATAAATGGCATTATTTTAATAAAATTTTAATTACCCAGCCATTAAAGCACAAAACACTGGTGACACATAGGAGTTATGAGCTGCCTTTATTAATAAAGTAATGAAATATAGTGAGCGAGTGTGACTCGCCTTCTCATGCCTTGAGACGCTTCCTCTCTGATGAGCCTCGACCCAAAGAAGCAGTTTAATAGAGCTGAAAATACTGTTAAAATGTAAAATAAGAGTCCTGAAAACTCTCTGGTGATCAAAATCTCTGACAAATTATTTTTTTAAATAAAATCAATATTTTTTAAATGTAGTATAAAGATAATGATATAAAAAGTAAAACTGTTTTATACAAATTCCTGAGTTGAACCTTTCAAAATATTGTTTTATATTAAAAATTGTTGAAAATTGGTTTTGTGACAAGCTGTTTTACAGATGCAGAGCGATTAGGAAACAGGATAAACAAAGAAAGATCAGAGAATAATAAGGGAAAATGTGTTATTTAATCTTAGCTCAACTGTGTAAATGTACATACTGACTTTTGGAGCCGTGTCTAATATTTTATCATCTTTTTAAGCCCTAAAACCTCTGTGACATGGTTTCCCCTCCAATGGAGAATGACCCAAATACATTATCAGTTCCATAATTACATAATGTGTTATGTTTACATTCAGTATGAGCAGATTTGTGTCTGCTTTTCTGACTTAATTTTTTTTTTGCCAAAAGCCACAAAACAGGATTGCACACACAAAATTAACACTTCACCAAATTCAAACCCCAGTAAAATATCTCCTCTTCTACTCACGAACACAAATGCATGGATTTAAAGTGTAGAACCTGCACTTTCCACATAATTTCTGAACTATGACTGATCTTTTGTGTCACCAGCGATAACTACAGAAGGGTAAATCACACTGTGGCTTCTTTAAAACAATGGAAATTAAACCACTGGTTTTGCATTTTACCATTTACCTACCAGAGTCACACAAGCTTCTAATCTTGTAGTCTTTTTTTCCCCGCGGACTGACAGACTGACTGACCGAGAGCACAAATTGATCACATTATGTGAGGAATGTGAGTTCTGAACAGAGCAGTACTGTGTTTTCTGTGTTTTTCTGGTTCAGGGTTTTGACGCAGTGATTGAGGCGCTGGAGAAAGGACAGCCGGTCGATCTGAGCAGCCTCCCTCCATCACTGTCAGCAGGTAAAGACTAGGAGAGGAGCAAATGATCTCTGTGTGCAGAGATGTGCGTATTTTAGGTCATTTATTTAAGTAACGTTGGCGGTAAATACGTCTGAGTATGTGCTGATGTACCAGCACAGACTAAAAAATATAATAGACTGACTTTGCTTTAAGCTTTAGCTCAGCTGTAGCTGCTTTTCTCGCATCTCCGGCAGGAAATTTTTCCTCAAAAGTAGAACAGTTTCTTCTAAAATGTCTCTCAGCGTTCAACATTTTACGAGGCTGAAGTCGCTTCTCATTCGCCAGCTTCTTGTTTCTATTTTCCCGTTCCACCTTAAATGGTGCCAGAATGTAACTGCTGCACCATTTAAGGTGGAACGGGAAAATTCAAATGTAAAATAATTAATTTTAATAATGCAAGTAAGTCAATTCATCTCCAAATTATCAATGTTCATCTTAAATCTCTCTCTTTGCCGTTTCGTTAGCTACTAGCTAGGCGAGATTGTTGTCTGTGTTGCTATGGTGACCAGCAGTCTGCTCTGATCTTCAGGGTTAAAGGGTGAATCAGCAGTTCTACATTAACTCCAGAGTTTAAGACCATTTATTGTTAAACTGTGTTGAACGATCAGCAGAGCTTTATTTTACTGTAAAGGAGGATTATTTTATTTTTACCTACAAATCTAATCAATGATACCTACATTCTGTCTCTGTCTTTCTTCTGCAGCTGCTCCTGTAGTAAAGGAGGCGCCACCACAGCCAGCTGTAAAAGTCTCCCCAGCATCATCTGATGCTCAGGGTCAGTGCATTTCACACTTGAACTGTAGGCCTATTATTCAGTTATTATTCAGAAACTATTATTATTCAGTAACTACTATGAATTATTCACTATAAAACACTATAGTATAGGAAACACTATAAATGATTTAGTAAACACTATTATTATTCAGTAGACACTTAATTATTTGATATTTGTTATTAATTACTTAGTATCTACTATGAATTATTAAGTAAACGCTATTATTATTCAGTAAACATTAATAATTATTTAGTATCTACTATGAATTACTTAGTATCTACTATGAATTATTAAGTAAACATTATTATTATTCAGTAAACACTTAATTATTTAGTATCTACTATGAATTATTCAGTAAACACTATTAATTATTTAGTATCTACTATGAATTACTTGGTATCTACTATGAATTATTAAGTAAACACTATTAATTATTTAGTATCTACTATAAATTATTCAGTTACTTCGAAGTATTTAGTATCTGCTATAAATTATTCAGTATCTACTATGAGTTACTCAGTGTCTGCTATGGATTTTTCTGTAACTACTATGAATTATTCAGCATCTACTGTGAATTATTCAGCTACTTTGAGGTATTCAGCATCTGCTAAGAAGTATTCAGTAAATACTATGAATTATTGTGTAACTACTATGAAACTAACGTGTTAGTACTGTAGTTATGAGAGTGGAGCACCTGCATACAGACCCTTAAATGCTTTGAATATAAACAGTCTTGTAAGCTGATCTTGCAGTATTCACAAATATCTAATTTTGATATGAATGCAGTCGGATTTTGGGTGAATTCTTGACGCAACATGATTAAAGATAGGTCTGCATTATTCATTTTGACCAAAATTTGATCCAGAAAATATCTGTGATTGGACCGGATGCACACAATAAAGCATTTACTGATTCTCATTTGCATATTACACACTACAGTATCAGGATTGTGAAGGATCTTGTAATAATCATTAACAAACGGTATTATATTGTATATATTGACTTCTTTTGTTATTCCTCATGCTTTGGTCTCTCTGCAGCACCTGAAGCTCCTGTAAGCCAGTCTGGTCCAGTTCAGCCCAAAACGGTACTGGAAGCTTTGGAGCAGAGAATGGCCAAATATAAAGAAGCCTGCGCTCAGGCCAAGGCCAGCGGGGATGACCGCAAGGCCCGCATGCACGACCGTATCGCCAAGGTAATCACTTCAGTCATGGTGTAGTTTTATTACACTGAAGGCTCAGACTCAGATTAAGCTTTGGTAGAGTGGTCAAAACCATTTACAGTACAATTTAGTCTAAAGCTTTGCTTTTTACTTTTCTGCATAATTGAATTGCTTTAATGTAAACAGAGTCGTTCAGAGCGGTTTGGTGTGAAACGCTCTGTTCTAGGGAAACTTACTGAGTCAGAACTGTTCACAGTGGTGGTGATAGGAACCAGACGTCCACCTCTAAAAGCTCCCTCACAGAAAGTTACTACATGAAATGGTTATGAATTCACTGCCTGATGTCTAATATGTAATTTTACGATGGATTTGAGAAGGTTTTGGGCTTTGGCCTAATTTCTTTTAATGTGGAGGGATACGTGCAGGTTGTTGTGAGTCAAAATAGTCCCCAAAGAAAACTTACTTTTATCACTATTTTCCATCACCAATATTCCATATAAACTCAGAAGACTTGTGTAGGTTCACTGGTGGTTTTGGATAGTAAATAAAATGTCTATATCTGTGTTGTAGTCATGGCGACCCCTGGTTCCCATCACCACCACTGTAAAGAAATCTGAACCATTTCACGCCAAACCACTCTGAATCACTCTGTTTACATCTCAACAGTTGAAGTATTCCCCTTTAATTCCCGTCCAGGAAATCAGCTGATTGTTTTATTTGCTAGATAACCATGTGATGTGGTAGATGTAGACGTATTTACACAGAGATGACACGTGCTCTTGGTCACATGCTCTGTTTCTGTCCACAGCAATACCAGAGTGCCATTCGCTCCCATAAAGCAGGACGACCTGTCAACTATGATGAACTACCAGTGCCGCCAGGTCAGTGAGGTTCTATAGACAACATGCATTCGGTCATCTATCAAAGCTGTTATCTTATAGAAATAATAACTTTGGACTTCATTCACTAATATCATCTTAAATTTGTTCTTAAATATGTTCTTGAGAAAGGTCCTGAGAAATCCTTAGATTTAATAGAACTTTATGGAATAAATATTATATTATATTATATTATATTATATTATACACTGATCAGGCATAACATTATGACCACCTCCTTGTTTCTACGCTCATTGTCCATTTTATCAGCTCCACTTACTATATAGGTGCACTTTGTAGTTCTACAGTTACAGACTGTAGTCCATCTGTTTCTCTGCGTACTTTGTTAGCCCCCCTTTACCCTGTTCTTCAGTGGTCAGGACCCCCATGGACCCTCACAGAGCAGGTACTATTTGGGTGGTGGATCATTCTCAGCACTGCAGTAACACTGACGTGGTGGTGGTGTGTTAGTGTGTGTTGTGCTGGTCTGAGTGGATCAGACACAGCAGTGCTGCTGGAGTTTTTAAACACTGTCCACTCACTGTCCACTCTATTAGACACTCCTACCTTGTTGGTCCACCTTGTAGATTTAAAGTCAGAGACGATAGCTCATCTGCTGCTGCACAGTTTGTGTTGGTCATCCTCTAGTCTTTCATCAGTGGTCACAGGATGCTGCCCACAGGACGCTGTTGGCTGGGTATTTTTGGTTGGTGGACTATTCTCAGTCCAGCAGTGACAATGAGGTGTTTAAAAACTCCAGCAGCGCTGCTGTGTCTGATCCACTCCGACCAGCACAACACACAATAACACACCACCACCACGTCAGTGTTACTGCAGTGCTGAGAATGATCCACCACCTAAATAGTACCTGCTTTGTGAGGGTCCATGGGGGTCCTGACCACTGAAGAACAGGGTAAAAGGGGGCTAACAAAGTATCAGAGAAACAGATGGACTACAGTCTGTAACTGTAGAACTACAAAGTGCACCTATATAGAAAGTGGAGCTGATAAAATGGACACTGAGCATAGAAACAAGGAGGTGGTCATAATGTTATGCCTGATCGGTGTAAATATTTATTGTAGTTATTATTACTGTACTGTTGGAGCATTTCTACTGTCTATGTATCATGAAATTTTTAAATAATGTTAAGGGCGGGTGGCGAATTTAAATTAGGTTAAAAAATTAAACATGACAAAAATGGAGAAATAAAATTTTTGTCCCAACATCAATGATAAAATAAAAAAAAATCTACTCTAAGGCAGAGGAACAAGAGAAGACTAATGAGAGGTGGGCGATATTGGAAAAATACAATATCTCGACATATTCATAATATATGATATGTCAGTGTATTTATTTTGTCTGATTTCTGATCAATTGGAAAATACAGAAAGATGAGATCAGTTTTATTAATCAACGAAAGGAAATTCAATTAAAAAAAAACCAGTAGCATAACCTAAAAAAATAAATAAATAAAAACTATCCAAAAATTCGGAAATGCAGTAATTTGTATTGAGTGTTTCACACACCGCACTAAATCCAGTTAAGCAGGATTAACTCTGCTCTGTGTGGTGAATCTGTTGGGCTCTCTAAGTATTGATGATATACCCCGAAAAGCATATGGTGATGTAATTTATAATGAGAGTGATAAATATCGTCAGGTTGCTCATCTCTCAGGGTAGTGGATGTTTTTGTGATGTTTTGTGATGAGTGTGTGTTTTGTTGTTCCCGGTCAGGGTTTCCTCCGATCCCAGGCCAGCAGGCAGCGGCACCTGAGCAGGGATTCGCTGCTGTGCTGGAAGCCGCCAATAAGCTGGCCTCAAATGAAGCAGATGCTGGGGACGAGGATGAGGAAGAGGAAGGAGAGAAGAAAGAGAAAGAAACTAAGGAGGTCTGACTGTTTAACTCCTTTAGGCAGTTGAGGCATCATTAGAGTCAACGTGAATCAGAAATAAAGCGTAATTTGTAGAATGTGTTTGTGAGTGAAACTCAGTATCAAGGAGGGTCTCTGAGCCAGTTGAGTGCTGACAGACAATATTGTTGGTTCATATTATTTTGCTCTGCCCACTGGTGCACAGTGATGTAATCAAAAATCAGAAGACATTTTAGGCTACGTTCACATTACAAGCCTCGTTGCTCAAATCCGATTTTTTGCTTAAATCCGATCTCTCTGACAGGATGGTTCACACTCGTTTAGGTAAGAGACTCAAATCTGTCATTAATGTGACGAACCGGCGTCCTGAAATGACCCTCATGAGCTCATCCTACTCAGTAACGTCCTGTGAATGAATCACGTTCATCATCAGCACAAACTAACGAGCAGAACGAGCTTCGCTGAGAAGATAATTAACTCTGATCAGCTCTCAGCTTCATTATTAGAGCGAGACGAAGGAGAAAAAGGTGAGATGTGTTTTTTTTTTTCCACCGTTTACAGGCTTTAACTTCCGTTCGGTGTTGCTGCCATGGTAACGCTGAATGATTGTCACATTGAGGTCACATGGCCACGAATCTGAATACGTATCCGATCTAGGACCACATATGAAAGTGGCTCGGGTCAGATTTGAAAAGTTCAGATTTGTGTCCACACAGCCCTGAAAACATCAGATCTGAGTCACATTAGCCAAGCCAGGGGGTGATGTTCCTCAGTGAGTGCCTGGTGGCTGGGCAGCCCTCGTAACCCTGGCCAGGCTCAGCTCAAAAAGGCAACACAAGGTCCAGCGTGGGGACTCAGTGCAGGGCAGTCACCCTCCGTGTTTGAAGAGGTTTCTAAAGAACTGTCCGAACGCGGCCACAGGAGAACGAGGCTGCGGCGTCAAAGAACAGTTAAAAGTCTGAAAACAAAGTTTAAAGAATCCGAGGACGCGAACCAAAGAAGTGACCGCGCCCTTTTTACGGTTCGGACACATTCTGGGTGATGAGCCCAGCTGTCAATCAGTGAAGCTTCATGATGGCTCCTGTGATGCTGGTGAAGATGAAGCTGATCGACTGGCGTTCGTTGGCGGTCGTGATTGTTTACCTCTGGATGAGCCGTGATGCTCTGTTCTTTCACACATGTGGGTCAGTTTAGGAGCTGATCTGTTCAGACTGATGTCGCATACAGATCACATTTAAATAATAATGTGAACAGAGAAACAAAACAATCAGATTTGGGGAAAAAATCAGATTTGGGCCACTTTTACCTGCTGTGTGAACACAGTGGACGTGGCGGAGTCATGTGACCACACGCGCCGTAGTAAGTTTTTAAGGGGACAGTACATGAACACACAGAGTGGGAAAAGATTAACAGAATTAAAAAAAAAATCAAAATTACATGGGCAAGATTACGTTGGTTAGAGCTTCTGAATGTCGGCTTTAGTTACTTTTCGATTAATTGCCCAGCCCTACATGATACTATATTTTAATTGATATAATATCAGTTGAACTTCATACGAGCAGGAACATTAACAAGGGAACAAAGGTCAGTTTTGATTTCAGGTTGACTTTAAACATCAGGATGTTTAACCAGACTTTTTCAGAGGCAGATGCTGTTTCCATTGGATGCATGTTTCCGTTATGAAGACACTCTCTCTTTATGTTGTAATCTCTGATCTCCAGACCAAGTCCCCCCCACCAGAAAGCCAGAAGAAGCCAACGATGGTGGTGCCTCCAACAGTTCAGCACCCAAAAAGAACCCCTTCACCCTCTCCAGACAGAACAGATAAGAGTGAGAATCTCTCAGCTGCAGGTTAGTCCGGCTGTCTAAGGGTGATTTTTCTCTCAGTGTAGAGTTCATCGACTGTTAGGGACCAACAGAGATATAATTTTGCCACTAATATCAGCCGATGTTAAAGGAAAGTTCTACTGATTGTTGTGAATTTCTGCATAATTCAGTGGTTGAGATGTAAACAGACTGATTCAGAGTGGTTTGGTGTGAAATGGTTCAGATTTCTTTACAGTGGTGGTGATAGGAACCAGGGGTCGCCATGACTACACTAAATGACTAAATGATGGTTCTTCAAGGGTAGTAAAGAAATGGTTCTATATAGGACCATAAACACTCAAAGAGTGTCTTCAGATTGATGGAGAATGTGCTGTAGATGATTCTATATAGAACATTTCAAAAGGCTTCTTCTGTTGTAACAAGCTTGACATCATAACAATATAAAATGGTGCTATATAGAACCATTTTCTTTACTAAAAACTCTCTTTTTTAAGAGTGTATAACACAAATATAGACCTTTTATTTACTAGCAAAAACCACCAGTGAACCTACACGTGTCTGAGTTTATATGGAATGTTGATGGTGGAAAAATAGAGGAAAATCTGAAATAATAAGTTTTCTTTGGAGACTGTTATGCCTCACAACACCCTGCCTGTATCCCATACATACATCATCTAAACCGCTTATCCTTCTGGGTTGCGGTGGGTTGCTGGAGCCTATCCCAGCTGTCATTGGGCGGAAGGCAGGATACACCCTGGACAGGTCGCCAGTCCATCACAGGGCAGACAGACAGACATACACAATCACACACGCCTAGGAGCAATTTTAGCATGTCCAATTGGCCTGACTGCATGTCTTTGGACTGTGTCTTTGGAAACCCACGCAGACACGGGAGAACAGGCAAACTTCACACAGAAATGACCCTGGTCACCCGGCCGGGAATCGAACCCAGGCCATTCTTGCTGTGAGGCGACAGCGCTACTGAGGCGTGCCACCCCAGCTTGTATCCCTCCACCATTAATAGATATTTAAAAATGTTTTAGGTCAAAACAATTCTGACTCAGTAAGTTTCCCTAGAACGGAGCACTTCACACCAAACCACTCTGAATGACTCTGTTTACATCTTAACCATTTAGTTAGGCAGAAATTTTTGAAAAATCAGTGGAATTCAGTAGAGTTTATGAAATATGACTATTGACAATGTCTGTCATTAAAGCACTTTAACTGAAGCTTTTGGGAGTCTGGTTGTTTTTGAACATATTAAATGATATCAGTTGATGTTATTGGCTACTGGAAGTATTAGCTTTTTAAAATTGCTGTCGAAAAGAAACAGGAAAAAAAATTAGGAAAGTTTTTCTTTTTTCCTGATAGTAACTGTATGTAAATTCGCTCTCAGCCTCACAGCAGCTGGAGTTTCTGGAAGGCCGTAAGAAGCAGTACATGAAGGCAGCGCTGCAGGCTAAACAGAAGAACGACATGGAGCAGGCGAAGATCTACCTCCGCACAGCAAAGGGCCTCGAGCCCATGATTGAAGCAGCGCGGAGCGGCAAAGCTGTGGACATCAGCAAGGTTAGAAATCAGCTTAAACAAAAAAACAGTCAGACAAAAAAAATATCTAAAATATATTAAATAACATTCATTAAAGATAATTACACTTACACTGGGTTATTACAACAAAGGGATGGCTGTTATACAAATATTAATAACCATTTCTTTGTCAACAAACCCAGGTGCCTTCCCCTCCTGGTGATGAAGATGAGGATTTTATTCTGGTTCATCACAGTGAGGTTCAGAGCTCTGAGAAGGCTGAGGAAGTGTACAGCCAGCTCAGTAAAATACTGAAGGAGCAGTATGAGGTAACAGTCACTGAGTAACAATGTTAAATCTATCTAAATTATTATTCTATAGAGAACACATGTATATATGGCACTTTCTTGTAAAATTTAGTGCACAATTTCTGTTTATCTGCTGAGTTTAAGATCTTGGAAAAACTTAAAAAACTTGAAAAAGATAAAATATAAAAAGTGTCTTTTGCACTTTTGTTAAATTCAGCAAATAAACAATACTTTTGTATTAAAATATGGAAAAGTGTGTTCTCGGTGTTGGATGTGTTCACTTATTTACACTTACAGATATGTGATTTGACTGGGGTGCCCAAACTTTGCTCTTGACTGTATAAGAACTAATGTGACGTTTTTCCTCTGCAGAAATGTTTGACCTTCTCCAAGCAGTTCACTCACACAGGGAACATTGCGGAGACCACCAAGTAAGATACACACACACACGCACACACACACACACACACACACATACACTCACACACACAGATTTAGGTACATGGATTCAAAGCAGGGGTTCTTCTACAAAAGGGACTGGTTAAAAATGCAGGGGAAAAAAAATTTTATTAAGTATGAATTTTAATTATGTGAATCTAATGTTTTACCTAACAGTATAAATAAAAATATGGGAACAAAATAGCCCATATTTTTTTCCCAAGTATAAATGACATGAAACTAGCTAAAGTAGCTATAACTACTACTAATAATAAAATGTTTAGTAGTAGTCATAATATACATACACACATAATGTTAAATACATGTTTTAGTGTTCAATTAAATCAAGTAGACTTATATTTAACAGTAGAATATCTTGGGACTCTTTTAATAGTTTATGAATTCCTGCTGAGCATGAGTGAAGTTACTATGAGTAAAGTGTTATAAAAGTAGTATGATATGGGACTCTTATTTTGATACCATACACGATCCTGCTGAACATGAGTGAAGTTCCTGTGAGTACAGTGTTGTAACAGTAGATTGATTTGGGACTCTTATTTTGATAGCGTATGTGTTCCTGCTGAACATGAGTGAAGTTTCTGTGAGTACAGTGTTATAAATGTAGTATAATGTGTGACTCTTATTTTGATAGTGTATGCATTCCTGCTGAACGTGAGTGAAGTTACTGTGAGTGCTGTCTTGTAACAGTAGAATGATATAGGACTCTTATTTTGATAGCGTACGTGTTTCTGCCGAACGCGAGTGAACTTACTGTGAGTACAGTGTTGTAACCAGTAGAATGATTTAGGCCTCTTATTTTGATAGCGTATGCGTTCCTACCGAACATGAGTGAACTTACTGTGAGTACAGTGTTATAAATGTAGTATTCTATGGGACTCTTATTTTGATAGCGTATGCGTTCCTACTGAACATGAGTGAAGTTACTGTGAGTACAGTGTTGTAACAGTAGATTGATTTGGGACTCTTATTTTGATAGCATATGTGTTCCTGCCGAATGTGAGTGAATCTCTGAATCTCGTGCTGTGTCCTGAATGAATCCACACAGGCTGCATCCCAATTCAGGGGCTGCGTCCTTTTATTGATTGGGGGATTTTCCCCCAGTTTTCTCTCCAATTTAGTCGTCTCCACTTCCACCCCCTAGTTAGGACCCCCCCAATCACACGATACTACCAGCGCTAGGAGGGTGAAGGCTAACACAGGCTTCACAGTGAAGCCCCTCCTCATCTTTTCGAGTTGCCGCTAATGCAACATCACTGGACAGCCATTCATGTTAGGAGGAAAGCGCCAACCGCCAGATCTGTTACGTCAGCTAACTGACGCCTACGCTGAGTAGCATCGCGTTGAGTGATAGAGGGGAGGAGCGGGGGCCATCCTGCCCACCCAGAGAGAACGAGGCTAGTTGTGCTGTCTTGGACTCCCGGCCACGGGCGGCTGTAGCATCACCAGGGATCAAACTCGCGACTGTAGCCCAATTTAAAGAAGAAAACCATTTTTGCACTAATAGAGATTATTTGAAGAGAATTCAGGCAGAAGAAATAAGCGACACCTACCTCAGCAACCGTACACCCCACTGGACAGCAACAGGGTGGACAAGAGAGCAGGGAAGCACATGGAAAACTGAGGGGAAAGGCAAGCCTTTCCTTTTTTTTTGGCTAGAGCCCCAAAATCACTAAATCCGCACCTGTAGAGAGGGATATTATTTAGGGCTGCAGTGCATAAACCTCGCATTACAAAGACTAGTGACCCTCTGAGGGGTCAGCGCTGTAAAACCATCAGTACTGTCCTACAGAGATGTGGAGAAGAGCGATCTGGTCAGATGAGACATCCTTCACCATATTCTCCACAGTTGGGAGAGTGCATGTGCAGCGCAACACCAACAGAGCAGTACAGGCCTGAATGCTTGACCCCTACAGTCGGGGGTCCGTCTTTATCCAATGAAGAAACATTACTGTCCTGATGGGAGTGGTCTCAGTGCCCCCATCCTCAGGGCATGAGGGGTCACTGAATGGTTTACTGAGTATGAAAATGATGTAAATCATGTGAAGTGGCCTTCAGTCTCTCTCTCCCTCCATCAGCAGACTTATTTGGGTTATTACTTCTTGAAGATGGGAGCCGTTTGATGTTTAAGCAGTAGAACCCGAGAGGGAGCGTTATCGCGAAATAACATCTCGGCTGTGATTTGGTCGCCGTAGATCATCACAGCCGTGATGTTATTGGCGATAACACACTCCTCGAGTGTTCTATTGCTTTTATACAACAGTTAAATAAATACAGTAATAAATTAATAGACTGGGCCGTGAACGCAGCGTTTAATATGTTTTAATGTTCGCAGTTCCTTCACCAAATTATAGTTCCTTAACGAGCAGCTTGTTGCTACGTCAGAGTAACGAGCTCCGCCCACTTGCTGCACAGCCGGCAGTTCGTTCTCCAGCTCCTTACACTAAATTCCCAAACTGTCATCACCACTGAGCAGCTTTTCAGTCGGCAGCTGTGACAGAAGAACAACTAAACAACCTGGAATCAGCCAGAAATGAACCCAACACCATTCGCCAAACGTGTAGTCTGATCTTCAGAGTCTGACCAAATCCGACTGAGCCATAAAACTGCCGCAATATCAAGTTCAGCTCAGTTTTGTCAGTTTTTGCCAGATCAGTATTAATGTTGTTTTGTTCCAGCCAGTCTGTAAAGCATCTTACAGCCCATTTAGTTTGGCGAATGGTGTTGGGTTCATTTCTGGCTGATTCCAGGTTGTTTAGCTGTTCTTCTGTCTCAGCTGCCGACTGAAAAGCTGCTCAGTGGTGATGACAGTTTGGGAATTTAGTGTCGTTTCATCTTCAGAGTCTGACCAAATCGGCTGTCGGTCAAATGTGATCTTAAGTGTCCATTTTCTGTTTGTGGCAAAGTAAGAAGTAAAAATGTTCAAATGGCTTGAGCGTCTCCTACAGCTGTCAAAGTCGTTGCTTAGCAACGGCGTCTCAGCGGAGCGATACATTGTTTGTGAAAAAACCCATGATATTATGGCGAAATAACAGCACAGTTTGAACGCTTCTCAACCAATCAGCTTGAGAGGCCGGAACTAACTTGTATAATTAAAGATGTGAACAATGAACGGCTGCAGATGGTTCAGCAGTTTGCGGTTAAATTACATTGTCTAATTTGTGCCTGACTGTGTTGTATGATATCTTTCTCCTTCTCCTAGATTTGAGAAGATGGCTGAGAAATGTAAGAAGAGTCTGGAGATCCTGAAGCTGGCTCAGAACCGCGGGCTAGAACCACCAAAGCACCACTTTGAGGAGAGAACCCACCGCACTGTCAGGTCAGCTACATATGTAGATCTATAATTGGCCTCTCAGTGGTAATTTTCTCTGCACATCCGAGTCAAACCAGTAGTAAAATGTAGCTGACTGGATTGATTCCAGCTCCTTCGTGACCCTCAGAGAAGTGGCTTTTACCACGTCACTCATCCTAAAACTAAGTTTCTGTTTTTATTCTTCTGTCTTTTCATTCTCTGTCTTTCTTTTAGGATATTTCCAGAGCTCAGCAGCACCGACATGGTGATCATGATTGTACGAGGCATGAACCTTCCTGCTCCTCACGGTAAGGCTAATGTCTGCACTCGTACTCTTAATGGGGCACGATTTGTATCGTATTGAATGTGCTGGCATTTTTGTTGTACTTGTTTGAAAAGCCATGAGAACACAATAGAAAAGGGGGGATTATGAAGGAAGCATAAATACACTGATCAGGCATAACATTTTATCAGCTCCACTTACTATATAGGTGCACTTTGTAGTTCTACAGTTACAGACTGTAGTCCATCTGTTTCTCTGATACTTTGTTAGCCCCCTTTTACCCTGTTCTTCAGTGGTCAGGACCCCCATGGACCCTCACAGAGCAGGTACTATTTGGGTGGTGGATCATTCTCAGCACTGCAGTAACACTGATGTGGTGGTGGTGTGTTAGTGTGTGTTGCGCTGGTACAAGTGGATCAGACTCAGCAGTGCTGCTGGAGTTTTAAACGCTGTGTCCACTCACTGTCCACTCTATTAGACACTCCTACCTTGTCGGTCCACCTTGTAGATGTTAAGACAGAGACGATAGCTCATCTGCTGCTGCACAGTTTGTGTTGGTCATCCTCTAGTCCTTCATCAGTGGTCACAGGACGCTGTTGTCTGGATATTTTTGGTTGCTGGACTATTCTCAGTCCAGCAGTGACACTGAGGTGTTTTAAAACTCCAGCAGCACTGCTGTGTCTGATCCACTCAGACCAGCACAACACACACTAACACACCACCACCACATCAGTGTTACTGCAGTGCTGAGAATGATCCACCACCCAAATAGTACCTGCTCTGTGAGGGTCCATGGGGGTCCTGACCACTGAAGAACAGGGTAAAAGGGGGCTAACAAAGTATCAGAGAAACAGATGGACTACAGTCTGTAACTGTAGAACTACAAAGTGCACCTATATAGTAAGTGGAGCTGATAAAATGGACAATGAGCGTAGAAACAAGGATAATATCATAATGTCATAATGTTGTGCCTGATCAGTGTATATTGTTGCACATAATTAGTGGAAAAGTGTAAAATCTGTAAATCGCTAATTAAAAAATGAAGAAATGATGGGTGTCGAGAACGATGAACAGTCAAAAATGACTGTTCGAAGTTCAAATGAATATTCATAACGTTATATTTCAGAAGTGATCATATCACAAAAAAATGTAGATGTTATTGTGTTTAAAACAAAACAAGAGTGATTCCAAACTTTTGAAAGATAGTGTACATTAAAGCAGTAAGCCACAAGAGGCTGTGTGTAACTGCGATTTTATCACAGGAAGGGTGTTCGCAGCCCAAAACTCCCTTCCCTGTGATAAAATCGCAATAACGCTTGGCTTCAAGTGGCTTACTGCTTTTATAAAACAGCAGCCAACATAAAATATAATAAAATACACAATTTGATATAAAAGTGTTCCGCCAAGAAATGTGGTTCCTTTAGAGTACAGTACCGATGCCAGTCAACCATGGACTGATAAATGAGGAGACCGTTCAGTCGCCCATTGCTGTATATTGCGGTCATTTCATGAATTGAACTCTTTGTCATATAACAATGGACGTATGACAACACAGCGCTGTTTAGTGCAAAAACCTTCACTTTATAAGTCCTTTTTGGTCACCAAATTACCACCGCGAGTCTCATTTAGCACCAGTCCAGTGGCGCCCTCTTCTCACGCTGGGGCTGAATCTCAAACGGCTCCCTGCTCCCTACATAGTGCACTACGTAGCAGCTTAAATACTGACTCCTGCAGCCCAACAGAGCAAAATACAGCTAGGAAACAGTCATTTGGGACTCATCCACACTCGATACATGAGGCACTGTTTGGCTGTAGAGGCTAGAATTTCCAAACTTTCATAGCTAGAACACTATTTAGGGAGTACAGAGCCGTTTGGGATTCAGCCTGGGTTTGACGCGACTTCTGACTGAAACATGAACATTTGAAGTGCGTAAGACATTCAAGTGATTATTTTTAGACCTTTTATACTGCAGTTTTCCAGTGAATCAAACCGTAAGTGCTTTAATTGAAGCCTGTGATATTAATAATGGAGCTGTTTAGCATATTTGCTATCTTTTACCCTGTTAGCTAGCTGACCAGCCTGGTTCTAGTTAAGAACATAAGTTGTCAGCCCCTCAGTTTAAACAGAAAATGGGTTCTTACTTCATCAGTTCACTCGGTGCTCCAAACAAGCAGCATTAGAGTCAAAGATTATTCCATTAACAGCAGAGGGGTTTTTTTGTGCCTTGGTGCAGTGATACACAGTTCAGTTGCTGTGAGGCGGTCATTGGTGTGCGTATATGTTGGATTTTACAACCAATCAGATTTTAGGACCAGAACTATCCATTTTAGAAATGCAGTTTTAAGCTCTTCTCATCACAGCACAACTTCAAAGCCTTCTGTTACTGCAGCACAAAGCAGTGACAGTGCTTCCTCATCAGAGCTGTGCAGTCACTGATCCTCACAGCTTCTGCTTTGCTCTGATAGTTGTGATTGTGACAGCGACACTTTTAGCATGTGGCTTTCAGTCAAGTGACTATAAACAAGTCAAATGACCCACAAGACAAATGCCTTATTAAAGGAACAGTGCGTTCACAGAGACTAATGAAAGCAGGCGGCCACCATTCACAACATGCAAACGATATCGTGTTAATTGGTGGCTGCAAGGTTCATACACTGTTATTAATAAAGGTTCTGTTCAGGTACATTTATCACTCATCGAGGTACAAACAGTGTAAATGTTCCCTCAAAGGTACAACAGTGGTTTTAAGGTCTGATTGTGAACCTTAAATAAGTTTTTTCAGGTGAAAAGTTCGTATTTGTACCTTTTCATAACCGAATGTTTTAAAACAGAACAGTAAAATAAAAGCCTGGAGACGAGACGGGGTGTGTGGAGTCAGTACAGCTTAGAACATATCATTTCAGTGGATTATGGTTCAGTTATGTTCCCTGACTGAAAGGTACTGAGATGGAGCCCTTGAGGGTTCCACGCCCTTTATTTTGGAGAGTGTACTACTTGCTAGCCATGTTAGCATGATCTAGTTCTTTACTTTAGCACATGAATTCCCATTTGTTGATTTAAACACACACACGCACACACACACACACACACACACACACTTCTCCTTCTTGGTTTTGCTGGAGCCTATCCCAGCTGTCATCGGGTGGAAGGCAGGATACACCCTGGACAGGTCACACACATACACATTCACACCAAGGGGCAATTTACCATGTCCAGTTGGCCTCACTGCATGTTTTTGGACTGTGGGAGGAAACCCACACAGACACGGGGAGAACATGCAAACTCCACACAGAAAGGACCCTGGTCACCCGGCCGGGAATCGAACCCAGGCCCTTCTTGCTGTGAGGCGACAGCGCTACCCACCGTGCCGCCCGATTTAAAGGAGTAGTTTGGCGAAAAAATAATCAAACAAATACAGTTTTCCATTTACCTCAGATGAACTCGATCAGCTGAGACATGCTGAAGTCTATATTTTGCTTCTGTAGTTTAGAACTGGAGCCACGAGGCTAACGTTGCTAACAAACACTAGAAGTCTGTAGTCGCCCAGATCGTCAGCCCAAACCGTTTCTGTAAAAATACATCACCCAAACTTGTCTCAGCTCAGTCAAACCACAACCAGGTCTTCATGTGGTTTAGAGTACGATATGAATGACTGTGAGCTGTGAAAAGGAACAGAGCTTCCTTTTCACAGCTCGGGCGGCCAGTCAACACAGGGGCGATGGCACCAGCTGTACGCAGGTTCAAACGCAGGTTAGTTAGAACGTTATTGTTTACTGAGTTCGGGTTTGCGCATTACTAAATCAAAACAAGTTGCCCCAAACCAAGAATGTCCAGTCTTATCCACAAAGTCTCATGTTGGTTGGTGGACCATTCTCAGTCCAGCAGTGACACTGAGGTGTTTAAAAACTCCACTGATCCACTCAGACCAGCACAACACACACTAACACACCACCACCACATCAGTGTTACTGCAGTGCTGAGAATGATCCACCACCCAAACAGTACCTGCTCTGTGAGGGTCCATGGGGGTCCTGACCACTGAAGAACAGGGTAAAAGGGGGCTAACAAAGTATCAGAGAAACAGATGGACTACAGTCTGTAACTGTAGAACTACAAAGTGCACCTATATAGTAAGTGGAGCTGATAAAATGGACAATGAGCGTAGAAACAAGGAGGTGGTCATAATGTTATGCCTGACTGGTGTAAATAAACTTGCCCTGCCTTAATACTGCCGGTTTGAAGTAATCTAAGATATGGATTTTTCTTTATTTTGTGCTGTTGTCCTGTGAAGGTGTTGCATCAAATGACCTGGATGCTTACGTGAAGTTTGACTTCCCCTACCCCAGTTCAGTGAGTATCTCTGACCGCACAGCGGGAGGAAAGGCAGTAAACCACATTTGGGTGAGTTACTGAGCGGAATGTCATGTTGTAGCTGATCACTGTTGTTGTTTGGCCGTTTCTAGGATCAACCTCAGAAACACAAAACTGCAGTTATCAAAAACACCAACAGTCCAGGTGAGTGATAAGCTTTTTAATAGGGGTATAAAAATACCTGCGTTGATCTGAAGGCGGTGTGTCCAGTCAAGATCGTTAGCATCTGTCAGAATCGATTATTGTGCTGGGTGATATGATTAACCTTTTCAACTCCTTGAGACCACCGGTGGTTCCAAAACACAATCATATTCTTCATAACTTTTATATTTCATGAGCTACATTCAAAAGGTGGGGGTCATATGAGGCTGTAACTGTCTCCTTTCCAGTCAAATAGATGGGTGTTGTAATTTTAAACCCTTATAATAAAAGAAGCTGAACTTGCTGTTTTCTACTGAAAGTCGACCCATTTTTCCACAAATCTGGGCTATAAACTATAAACAGATGGCGCATATAGCATATAGCAATATGTGTATGATCATAAAACATGTTCTGTTCTTTTGAGGAGAGCTTTTACAAAAAAAAATAAAATAAAATAAAACTTTACGTTTATTTCATGCAGTTACTGAATAATTTGCCTTACGATTTGGTCATGTAAATTCATTTTACATTTACATCATTTAGCAGACGCTCTTATCCAGAGCGACTTACAAAAAGTGCTTTGTCTATCCAGAGAAAGTATCTTTGCTGGTTACCAGTAGGTTAGAGAGAAAGCCAGTCCTGAGCTCAGATACTGCTGGAATCAGAAAGTCATTATTGACACCCAGAGAAAAAGGAACAGAGTTAAACACAGAGCAGTGCAATATAATACAATACAATACATAAGTGCAGTACAATACATTACAATCAATACTTAACTCAGTGCTCATTTAAGTGCTGTATAAAGAGACGGTCTTCATTCTGCGTTTGAAGACCGCGAGAGACTGTGCTGTTCGGACAGCCAGTGGGAGTTCGTTCCACCGCCTGGGTACCAGCACAGAGAACAGTCTTGATGCTTGCCTTCCGCGCGCCTTGAAGGATGGCGGGTCAAGCCGAGCTGTACTCGAAGCTCGAAGGGCTCGTGGTACAGTTCGAGATTTGACCATTGCCATCAAGTAGGGAGGGGCTGGTCCATTTTTGGCTTTGTAGGCAAGCATAAGGGTTTTAAATCTGATGCAGCTACAGGAAGCCAGTGAAGGGAGCGCAGCAGTGGGGTGACGTGGCTGAACTTTGGGAGATATTTTGGACAAACCAAAATATACCCTGGAGAATAAGAGGTTATATATATCGTCACTGTCCAAAGAAAAACAAGTATGTCCAAAATAGTAACTTTACTGGAGAGGCAGAAACACCCTCACCTTTTAATGTAAGTTAGTGTAAAGAGATTTTTATTCCAAGCGATTTTAGAGCATTTCTGTTGGTCCGTTCATCATGAAATTTATACAACGTAAAGGACAGCTGGTGTGTTGAAAACTAAAAATGGACAAATGGAGATACATGGTTTTCTTTGGACAGCGATGATATACATTCTTTTTATCTGAAATGGAAAAGAGGGATTTCACAGTAAACGTCATAACTTGGATTAAATAGCCCTTCAATTATTGCCTCTTATGAACAGAAGGATGAATGGAATACAGTTATATTTCTCCTGCAGGGGGCGCTGTTTGAAGTGGTAGATCTTTACCCTCCCCATTTTTCTCTCTCTCTCTCTCGATAGAGCCTTCAGGAAAACTCACCTGTGTGCATAAAGCGCACGTAAACATGCATGAAATATGTATAATAACGTTTATTAAGATCACAGCAACATTTTGCCTAATTTTACATCTCCAAAAAATCATTGCGAATATATCAGAAATGTCTGATACATCACACAGCCCTAATCAATTTTAATGATATTTTGAAATATCATGAAAATGGGGCTCCCAAGTGGTGCAGCCGTCTAAGCGTTGGCCCTGTCATCAGGAGATCATGAGTTCAATCCCTGGTGATGCTACAGCCGTCCGTAGCCGAGAATCCAAGAGAACACAATTGGCCTCGCTCTCTCTGGGTGGGTGGGATGGCCCCTCCTTCTCCCCCCATCACTTAACGCGGTGCTAGTCAGCGCAGGCGTCTGTTAGCTGACGTAACAGATCTGGCGGTTGGCGCTTTCCTCCTAACGCGAATGGCTGTCCAGTGACGTTGCGTGAGCGGCAGTTCGAAAAGATGCGGTGGTTGGCTTCACAGGTCTCGGAGGAAGCCTGTGTTAGCCTTCACCCTCCTAGCGTTGATAGCGTCGTGTGATTGGGGGAGTCCTAACTAGGGGGTGGAACTGGAGACGACTAAATTGGGGAGATAATTGGGTAAAAATGAGAGAAAAAAAAATAGCAAATAGTTAAAATAATAGTGACACTTTATTTTGAGATGAAACAAACCCTCAACAGACTCTCAGTAACGTCAAAAACATGAGGATTAGGATTAGGTTTAGGGTTGAGGTTAAGGTTAAGGTTAAGGTTAGGATTAGGGCCAGGGCCAGGGTTAGGGTTAGGTGATTAGGTTTTGGGTTGAGGTTAAGGTTAGGGTTAGGATTAGGGCCAGGGTGAGGGTTAGGATTAGGTTTTGGGTTGAGGTTAAGGTTAAAGTGAGGATTAGGGCCAGAGTGAGGGTTAGGATTAGGTTTTGGGTTGAGGTTAAGGTTAAAGTGAGGATTAGGGCCAGGGTTAGGGTTAGGTGATTAGGTTTTGGGTTGAGGTTAAGGTTAAGGTTAGGATTAGGGCCAGAGTGAGTGTTAGGATTAGGTTTTGGGTTGAGGTTAAGGTTAAGGTTAGGATTAGGGCCAGAGTGAGGGTTAGGATTAGGTTTTGGGTTGAGGTTAAGGTGAGGATTAGGGCCAGAGTGAGGGTTAGGATTAGGTTTTGGGTTGAGGTTAAGGTTAAGGTTAGGATTAGGGCCAGAGTGAGGGTTAGGATTAGGTTTTGGGTTGAGGTTAAGGTTAAGGTTAGGATTAGGGCCAGGGTGAGGGTTAGGATTAGGTTTTGGGTTGAGGTTAAGGTAAAGGTTAGGATTAGGGCCAGAGTGAGGGTTAGGATTAGGTTTTGGGTTAAGGTTAAGGTTAGGATTAGGGCCAGGGTGAGGGTTAGGATTAGGTTTTGGGTTGAGGTTAAGGTAAAGGTTAGGATTAGGGCCAGGGTGAGGGTTAGGATTAGATTTTAGGTTTAACATCTACTTAATGTAAGTAATGTATCAACAGAACATCTATAAGATATTCACTTCAGTGTATTCAGATGCTTCACTACTGATACATCACTGATATGTTGTTGATGTGTTACTGATAATCTGCTGAACCAAAATAATAAAGCCTGCTGTGTTGTTTTTATTGGCCGTCTTTTACTACTATGTAAATAGTTTTTGTACATATTTACATATTTACTATACAAAAAAACTGCACCAAAATAATTAAATTGAAATTTGAGGTTTAAAAATGTTCCTGAGTAAAAGTGTTAATCTTACTGAAACGTTGTGAGGTCAGTGACTCCCAGCTCTGCCTTCTAATGTCTTTAATCTGTGTTGGTTGTTTGTATTTATCTAACACTAATGACCGTGTTGATGAGTGTTTGTGTCTCCTGTTTCCAGAGTACAACCAGAGCTTCACCTTAAACATAAACCGTAACCATCGCGGCTTTAGGAGGGTGGTGCAGTCCAAAGGCCTTAAACTGGAAGTCTTCCATAAAGGGTGAGTCAGTCGTGCGGTTTAAAGCCAGCAGTTCCATCTTTATGGCTGTTTCAAAGGCCTGTAGTGCTCATACGGTGCTCCACACCAATCAGGGCACAGCGCACTTTGTTTTGATCTTGTTTTGACCTGTTGGACATACCGACCCAGTGCAAGCAGACGGTTCAACGTCAGTGCAGCAGCGTAAAATTTTGGGTGTCTATTCAACATAAATGATGAACTAACCTAACTTTGTGTAAATAGACCACAATATAGAAATATGTACACATATGCAGTTGTGACTGACGTGTCTTTTTTCTGAATTTATACAAACACATTTCATTTTATAGTGAATTTGTTTTGGCTAGTTTATGTTTATGAACAGAGACCTACAGATGCAGTTTAGTAAAGGAAACTCATTTGTGAATCTGTTTTTATTAAACTTAAACTTGTAACTAAGCTGCAAATAAACCTTAAACTGAAAATTTGCTTGTTTGTAAAAAGTGATTTCAGAGCCACTCAGTTCTACCTGATGGAAACTGTTTGCCTTCAGTGTTTTGTGCTTATGATAATTTTAATAGACATCAGCGTCACTAATTAATGACATTCTATTAAAAGACTGGTTTACCAAGAGAGACACTGGAGTATTTCCACCTAAAATGAGTTAATGAAGCGAGTCTTGTTACAGAAATGATAACAGGACATTAAAGTCATAATTAATCTTTTAGTACTTTTACTTTCGATACTTAAGTACATTTGAAGGTAAATACTTTTGTACTTTTACTCAAGTGGAGGTCTAAAGGGAGGAACTTCTACTTTTACTGCAGTAATATTTTACCTTGGGTGTCTCTACTTTAACTCAAGTACATGGTTTGTGTACTTCGTCCACCACTGGTGATTTTTGTGTAGGTTTTTAGTAACCTCTAATAGTGGTAAGTGTCTTACAGTGTCAGAAACCAGTAAGAAAGTCTAGTAGAGCTTACTGAAAGGAGAATTCCACTGGAATTTAATATAGTCTGATAGTAGTGATGTAAACAGAGTGATTCAGAGTGGTTTGGTGTGAAATGGTTCAGATTTCTTTACAGTGGTGGTGATAGGAACCAGGGGTCGCTATGACCAAAACCACCAGTGAACCTAGTTTTACATGGAATGTTGATGATGCTAAAATAGTGATAAATCTGGAAAAAGATTTCTACACCTAACATCGCCCTGCATGTCCCTCTCTGAGTTCAGAAAATGAAGAGTTTAAGGCCAAAATCTCCTTAAAACTATCAGAAATGTCATGTAGTAACTTTCTGTGAGGGAGCTTTTAGAGGTGGACGTCTGGTTCCTATCACCACCACTGTGAACAGTTCTGACTCGGTAAGTTTCTCTAGAACAGAGCGTTTCACACCAAACCGCTCTGAACGACTCTGTTTACATCTTAAACATTTAATTATGCAGAAATTTTGGAAAATCATTGGAGTTCCCCTTGAACAACCCTACATGGTTTGAGGCAAGTGATGAGTTAGGCTGCAGTTAGAAACGTGCTAATTGGTGGATTATAAGCTTGAACTTGCTAAAGCGAAAGAAGTAAACTTCTTATCTGATAGACTACATTTAATATAAATGTGAATGTTAATTCGATTTTTCTCTTTAATGCTGTCTCTCTGCAGTGTTTTACCGCTGAAGCCCAGTGTGTGTGTAAAGATGACAGTAGTCTCTCTCTCTCCTGTGTGTGTCTGTGTGTCAGTGGTTTTCTGAGGAGCGATAAGCCTGTAGGTACGGCCCTCATCAAACTGGAGAAGCTGGAGACGCAGAGTGAAGTGCGCGAGATTGTGGAGGTGAGCAGAAACTTTCCTTCAGTTACGGCGTGTTTATCAGGCTACAACTCATTTTTCATCCTCGTTTGAAGTAACCGGCCACACCACACTCAGTTTAGTGAGGCAATAACACATAACAGCTCCATTAACATGTTTAATTTATCATAGTTTATCTGAAAGGTACTTTCTGAATGAACAAATATCACCTACAGGACAGATTAGAGCCCACGCGTCAAACTGTTTCCAAGCACTGCTGTGTCTGATCCACTCGTACCAGCACTACACACACTAACACACCACCACCACCACATCAGTGTTACTGCAGTGCTGAGAATGACCCACCACCCCAATAGTACCTGCTCTGTGAGGGTCGATGGGGGTCCTGACCACTGAAGAACAGGGTAAAAGGGGGCTAACAAAGTATCAGAGAAACAGATGGACTACAGTCTGTAACTGTAGAACTACAAAGTGCACCTATACAGTAAGTGGAGCTGATAAAATGGACAATGAGCGTAGAAACAAGGAGGTGGTCATAATGTTATGCCTGATCGGTGTACGAGGTTTTGATCCAACAACAGAAATATATATATATATATATATATTTCTTTCCACTGTAGATTTTATGTAGATGTTTTTATTTCCCTGTGAGATTCAGTCTGTTAATGTCTGATTATTTTCAGTTTATTCCAGTTTCTGATACAATTGACATCTTTTTAGTATATTCAGGTTGTAGATTTTTTATAGTTTTCATCTCAGTTTTCAGTTTGCTGTAATAACCCTGTTGTGTTTAAGTGCAGCAGGAGCTCTGTACAGTATAATCAGTGTGAGAGACGATAGAGGGACTGTAAACACTAGTTTGACTCTACAGTGTCAGTGTTAAGTGTGTGTGTGTGTGTGTGTGTGTGTGTGTGTGTGTGCTGTGGATTCAGGTGATGGACGGCCGGAAGCCCACTGGTGGTCGTTTGGAGGTGAGGGTTCGTCTCAGAGAGCCGCTGAGTGGACAGGACCTCCAGACCGTTACAGAGCGCTGGCTAGTTCTGGACCAGTCATAGGTCAGTGTTCTTAACAGTTCGATCATAAAGCAGTGACCCACTGGAGGCTGCGCGTTACAGTGATTTCCCCACAGTTAAGGGACATTGTATGATGAAATACAGCAATGTTTAATAAATAATTAAAGGTATTCATGATCATTAATAATCACAATCTTGACATGTGATGTTAGGTTTGTTAACGAGGCTTTTGTTGCCAAGCGATTTCATAACTCGCCACATTAAAACTGATTCAGTTGATTCTGTGCAGATGTATTTGTACGTTGATGTTTTTAGACCTCTGCCATGGCTCAGCCAATCAGAATATACTACTGGAAGCATCCATTTTATAATGCAGAAGTCTAAAAGTAAGGAAAGTGGTCAGATCGCCCCCTGCTGGCTGTGTTCAGCTTTGTGTTCACTTTCCAGTCAAAATAGCCATCAAGTACAATTTATTCATTTTTCAGCATCAGGAAAAAAAACATCTTTAAGAGAAAATTTTACAGAAGCTTCAGCAGCGAAATCTAATCTCAGCTGTCTGAGTGTTGAGTGAGTCTCTCTTTACCTTTATTCCAGCTTCCACTTCACTGTTCAGGAGACTCACTTTCAGCTCCTCAAAGAACCTGCAGAAACACCTCCAAAGTTCAGTCTTAGAAGCTGGTTGATCATTTTCTGAAGTAATCAAACACATTCAGTGGTGTTGAGGTCTGGACTCTGGGGTGGTCAGTCCATCGTTCAGCTTCTTTGTTTGATGTGTCCGTCTCCTTTTCTCAGTGAGGTTCTTCTTGACAGCTACACATCCTTTCAGACCCACAGCGCTGAGTCGTCTTCTCACAGTGGAAGGATGGACAGAAACACCTGTGGATGTTTTCAGATCTGAAGCAGCTTGATTTTCTCCTCTCTCTCAGAGATGAAAGCTTTAAGTGCTGTTTATCTGATGGGGGCAGTTTTGGTGTCTACCAGGTCTTCCAGGTGGTTGTTAGGAGCCACATTTTTTTCTGTAGCTTTAAATCAGTTTTTGAACTTTTGGAAACTCACTTATTTGACTTTCTCCTTCATTATAGAAATGGATTATCTTGCATATGATCTCAGAAACATCTGAAAAATGAGTAACTTGTACTTAATGGTTGTTCTGACTGGAAATAAATGGAAGGGTGCTCTCTGACTTTTGCACAGTGCTGTAGGTTAAGTATTGGAGATGCTGCACATTGCAGATCGTACAGTGTAACCTGCCGCTTCGCCCCATATTCAGTTATATTTGACACTTTGGTAATGTTTCAATGAATAATTGAGAGTAAAAGTTAGAAATACAAAACGGACTACAAGTCTGATGTCTAGATCAAGGGTTCTTAACCTTTTCCACCCCAATGCCCACCTGTTTATAAAGCATAGCAGCCCACAGAAAAACTACAATCAATTTTTTGAAATACTTTTTTCTTAATTTCTCACACTGAAAACCTGTGAATTAGAGCCTGAAAAAGATCAGATCACCTTTTCAGTTCAATCACAGAAACCAAAATTTGCGGTTTTGTTAAAACGCTTGCAGAGACGTCTAAAAAGTGGGGAAAAATTAAAAATAGTAGATGTGGACGGTGATTTGGAGCTGTGGTCCATCACGTTTTCACTGAAAACACTCTTGTGGCTCCCACAGGAGCCACTGCGCCGGCGGCTGCGTCGTCTCAAACTGATGGCGTTTAGTTAGCCTGTGACTGCGATGTTTTTATTTATACGTCTCTATTGATATTTATATTGGTTAGAATTTGGAAATGTTTAATTCTTTGATTTTTGAAGTTAATCTTTTTTTCCACTTATGTTTTAATGACTTAAAGTGATGTTACCGATTCACTACGAACTGCTGCCCCCCCTGAGTGCAGGCCCGCGGACCACTAGAGTGTGCTTTACGTTTACGGCCCAAAGGTTGAGAAATCCTGGCCTAGATGATCCCACGAAGCGGTGCCAGTGCCAAGCTGCTGTGCTTGCATGATCACAAAATACGTGTTTCGCAAAAGTGGCTGTCTTCTGAGTTTTATATGGAATGTTGATGATGAGAAAATAGTGGAAAATCTGTTTTTGTTTTTATTTTTTCCTATTTGGGGACTTTTTTGCCTCATAACAATGGGCCTCATTCACCAATATCTTCCCAGAGTCCTAAGAAAAAGTCTACCATCCAAAACCACCAGTGAACCTACACGTTTTCATGGTACAAACATGGGCCAAAGTCTTCTCAAAACTATTGTAAAACAACGTCTCGGTCATCAGGCAGCGTATTACGTGAAATGGTTATAAATAACTTTACATATCGCTGTTGTCAGAAGAAATTTCCATTTTTGACTTTTTTCAGTTTTTGACATAATTTGAAAATACCTGTTACCCTTTACATTGCATGTTAATTTCATGATGAATGGACCAAAACAAACGACCCAAAATGACTTGGAAAAAAGTCTGGTTCCATTGACTTACATTAAAAGTAAAGTAGGTTTTTTCCTTCTCCTGTAAAGTTACCATTTTGGAGATACGAGGTTTTGTTCCGACAACAGCGATACACTTTACTACTAACTATTTTGCCTCACAACACCCTGCATGTATCCCTCCACCATGAACGGATTCAAAAATTTATTAGCAAGATGTTTTAACCATTATAAAATATTGAAAATGTTCTGTGAGGAGCTTTTAGAGGTGGACGTCTGGTTCCTATCACCACCACTGTGAACAGTTCTGACTCGGTAAGTTTCTCTAGAACAGAGCGTTTCACACCAAACCGCTCTGAACGACCGTTCTTGGTGAAAAATCTGGATACGAGTGAAGAACGTTTTTCCTTCTCTTGTAAAGTTACACTTTTGGAACTGATGCCTTTGTCTTTTGTCTCCTCAGGGGGTGAGGTCATCAGCCTGGCCATCTTCAGAAATCTCATGTTCTTGCATGAAGCGACACGGAGGTGTGTTCACACGTTCACTGAAACGGGACGAAACCTCTCCGAATGAGGCTAAACAGCTGCGGTTTGGGAAACTGGAGTTCAGTAGTGGGACTGGGGGAAACTAAAGCATACAGCACATGTTCTAATTGATTTAACTTCCACTTCTCTTCATTTGAAATGACCTTGAACGAAGTGTCACAGTAGTAATGTAGGTCTAGAGAAAACTAATTTATTTGCTGCTCTGGGATGCACCTATGCACTAATACCAAAGTGATCACTGTTGCTGTAGTACAACTACTAAAACTGTTCTCGCGTTGAAGCACACACTGCTGCCACGTCAGACTTAATAATGAGTATGTAGGACTGATGAATCTATGCATTGAATCCCAAAATGTTTTATAAGACACTGCAACACTTGTTTATACGTTAAAGCAAAATTCACTGCACGGATAGACACGGGTTACCCTGAAGCTCACCCTGCCCTGAGAACGCTCGTCAGATTGTTCTGTTCGCACCATTTAAAGCCATAATCTAATGCAAACTGAAGCGGTAAGGCGTTTTATTAAGCTTTATTAAGCTTCATAAGCTCTGCTTGCCTGGCCGGCCGTCACTTTGACTGGAACAGGTACTTAAACTGATATAAACAGAAGAGAAATCAGTTGCTACTACCAACCCAGAAGAGCTCAGCTTCACAGTGTGCATGGGATTCAGTTACTGTTCTTGCACTTCAAAAGCTCATTCTAAAGGGGAATTCCACCAAATTTTTTGAATTACTGCATAATTCACAGGTTGCGATGCAAACAAAGTCGTTCTGATCGGCTTCTTTACAGTGGTGGTGATAGGAACCAGGGGTCACTATGACTACAACACAATATAGACATTTTATGTACTATCCAAAACCACCAGTGAAGCTACGTGCAACTGAAAATCTGAAAAAAAAATAAAGTTTTCTTTGGGGACTATTTTGCCTCAGCATGTATCCCTCCACCATGAATGGATTTATAAAATATGTTTTGGAGAAAAATCTTCTCAAAACTATCATAAAACTGTCTCAGACATCAGGCAGTGAATTCATAACCATTTCATGTAGTAACTTTCTGTGAGGGAGCTTTTAGAGGTGGACGTCTGGTTCCTATCACCACCACTGTGAACAGTTCTGACGGTAAGTTTCTTTAGAACTGAGCGTTTCACACCAAACCACTCTGAATGACTGATTAATTATGCAGAAAATTTGGAAAATTGGGTGGAATTCCCCTTTATGGCTCTTAGCCATGTTTACATGCTCTGTTGTGCAAATTGGACAATGCTGTATGATTATTATTGTCTTTTTTTTTTTTTTTAAGATAGAAGATAGATTCCTTATATTGCCAACTGAAGTGGTTGCCATAGAAATATACTTTATTTAAAAGCGCTTTCATGACTGATTGATGCAGATTACTGGCTTCCAAAACATTAATATTTATAAAACAAGACGACGACATATATATACATATACACACATATAAAACCCTCAGGCCATACACTGTAGAATAGAGATGCTTTTCCCTCACTGGGACCAGCTGGACATGCAGTCTGTCAATATTACTCTGACTTTGCTGGGAATAAACGTATTGATGCTTTAATAGTAGATGTTGAATGTTTAGTCCCATCAATCTCGAACTGGAATTGATTTTTTCTTCTTAGATCCATATTATTTTAGGGATCATTTCACTACATTATGGTTCTTTCATTTCAAAGTCGCATTAAAGGAATATTTAAGCATTTAACAACCTAACGTCTATCAGCTGTGATATGATTGATTAACACAGACGGTAATTTTGAGACGTTTCCCTAAACAAGCAACCCAAACACACAAAACTCACCTATGATGGAAGCCAGTGGGCCGGTGCTGAAGCAGAAGCCCACTGGATTTTATTATACGTTTTCAAAGTCAACATACTTTGTTCTTTTCCAAGTTCAGGGAAATCCCTTAAAATCGTCGTCTGTGGTAACTGACCATATATTATAGATGCAACAGACATTAAGGAGAAAAAGCCCCCATATTCCTTTAATATCGCAAAGCGTTTGTTTTTTAGCAAAGTTTATCGTTTGAGCAGGCTTGAGACTGTTGCAGGAGGTTTGTCAATGAATGTTTTATCATTAAAAGAAATTTAAAAAGTCATAATTCTGTTTTCCTCATGTTTCTTCTTTATCATACACCGATCAGTAATAACCTGATCATAGGCATGACCTCCTCCTTGTTTCTGCGCTCATTGTCCATTTTATCAGCTCCACTTACTGTATAGGTGCACTTTGTAGTTCTACAGTTACAGACTGTAGTCCATCTGTTTCTCTGATACTTTGTTAGCCCCCTTTTACCCTGTTCTTCAGTGGTCAGGGCCCCCGTGGACCCTCACAGAGCAGGTACTATTTGGGTGGTGGATCATTCTCAGCAGTAACACTGACGTTGTGCTGGTCTGAGTGGATCAGACACAGCAGTGCTGCTGGAGTTTTTAAACACCTCAGTGTCACTGCTGGACTGAGAATAGTCCACCACCCAAAAATATCCAGCCAACAGCGTCCTGTGGGCAGCATCCTGTGACCACTGATGAAGGACTAGAGGATGACCAACACAAACTGTGCAGCAGCAGATGAGCTATCGTCTCTGACTGTACATCTACAAGGTGGACTGACAAGGTAGGAGTGTCTAATAGAGTGGACAGTGAGTGGACACAGTGTTTAAAAACTCCAGCAGCACTGCTGTGTCTGATCCACTCGTACCAGCACAACACACACTAACACACCACCACCACGTCAGTGTTACTGCAGCGCTGAGAATGATCCACCACCCAAATAGTACATGCTCTGTGAGGGTCCAGGGGGGTCCTGACCACTGAAGAACAGGGTAAAAGGGGGCTAACAAAGTATCAGAGAAACAGATGGACTACAGTCTGTAACTGTAGAACTACAAAGTGCACCTATATAGTAAGTGGAGCTGATAAAATGGACAATGAGCGTAGAAACAAGGAGGTGGTCAGAATGTTATGCCTGATCGGTGTACATTTTTGTTATAAATGATGTTTTTTGTAACGTTTCTAACTTGACGACTCCAGAAAAGTCGTGACAGGAACATGTTTACACTGCGTTACATCATCTTTCCTTTTAACGGCACTGAATAGTTGTTTGGGGACTGAAGACACAAACTGATCCAGTTTTGAAAGCGGATGGTTTTTTTGTAACTCTTCAGTTACGCAAGTCTTCAGCTGTGCAACCATACAAGTTCTTCCTGGTCATATTCTGAGCTTCATAAGACAGTAGGGGACACCAGCACTCTCTGATTACACAGCCATGCTGTTGTAAAACATGTAGAATATGGCTTGGTGTTGTCATGGCGAATAAACATGGAGCACTGACACCTAAAAGGCAGCATATGTTGTTGCAGAATGTGTAAGCATTAATGGTGCTTATACAGATGTGCAATTTACTCACTAATGCCCCCCCACACACCATGACATGGGCATGATTTTAAACTTTACGCTGGTAACAATCTGGAAGGTCCTTTTCTTCTTTGGCCCGGGGAACACGACATCCATTATCTCCATCAACTATCTGAGAGGTTGACTCGTCAGACCACAATACACATTTCCACAGAGTATCAGTCCATTTCAGATGAGCTCGAGCCCAGAGAAGTCGGCGGCGTTTCTGGACGTTGTTATGACTTCCGCTGTGTGCAGTACAGTCTTACCCTGCATCTGTGGAAGCAGTGATGACCAGTGTTTATGGCAATGGTTTTCAAAGTATTTCCGAGCCTATGTAATGATATTCATCACAGAAACATGCTGTTTTTTAATGCAGTGCCATCTGAGGGATGGAAGGTCATGGTCATTCATTTGTAGTTTTCATCCTTTTTTACGAGACTTCTCCTAATTCCCTGAACCTTTTGATGCTGTTATGCACCAAAGAGGATGTAATACCTAAGGTCCTTGCAATCACTCGTTAAGGAATGTTATTTAAGATGCAGCGACAAACAGTGTTTATTGACAAAAGTTTGTCCAAGTTGTCCTGAGCCCATACGGTGATCATCACAGAAACATGCCAGTTTTTAATGCCGTGTGAGGCAACTTTTTTGGAACGTGTTGCAGACATTAATTTCAGAATTAACATATATTTACAAAACACAACGAACATTTAACATATAGCTTATAAAATAGTGGCTCTTAATCAGTGTATATTCAAATACAATCTGCATTTTTTTAGAAGTTTATTTTACATATTCTACAGGGCTTTTTTTGATAAAGTCAGCTTTTATTGACAAAGAAAACATGTACATGTTACTTTTTTGGCTTCTCATACATTTTTACATTTGAAACTTTGACCCAAGTCAATATTTAACAGCATTCCATCAGATCCAGCCCACTTTATGATAATGATACCCCACCAAGATTTGCTTTTTACCCGCCACATATCCATTTTCATGAAAAATAATGACCATACCACACTCCTGTTTGTAGTCATGCATGCAGTTCTGCTGTGTCCAGCTTTAAAGAAAGGAAAGAAAACACACCAGAAAGTAAAACGCCTGAAATAATGCCAAAAGAAAATGTAAATGAAAACAAAAGTGCTGAGCTGCATCGGTGGGAACAAAATGCCACCTCTGTGTAATGCCGTCGATCCTTTAGTGCAGAGGCCTTCAAATCCAGTTTGGGTCCTGAGTTCTGTAGTCACTGGTAGGTTTGATACTAGGTGGCCAGTTGGTTACATCATCAGTTCAATTAACTAAGAGTGATTACAAAGCTGGATTAAAGGTTTGGATTTGAAGACCTCTGCTTTAGGCTAAAGGAGTTTTCATGAAGTCTCTCAGTGTTAGCGTTAGCATTAGTCCCATCCTATGATATGATAATGCATCTATAGTGTTCTGCTGCTGCCGCAGGGCCAGAGGTAAATACTATGGGGCCGCCATTCAAATCAGCCTGTAAGCTTATAACTAGACCAACCTGCTCTCAAAGCTGGCAGCGCACTTCAAATGACTGAAGAGCCAAACAAAACCTACCGCCAGACATGCGGCAATTAGAGTTAGGACCAATCACAGGTGATGAATGACAGTGATTAGGACCAATCAGTCAGGGGGAGGTCTCAGAATGAATGACACAGACTAGGACCAGTCACAGTCAGGGGGAGTCTCAGAATGAATGACACAGATTACAACCAATCACAGTCAGGGGGAGGTCTCAGAATGAATAACACAGATTACGACCAATCACAGTCAGGGGGAGTCTCAGAACAAATGATGCAGTGATTAGGACCAATCACAGTCAGGGGGAGGTCTCAGAATGAATGACACAGACTAGGACCAATCAGAGTCAGGGGGAGGTCTCAGAATGAATGACACAGACTAGGACCAATCACAGTCAGGGGGAGGTCTCAGAATGAATGACACAGACTAGGACCAATCACAGTCAGGGGGAGGTCTCAGAATGAATGACACAGACTAGGACCAATCAGAGTCAGGAGGAGGTCTCAGAATGAATGACACAGACTAGGACCAATCACAGTCAGGGGGAGGTCTCAGAATGAATGACACAGACTAGGACCAATCACAGTCAGGGGGAGGTCTCAGAATGAATGACACAGACTAGGACCAATCACAGTCAGGGGGAGGTCTCAGAATGAATGACACAGACTAGGACCAATCACAGTCAGGGGGAGGTCTCAGAATGAATGACACAGACTAGGACCAATCAGAGTCAGGGGGAGGTCTCAGAATGAATGACACAGATTCCAACCAATCACAGTCAGGGGGATGTCTCAGAATGAATGACACAGATTCCGACCAGTCACAGTCAGGGGAAGGTCTCAGGGGCAAACAATGTAGTGATTAGGACCAATCACAGTCAGGGGGAGGTCTCAGAATGAATGACAGTGATTAGAACCAATCACAGTCAGGTCTCAGGACGAATGATAGTGATGGGGACCAATCACAGTCAGGAGGAGGTCTCAGAACAAATGACATCGATTAGGACCAATCACAGTCAGGGGGAGGTCTCAGAACAAATCATGCAGCGATTAGGACCAATCACAGTCAGGGGGAGGTCTCCGAATGAATGACACAGATTAGGACCAATCACAGTCAGTGGGAGGTCTCAGAACAAATGATGCAGCGATTAGGACCAATCACAGTCAGGGGGAGGTCTCAGAATGAATGACAGTGATTAGGACCAATCACAGTCAGCGGGAGCTCTCAGAACAAATGATGCAGCGATTAGGACCAATCACAGTCAGCGGGAGCTCTCAGAACAAATGATGCAGCGATTAGGACCAATCACAGTCAGGGGGAGGTCTCAGAACAAATGATGCAGCGATTAGGACCAATCACAGTCAGGGGGAGGTCTCAGAATGAATGACAGTGATTAGGACCAATCACAGTCAGGGGGAGGTCTCAGAATGAATGACACAGATTACAACCAATCACAGTCAGGGGGAGGTCTCAGAATGAATGACACAGATTACAACCAATCACAGTCAGGGGGAGGTCTCAGAATGAATGACACAGATTCCGACCAATCACAGTCAGGGGGAGGTCTCAGAACAAACAATGTGGACCAATCACAGTCAGGGGGAGGTCTCATAATGAATGATACAGATCTGGACCAATCACAGTCAGGGGGAGGTCTCAGAATGAATGATACAGGATTAGGACCAATCACAGTCAGGGGGAGGTCTCAGAATGAATGATACAGATTTGGACCAATCACAGTCAGGGGGAGGTCTCAGAATGAACGAACTCCAACCGCTGCATCGTTTTCGTTAAAAAGACGTTGTTTTGCTCTGAGATGTCGTTCGTTTGAAGTGCTCTGCCAATCTAAGTGTCTACACTGGTTGTATTGGCAGAAACCTCTCAGTAGTGAAGGTCATCTGACGAAGCTGAACATCAAAAGCCGTCGGTTATGATTTTTGTTAAATTGCAAACCATAAAATAACTGATCCAGGCTCCACCCACAAATGTGTTCTTTCATAGCTACTGTTGCTAGGTTGGACAGGCTTTACAGAAGGCTGGTAAAAACCCAATTCAAACTAATAAACTGTAGAACACGACTCATCAAAATAATCACAACATGTTTCCAATTTCTAAATATAATTATTTGGTAAAAAAACAGTAAATCAAGCGAATCTGCCTGGTTCCAATTAGCATCAACACAGTCCAGCTCAGCAGCACTAAACGTTAAGAAACAACGTTACACAGCGACTCACCACAGTTTGTCCAACAGCTGCTGTGAAAACATCATTTGTGGGTGAAGCATGAATAGAATAATGACTTGCAGAGACTCTCTGGCTCAAATCATGAAGTTGACCACAATTTGATTGTCAATGTCACAGCATTCCTTCGCTTTAAACGGTTTCTATGGTTTAGTTTAGTGGGTTCAGGTCAAACCTTTGGAATCCACAATTCATAATTTGTGACAAGTTCACCACTTTCCCACTAGTGAACAGACTTTAAACACATTTCCCCTGTTTTTAATAAATAGTCCACAGTGGTGCTTTATAAACACATCCACAGGGAAGGTAAACCAGCTCCCTTTTGGACGTTGAGCCTTCTAGGGCTGCACAATATATCGTTTGCTATATATCGTATATATCGCGATATTAGTCTTCGCAATACTGATATCGTAGCTGGGCCCTTGAACCAATCACAGTGTTTGTTTACTGTGTGCTGTGAGCATCTGACCAATGAATATTCATGTAATTTAACAAAAGTAAAACATCTGGATCAATATAATGCATATTGATCTTTAACCAGGCTGCATTTTTGATTCACCTGTGTGTTTAAAGGGCCAATATCATGAAAAAACTAATTTTCCTTTCATTTTTCTTTTCTCCTCAGTCAAAATGTACAAACTAAGCTGCAAAAACAGCATTTTGTCATAAAACCCAACAGATTTACATATACCGGTCTATTCAGCCTACAGCAGTTTAGCTCCGCCCATTCATGCTGGATTATAAGCATCAGCTCCGCTTTTTGAAAGAGATACAATACAGAGCAGCCAATCAGAACAGAGCTCATTTACAGGTATCAGTCTTAAAGGCACAGTAACAAAAACAGCCTCTTTAGTTCTAAGGGATGAAGAGAGGCTGTAAAAATGAATCATGACTGTTTATGATATATAAATCCACATAACTAATGCACTACAAATGCAGGATTCTGGGTTCTTCAGTATATTGCAATTCTATCAGTTGTATCGCGACTGCAATATGTAGCAATATAATCGCAATACCGGTATTTTCCCATATCGTGCAGCCCTAGGGCTAACATCTGGTTGTCAATGAGTTTGTTTACATGCACTTAATAATCCGATCACTGCAGAAAATCAGATTGTCAGTAATCTGATCAATGTGTTTATATGCACTTGAGTCATCAGATAATGTGAAACTCCAGGTCTACATGAGTCAGACAGTAATCAGATTTCTGCTTTACAACCAGCCAATAAACTCACAGAATAAGACTCAATGTAAATGTAATGTAAAACTTCGGGCCGCAGATTTTTTAAAAAATTATTATTATTTTTTTTTAAATACATTACGCCACTTTACCTGAAAATATGAACATTTTTCATCTAGAAGATGAAGAATATTTAAATTCCCCATTTCGTCAAGAATGTATTTGGTTTTAGTGTCGCTCCAAAGGTGTTTTGCTGCGCCTCGCGGCCACGCTGCTCGCTTATTTCCGGTATCCGAAAGAAATCAGAGTAAGAGCTTACGTGCACTGAGAAATCTGATTACTGAGCTAAAATCTATCCTCTTTATTGGATTTCTTAATCAGATTTCTAGATCGAAGTGTACTGTTTACATGACCATTTGAACAATCAGGTAACTGCAGAAATTCGATCATGATTGGATTATTAAGCGCATGTAAACTCACTCAGTGACCATTTTCTCCACTGCAAGGGAGAAATCAATGCAAAGCAAAAGTAAAGCAAATTCCATTGTGTGTGAATCTTTTTTGGAGGATGAGCCTTTTTCACCTTTGCGAGTCAGGAACACAAACTTGGGAGGTAAACGATTCTGTATGACAGCTGCAGCTGCAAAAGGAGTTTGTTTCTGCTGCCTGAAATGTAATATAATCACAGAGTCATCATTAAGATTTAAACATCGTGAGAAGCCAATATTCATTTTTACCCTGTAGGCTACGCTAATTAACAAAGGGCAAGGTATCTACACATCAACCAATCGTCTGATTATCCAGGGCTTGTTCGTCCACGTCCTCTTGAAGGCTATTGAATCCTTCACGGCAGTGTTCTGATCGCTGTCCTTCTGTTTTCCTCAAAATGGCTTAATTTCCAGTGCACTGCATCGCAAATTATTAGTCTATTTCTCATATAATCTCTTTAATGAAAGGGAAATTAGTGTTCTTTTTGGATGGCAATCATACAGACATGAGCTGCTCTGATGAGGGGAGATGGATGGGTGTCGAATGAATTATCCCAAAGAGGAGTTTGGGGAGCCTCTGCCCGACTCATAATAGTCTGATAATAGTCTTGTAATCTGGACCGTTCCACTGTTTCGACAACTCGAATCCATTTGCACTAAAGCAGAATCTTCCGTGTAGGTAAAACTCATTGTCGCGTGTTGTTTCCCGGCTGAATTCCTGAAGAACTCTCGAAAAACGTCCATCAGATCTTACGGTAAGGTGGCGTCAGCTGGGTCAGTTGGGCCGATCCGCTCTGCAGCAGCGTTCCGTTAGTAACGTAACTCCATAAATAAAGTGTACATGCGGCACATTCGTTCCAGAATGTGCAAAGCGTTCGTCTTCCAGGTCCTGTCTGATGTTTGCATCGAGAGAAGCTACATCTTTTCAGCTTTGGAGCATTGAGTCTTGGGAAACAAACAAAACACAACAAAAAAAACACACACAAGGTCCATGTTCTCCGCACTGGTGAAATAAAGCATCTGGTGGTTTGTAAAGCTAAAAGGTGAGACCGAAGCTCCGAGGAGTTTATCCTTGGTCTCCTGCCGAACAGCTGCTCCAGGCACTGCACTAGAATCTAAAGGAATCCTTGCAGAAAGGAAACTTCTTGCTCTGTCTCAGTCTTTCATTCTGGGTCTCCTGCCTGCCTGTTAGGAGAGTTTCCATTAGGGCTGCACAATATATCGTCTGTTAATCAATCAATTCTGGCATCGCCAAGGCTTGCACTATGTAAACAAGCCCTCAAAGAATCATTAAAAGCTTCCCAGACACAGATTAAGCCTCAAATATCGGTAAAACACCACTGACATTACAATTACATTACTATCCTGCATGATTAAGTAGTTAAGATGTAAACAGAGTCGTTCAGAGTGGTTTGGTGTGAAACGCTCTGTTCTAGAGAAACTTACCGAGTCAGAACTGTTCACAGTGGTGGTGATAGGAACCAGACGTCCACCTCTAAAAGCTCCCTCACAGAAAGTTACTGCATGAAATGGTTATGAATTCACTGCCTGATGTCTGAGACACTGTTTTACGATAGTTTGAGAAGATTTTGGCCTAAAATGTACTTAAAAATCTATTCATGGTGGAGGGATACGTAATATGCAGGGTGTTATTAGGCAAAAATAGTCCCCAAAGAAAACTTATTATTTCAGATTTTCCACTATTTTCCATCACCAACATTCCATATAAACTCAGAAGACTCATGTAGGTTCACTGGTGGTTCTGGATAGTAAATAAAATGTCTATATTTGTGTTGTAGTCATGGCGACCCCTGGTTCCTATCACCACCACTGTAAAGACATCTGAACCATTTCACACCAAACCACTCTGAATCACTCTGATTACATCTCAAACACTGGATTACGCAGAAATTTTGAAATTCATCCCTTAGCGTCAGTAAGGTCCAGACACAGATTAAGCCTAGTGTTGGACTAAACCGCAACACCAAGGGTGAATCACTACGAGAAATCCTTCTTAGTCTAGATTTAAGCTTAATCTAGGTCTGCCAAACTGGCTTTATGTTTTACTGACTAATCACAGTTCCACATGAGTTTCTGTGAGTGTTCTGATAAATATTCATCTAATTATTTTGGTCAGAATTACGCAGGCCGGTCTTTATGTCACATTATTTAATTCACCAGTGTCACTTTAATACACTGCAGTTGCAACATGTAGCAATGTAACTGAAATAGACCTCTGAAGCATTTTGAAGTTGCTGTTATGCTCATATTAGGAATTCAGGGTCTAAGCTGGTCTCTATGTGGGGGAAATGAATGGCGTTTTCAAAAGTTACCTCCATCCTGTGGTAAACAAAAACGCTTTAAGGAGTCAAAATACCAATGATGCTACATCCACGCTGCAGACAAGCTAACGCTCCTGCACTCTGACATGAAGTCATGTGAAAGCTAGTCTACAACGTGGTTACAAACCAACACCAGCTACTTAAACTGCAGCCTAGAACTGCCACACGCCTCTAACACCCACACTAGACAGAGCTTACTGGTATCTGTGGGGTATTTTGGTGAGGTCAGTCTGATGATGTCAGTGTGCAGCTGGAAAAGCCTGCAGGAACAGTGTCCAAACGGTAAAACCTTTCAGCTTCGGAACCTTTTTTGTTTCCCGGTGGCTGAGAAGACCCAACAAACTGCAAATAAAAACGAGCTGCAAAACGCAGAAAACACTTTCATCAACATGACATCAGAGCCACATTTCATAAAGGCACCGCAAATGAGGAAAACACGGCAAAGCCAGTCACAACACAGCGGAAATGTCTCTGGAAGGCTCAAAGAGCTCAAAGTAGATGGAATATTTATGATGTAAAATCACTGACAGAAGCAGATCAGACCACTCGGACACTCGCATCCCGAGTTTGTGGTTAACCTGGCTGGCTGGTTCGCTATCTGCAGTGTCGTAGCTGTGCTGTGGTGGTTAATCTGGTGTTACTAGTTAAACGTTTACAGTTACACTCTACAGATAATCCCTATTACCATACAGTGACGTCAGTAATCTGCTCAAATAAAATTAACTTACTTTTACTGGTTAACGTTTGTGCTGCACAGAATTTAAAAGTCTGGGTGGCTCCGTCCTCTGAGTGTCCTCCAGAATCCCCTCTGCTGTGTTGTGACTGGATTATCAGTGTTTTTGATGTTGCGTGTGCTTCTGTATTTGCAGTGTGTGTGTACAATGCAGCTCCTATGTAGTCATGTTGATAAAAGTGCTTTCTGAGTTTGCAGCTCATTTTTTATTTGCAGTTTGCTGGGTCTTCTCGGCCACCGTTCCGCAGGGATTGACGGCAGCGATTTTCCAAAACGCCACTCATTTTTCCTCATAGAGAAAACCTGCTCAGACCCGGAGCTCCTAACATGGGCGCGACGCACGACTTCAGGAGTCTAAACCTTACATTCTGCCTGTATTGTGCAGCCCTAAGTTCCCATTTGGACCCAGCATCGTGACCTCTGTGACCTCTGTAAGCCTTTGCTTGCTACAACGAGGCTTTAGAAAGATGGAAAAATCCTTCTGCTCCAATTTCGACCCAGCATGACCTCAGATTTTCCACAGTGGAGAAGAAACAAAGCACCGCGTTCTGAGGGGCTGCAGCCGTGGCCCCGATGGAGGTGCACTGTGGAGGAGATGGTGCATAGGTGGTCTGGAGAAATGCTGCTGCTTCTGTTTAATCTCCCAGCACAGCTTTCAGGCTCTTTGAAGTGCAAATGAGAGAGAGAGAGAGAGAGAGAGAGGGAGAGAGAGAGGGAGAGAGAGAGAGAGAGAGAGAGAGAGAGAGAGAGAGAGAGGCAGGCGAGGAGAGACAGGACGGAGAACCTGCTCTTAGGAGATGATCTCTAGGATGTAGAAGATGAGCTCCATGACCACTGGACCTTCGCTCAGCTGGCAGGCTCCGCTGTGGATGACCGGGATCAGCGCACTGTCCAAATCACTCAAATACTGAGGGAGCAGCGGCTGACCGTTGCTGCCCGCCAGGTAGCCCACCTGCAATAACAATAAATAAATAAATAAAAAGAAGAACAACAACAACCCTTTTAAGAGAACAAGTACCCAGCTTTTATTTAAAAGTCAGATTTCTGCCGTCTTATTATTATTATTCTTATTATTGTTATTATATATTTATATTTCTTATTTATTAGTATGACTTCACCCTTTGTATTTTCTAAAAATCTTCCAAAAACACTGCATTTGGTTTTAAAAATAGTTATTTCTCATAAAACTTGTTTAAAAATTATACACATGCTTATTTTTGTCATTTTTTTGACATAATTTGAAAATGTCTGTTGCCCTTTACATGGTGGGTAAATTACATGATGAATGGACAAAAAAAAATAATTAAAAAACAGCACAAAATTACTTGGAAAAAATCCTGGTTCTATTGTCTTGCATTGAAAGTAAAGTAGGTTTTTCCTTCTCCTGTAAAGTTACCATTTTGGAGATACAAGGTTCTGACAACAGTGATATACATACATACATGCACGTGTGCGCACACACACACACATAAATTGGCTACGACTACAGACTTTAGGGGCCATATTATGGAAAACATAATTTTTCTTTTTTTCTAATTATAATCATATAGCTTATTTTAGCATGAAAACATCATCAAAGTTTCCCCAGTCCATACATTCCGCATTCCAGTGGTCAATTAAAAATGAATTCGTTTTGGTAGATAAATTTGCTTTGGGTACATAAAAAACACAAATGGGACAATAAAGTAGAAGCAGGTGTGGGATACAGGCAAAAAAGACGCCCACGTCTCTCCTCACCTGATCTGAGTCCAGTGTGACCCTCAGTCCCAGCTTGGCCATGCCGTCCTCCTTGAGTAATTTGAGATGAGGACAGAGGGCCATACAGAACGCCCTCGCCACGTTCTCAGTGAGGCGGCTGTGGTCGGCTGGGTCACTCAGACCGTTGGGCTGGTCATCACTCTGGAGAAAAAACACCTGAAGAAAAGACACGAATTCTCAAAGCTCAAGGAGGAGGAAAAGGAAAACACTACATGAAGAGTTTCGTTTCACAATGCTGTTTATCTCGTAACAGTTTCAGATATGAGTATCTGGAAAGAATAACAGCTGATGCATAATAATGACGCAATATTGAAATATCTTGTATGTGTGAAACTCACTCACTTCAATATACAGTCATATGCAAAAGTTTGAACAAACCTGCTCTAACAACACATTCTGTGGATTTACATACATACATACATACATCATCTAGACCGCTTATCCTTCTGGGTCGCGGTGGGGTGCTGGAGCCTATCCCAGCTGTCATTGGGCGGAAGGCCGTTCTGTGGATTTCCTAAGTGAGAATAAGGCTTTGTTCACACAGCAGGTAAAAGTCGCCCAAATCTTTTTCTTCATATGTGACACAGATGTGTGTCTGTGTGTCAGTGTGGACAGATAAACACACTCAGTTCTGATTTGAGATGCTTTCATATGTGGTACTGAAATCCGATACGTATCTGATCTGCGGCAATGCGACTACGTCAATCCAGCTCCACATTCGTCATAATTTCGCGCTGCTGAAACTCAAACATTTAGGCTGATGTTTCTGTACCAAAACATTAGAAGAGATTAATCCAAAACCCTCCGTGTTTGAAGAGATTCCTAAAGAACTGTCCGAACGCGGCCGCAGGAGAACGAGGCTGCAGCGTCAAAGAACAGTTACAAGTCTGAAAGCCAAGTTTAAAGAATCCGAGGACGCAAACCAAAGAAGTGACCGCGCCCTTTTTACGGCTCCAACACATTCTGGGTGATGAGCCCAGCTGTCAGTCAGTGAAGCTTCATGATGGCTCCTGTGATGCTGGTGAAGATGAAGCTGATCCTCTGGGAGCGACTGGCGTTCTTGGGGTCGGTTCATGTGGGTCGGTTTAGGAGCTGATCTGTTCAGGCTGATGTCGCATACAGATCACATTTAAAAGATATGGCACTTTTACCTGCTGTGTGAACAACAATTAAATAGGACTCACTTCAGTGCACAATTACTATTTATTTGCTGACTTATTTTCATAAAATCAGCAAAATGTCATTTGACCAGGGACGCCCAAACATTCACATATGACTGTATATCATAAATATACAGAAACTTTGTGAAACTGGTCTACAGTGCAAACAGATCTCTTCATATATAGAATCATTTAAAAAGGAAATAAATGTCGGTACTTAAACGATCTTTAACACATTCGTAACAGACTGAACGAGAAGTGAAATACTGCACCTCTGTCCAGCGGATGACCTTCCCGTTGGCTTTGTACTCCGAGCCATGGAAGATTTTAACACTAGTGATGGACTCCATAGATTTCCCATCAATGGGGCTGATAACTCTGGTTGGGAACAGGAGAAAACCAAAGAACACAGCAGACGCATGTTTAGAAAGTTACAGCCTGAGCTGGTTTCCCGAGAGCGTCTTCGCACAAAGACCATTCTTAAATAATCCGGATTCACGAAAGCGTCTTACGAAAGGAAATCTTCTTAACTGTGTTTTTTTCTTAACTTCATTCTTAAGAAAAAGTGTAAAATAACTTCTTATTTTCTTTTCTCAACTTTTGTCTTAAGAAGCGTCTAAATTTATCAATTTATCCGCTCTTGCTCATCCTCGTCCCTTGCTTTCCGCTGCCACCCCACAATTATCATATTTTCCAATGAGGATTTTTCCTGTTGGCTGTTTCTTCACCTCTAGTTCTTGTTTGCTAATTTTTTTAACACTTGGTTTGATGTTTTTCCTCCATTTTGCTCGTCTGAGAGGATTAAACTAATAACAGAAATAACAGTTAATACAAATTAAAGAAGTATCTCGGGCTGTTTATGGTACATTTTTTAAGAAAATCTCAAGAAAATAATTGAGATTATCTAAAGAAAATATTTAAGAACTTCTTACGTTTTTTTTTCGAGAACTGCATTTGAGAACATTATGAACTTTAGTGTTTTTCCTAAGAACCTTCGCAAGTTTTTCTTAAGAAAGCGTTTCGTAAATCCGACGAAGTGTCTTAAAAAAGAAAATCTTAAACTTGTGTTTTTTCTTCTCTTCATTCTTAAGAAAAAAGTTACGAGAAATTGTTATTCTTCAAAAAACTTAATAATTCTCTTAATTCTTAACTAATCTCTTAGAAATGATTCTAAGAACGAGTGATATTCCTGAAAATATTATGTTCTTAAATGTTTAACCTTACGACAGACTCACACTCGTCTCAGACAAATTCATCAATGACGCTGCCTCTGCTGCTCCTCGTCCTGCTGCACCTCTAGATTCAAATTTTTTAAACACTTGGTTCGATGATCTGCTTTTTCCTTAATTTTGCTCCTCAGTTAATACAAATTCAAAATGTATCTTGTGTCATTTGTGGTACATGGTCAAATGCAACACCTACATAAGAAAACAAATGCAAAGATTTTCTCCAATCCGATTGAATACATTCCAGTTATAGATTAAGACTGAGGTGTTTATATTCTCACTCTACTCAACAATCCGTCCCACCGCTGTCTTTTAAAGATCAGAGCATAAACTTCGTCTCCTCTGCAGACCAGTTTCTGCTCCGCCATGTTGAACGGTATAAACTTTTCTATGACGTGACGAACATGATCAGAACGGACTTAAACTTTCCGATAGGGAATGTAATCAGATACAGGCGTTTACACCGATATTATTCTACTATTTAACAGATTATTTACAGGATTACACACCTCGTTCGGTTGGATAGAAACTGTATTCCAAATGGCCTCAATCGGACTAGTCGATTCCGACTTTTACATGGACGTATTCTATACTGATTGAGCTGTTAGCCGGATTATTAAGAGAATATCAGGCTGCATGTAAACGTGAGGATTTTCTTAAGAAAATAACAGATTATTTAAAGAGAATATTTGACAACTTAAGTTCGAGAATATTTAAGAACATTCTTCTGAACTTCTTAATGTTTGTCTTAAGAACCTTCACAAGTTTTTTTCTTAAGAACGCTTTCGTAAATCTGGCCCCGGAACAGTAAAACACACGTTTACGTGCTTTCAGCCTGAACAGCAAAAACACGTTAACCTGGTTAACGTCTGAACAGTAACAGTAGCAGTTCTGGGATAGTTTTATATTCAAATGTTGATTTTTTTTTTTTTTGTGTTACAATTTTTATTTAACTTACTGATTGGGGCAACTCAGAAGGTCGCTGGTTCGATCCCCTGTGCTGACAGGACATGACTGAGGTGCCCTTGAGCAAGGCACCTAACCCCCAACTGCTCCCCGGGAGTCGTGGATAGGGCTGCCCACCACTCTGGGTTACTGTGCTCACTGCCCCCTAGTGTGTTTGTGTGTGTTCACTAGTGTGTGTGTTTCAACGCACAGATGGGTCAAATGATGGTGAATTTCCCCGTTGTGGGACTAATAAAGGGTAACTTAACTTAATATTACTTAAATAAAAGGTCCGTCTGTGTAACGTCTGTAATTAAACCTTTTCAGTTTGTATTGTTTTTTTGATCTTTTTCTGTATATTTTAACATCGTCATTCTACTGAAAACTGCAATCATTTTGGGCAGTGATATGATGATGGCAAATTCTCAGGTCGTCCCATCCCTATAACAATCACTCATCACTTACCCCTTGTTGAAGTTTAAGTCGTCCTCTATCCACTGGATGTGGACGTGCTCCTGGTTCTCCTCCTGGTCAGCCTTTCCACAGACAATGCTGAAGTCCTTCATCTCCCTCAGAGCCTGACGCAGAGCCTCCATGGTTTCTGCTGTGATCTGCACCATCACTCCATCTGCAACACACACATACAGAGTCTAGAACAGGTCTAAAGTCTGACTGGCTGAGCCAAAATCAGTCAGCTTAAAATATTTCATTAACTTCTACACACATAATTACGGTTCCATAAAGAAAAAGGTTCTATATAGAACCATGAACACTCAAAGAACCCTTTGCATAAAGCATTCTTCAGACTAACAGTGAATGTGCTGTAGATGGTTCTATACAGAACCTTTTTGAAAAGGGTTCTATATAGCACCAAAAAGCATTCTTCTATTGTAACAAGCCTGACATCACAATAATAGAATGCTTCTTCAAAGAGGTTCTACATAGAACCATGTACAGCACATTCTCCACCAATCTGAAGAACGCTTTAATCGTGCAAAGGGTTCTTTGAGTGTTCATGGTTTTCTTTAATAAAGAACCACTGAAGAACCATAATCTCTGTGTATGTGAGAGAACACATCAACTGAATTTTGTATTAATGCACCAAGTGATTAAATATCATTCAATATCAGCTAATAATAATAATAATAATAATGATAATAATAATAATAATTACTATATTATTAATTTTCCGTACTTATGCTTTTTAATGAAACAGGGTAATGAAAAAACAATGTTGTCTTAAAAACTGAAAAAAGCTTTATGGTCATTGATGAGTGACCATGTTTTAGATCGACCCCTTTTAAACCGCTTTCTAAACTCTGTATCAGCTGTATTAGTCTTTACGCCTGGCGCAAAACTTATAAAAGCCAGATGGACAGGCACCCTAAAACTAATAAAAAGATAAAAGCCAATCATGAGTGTGGGTGTGTTCACAGCATAAGCCCCACCCCCTCTCCACCCACTATACTCTTACTGGCGAGAGAGACAGAGTGAGAGAGAGAGAGAGAGAGAGAGAGAGAGAGAGAGAGAGAAAGAGAGAGAGGGAGACAAAGAGAAAGATAGAGAAAGAGAAAGAGAAAGAGAGAGAGAGAGAGAGAGAGAGAGAGAGAGAGAGAGAGAGAGAGAGAGAGAGGGAGACAAAGAGAAAGATAGAGAAAGAGAAAGAGAAAGAAAGAGAGAGAGAGAGAGAGAGAGAGAGAGAGAGAGAGAGAGAGAGAGAGAAATCCGCATAACAGCTTTACATTTACACAAATTTCATATCTGATTTTTCTGCATGTGTCAAAATCGTTCCACCCTCACACCACAGCTGATTTTAGCTCCTTTTCGCCCGTATACATCAATACATCACTGCCACCTACTGGATGTATTCTGAACTGCACTTAAAATTATAGGTAATAAAGAATAATAATAATAATAATAATAATAATAATAATGATTTTTATTTATATAGCACTTTTCATGCCAGTGGCAACTCAAAGCTTTACAGACAGGAGATAAAATTCAACAGTAATAAGATATTATAAGTATTAATTTACAATTGTATAAGAAAGGTAAATATTGTTTTTAAAAAGTCTGTGTAAAATAAACTCAGAGTTTTGTTTCTAAACACTTTATATGTGAAAAGACTGAACTGTGTAGTACTGAATTGTGGAGTTAGACTTAACGTTTTTCAGCATTTTTGTGTTCAGGATGAAACCATTGCCCTCTGACCTCATGACCTCATGACCGCTCGCCCAACACTACAGCGTTAGTAAATAAAAAAAAACAAAAAAAACAAAAATCAGTTTAAAAATTCTGCTGTTAGAATTTTCCTATTCCACCTTAAATGGTGCAGCAGTTACATTCTGGTGAACACAAAGCTGAAGAGACCGAACTTTTCCTGTGAGTGGGCGTGGTTTCAGCGCCTTAAGCAGCCACGCCCCCAGCGTTTCAGAGCAGAGAATACTGACTGTTTTTTTAACAATTCTGACACCTGATTTAATATACTTCTTGTTCCAATTTTCCCGTTCCACCTTAAACGGTGCCTGAGGTGCCAGAGTGTAACTGCTGCACCGTTTAAGGTGGAACGGGAGAATCTGAATGAGAAACTGACTTCAGCTTTGCGGCTTTTTAGTGTTTCTCAGTTTATCATTGCAGTTTAAACGTATCAGGAAACCAGCTGGAGTGATTATAAACGCAAATCTATAAGTCTCAGATTATCTAAGTCTCAAAATTATCGATGTTCGATCTTTCTCTTTGCCTTTTCGTTAGCTACTAGCTAGGCGAAACGATTGTTGTTGCTATGGTGACCATCAGTCTGCGCACCAATCTTCAGGGCTGCTGTTGTATATGAGCAGTAATCCACTGTAGGCTGTGTATTACTGAGTTTACTCCACCTTCACATCGCTGCCCTTTAACTGTGGGGAGAATCACAGCCTACAGTGGATTTTTAACCCACATACATACCAGACAGACTCCAATAAGCGCCTTCGTTCTAACATCCACACTTCACTGTAGATCAACTGTTAAAAGATATTGGCTCCATTTCTGAACCTGATCCTGCACAACTGTCTGAGGCAAGAGTGAGTACAACTCAGTCGGTGTCCTAAGCGTAAACGAGTTAATAGGACATTATGCTTAGTTTAGACAGTATTCCGAAGGGATGAGTTGACCTACATTCCCTCGAAAAGCTTTAGAGGTACCTTCAACAATGCTGGTCTTCGCCAAGTAGCCCGACGAGGCCTTCAGAGCTCCGCTGAACACAAAGAAGCAGGCGCCCGTAACTGGAACACAGAAGAACGAGCTAAACTTACTCAGCTGTACAGGACAAACAAAGCAAAGTCGACTGCCCTTAGGCATCATTGAGCATATTGTGATGACCATCTCCAAAAACCTCTTTATATTGAAAGTTCAGCATGTTTTAGCCCTCTCCTGTAAAGTTACAAGTTTATAGATACTTGTTTTTCTTTGGACAGCGATGACGTCCTAATTTCACCGACAAAACACTGATTTTGGTATTTATCAATTTCATCTTTGTTGTATCTGTACAAGTAAATTTGAGTGTAACAGTTCAAGTACCTGAAAAATGCCTGATTTGCATGTTAAATCATCAAATTTAGCATCAATATCATCAATAATGTCAATATTAACAAAAAAAACAAACAAACAGAAAATCACACTAATAACTGCACACAGTCATTCATCGTATTTATTTTTATGTGCACACTGATATAAACAAATGCAGGCGCCCGTAACAGAAGAAGAGCAGAACAAGCAAAGCCAAGTCACTGGTCTTATTCATCCCTGAGCTCATCTCCACTGTCAATTTATTTTTTCTACATCATCTGAACAAAATTGTGTGCACATTTCATGATGAATGGATCAACAAGATTCCTCTAAAATCACTTTTTTTAGATACTATTTATTCATTTCATCTTTGCCATAACTGTATGACCATTCTCACGTCCAGTAGAAGTGTGAATAAATTTGAGTGCAACAGTTTAACCACTGTTTAATAGGAAAACTGCCTGATTTGCAATTAAATCATCAAATTTATCATCAATATAATCGATAACATCAGTAATAATAATAAAACTAGGAAAAATGCCTGATTTACAGTTCAAATGTCAAATTTATCATCAATGTAATCAATAATATCAGTAATAACAATAAAAATAGGAACAATGCTTGATTTGCAGTTAAATCGTCAAATTTATCAGCATTTTACTACATTTCCTTCGGGATCAATAAAGTGTCTGTCTGTCTCATAATCAATAATACCAGCAACAACAATAAAAATAGGAAATAACTATAATACTAATTCTGCGCAGTTATTCATTGTTTTTTTTACGTGCATACTGATGTAAACAAATATTGAGAGTATAATATAAAGATCTGCTGCACTGTAGTTTTATACTTTAGCTTTATATCACTGATAGCTTATAAAAACACAGCTTACCCAGTTCAATAACACTCATCTCATATGCATTTTTAACACTGTAAAGCTATTTAAGCTCTGGCCAGCAGGTGGAGCAGTGCACTGTTTGACAGTTTTAATGAATCTGTGTTTGTTTATATGCAATTTTGATGAATAAAGGCCAGCATGTTCTAGACTGTGGTCAGTTTCTGCTTGAGGTTGTTCTTTAATACTCATGATCCTGTAACAGTAGACATGTCTGGGAGCATTAGTGCTTGTTTACATTTATTTGCACGCACACACACACACACCGATCAGGCATAACATCATGACCACCTCCTTGTTTCTACGCTCATTGTCCATTTTATCAGCTCCACTTACTATATAGGTGCACTTTGTAGTTCTACAGTTACAGACTGTAGTCCATCTGTTTCTCTGATACTTTGTTAGCCTGTGCTTTTACCCTGTTCTTCAGTGGTCAGGACCCCCATGGACCCTCACAGAGCAGGTACTATTTGAGTGGTGGATCATTCTCAGCACTGCAGTGACACTGACGTGGTGGTGGTGTGTTAGTGTGTGTTGTGCTGGTCTGAGTGGATCAGACACAGCAGTGCAGGAGTTTTTAAACACCTCAGTGTCGCTGCTGAACTGAGAACCAAAAATATCCAGCCAACAGCGTCCTGTGACCACTGATGAAGGACTAGAGGATGACCAACACAAACTGAGCAGCCGCAGATGAGCTATCGTCTCTGACTTTACATCTACAAGGTGGACTGACAAGGTAGGAGAGGACAGTGAGTGGATACGGTGTGGACACAATGAGGGTCCATGGGGGTCCTGACCACTGAAGAACAGGGTAAAAGGGGGCTAACAAAGTATGCAGAGAAACAGATGGACTACAGTCTGTAACTGTAGAACTACAAAGTGCACCTATATAGTAAGTGGAGCTGATAAAATGGACAATGAGTGTAGAAACAAGGAGGAGGACCAGAAAAAGAATCCAGACAGAGTCCAGCATGTCCAGGAAGGCTGCCAAGAGATTAACAGTTGTCCTAGAAGCTCTGAGTCATTCTACGATTAGGGGCATATTTAGCAAAAAAGTGTGTTTTGAGATAAATCAATAAATTTTCTAAGTACTGCATATATTGACTTTAATATACTCACTAATGGCCGATCCTGAGCTATAAAGCTGTTTAAATTTCTTTTGAAGTGTCCTGAGTGTGACCCACCTTTGCGAGGCTGGTGATGAATGCTGATGGCCTGCGTCTGGTAGTTTCCGTCATCGTTCTGCACACAGACGAGATGCGAGTCCGCCCGCTCGTTAAAGCACGCGCCCATAGCCAGCACGTGCTCGTTGGACTTGTTCATGGCCTTCATGAGCTGAAACAGACAGGCACGTTAAAGCAGGGCCTTCCAGACCAAAGCATCATTTAGACACTCAGGACAAAGCCGACATCAAAACAAACGACTTCATATATTCGCCTCCTATTTGACCTTCCTGTCCTCCTAATTAGGTTCAGTGCTGTGCAAATATCAGAGACCACCCTCATTTTTCAGCGTCAAGAAAACGGGGAACACATTTAGCAGAAAATTCTACAGAAGCCTCAACAACTAAATCCAAGATCAGCTGTCTGAGTGTCAGTGAGTCACTCTTCACCTTTATTCCAGCTTCCATTCTTTTCAGGAGACTCACTTTCAGTTCCTCAAAGAATCTGCAGACACACCTCCAAAGTTCAGTCTTAGAAGCTGGTTGATCATTTTCTGAAGTAATCAAACACATTCAGAGGTGTTGAGGTCTGGACTCTGGGGTGGTCAGTCCATCGTTCAGCTTCTTTGTTTGATGTGTCCGTCTCCTTTTCTCAGTGAGGTTCTTCTTGACAGCTACACATCCTTTCAGACCCACAGCGCTGAGTCGTCTTCTCACAGTGGAAGGATGGACAGAAACACCTGTGGATGTTTTCAGATCTGAAGCAGCTTGATTTTCTCCTCTCTCTCAGAGATGAAAGCTTTAAGTGCTGTTTATCTGATGGGGGCAGTTTTGGGGTCGACCAGCTCTTCCAGGTGGTTGTTATGAGCCCCATTTTCTCTGTAGTTCATAATCGTTTTATGAACTCCCGAAATTGTAAAGCGTGTGCTTAGTGGCTGTTTTGGCTGGAAATTAAATAAATGAAGGGGGGGTCTCTGACTTTTGCACAGTACTGTACCTCGTGCACTGTGGAAAACTTCCATTCACCTCATTGTAGCGATTGCTGGGTATCTTAATGCAGGTCTTCTTCACTTCCATATCCACCACCAGCCCTCTGACCACCGGTAACGTGTACTGATAGTTCCGGAAATCCTGGAAGAAGTTTTCAGAAGAAAGACAGATAATAATAAATCACTAAAAACAGGCAGTCTTCATGAGAAGGACAGAATGACCTATGAACTCTCTTACCGCCAGCAGGTTTATGATGGTATGACCAGTTTCTCCAAACAGAGGTTTTCTAAAGCGCACGCTGAACAGAGGGCAGGGGTAGACTGCAAAACAAAAAGAAAATGAGCTGCTTACAATAAGCTGCTTTACAGTTCACACAAGGAACAGCACTGTAGCACAAAAACTACGGCGTGAAAAAATACAAAATAATGTTTTTTGCACCACGATTTTACAAAAAAGATGTAAAAGCACAACAACAACAACAACAACAACAACAACAACAACAACAACAACAACAACAATATTTATTTTTGGTCCAAATGCCATAAGACTGCATTGCCTGGTGGAAGCATGACTGCGCTGGTGATGGCATCAGTCAGATACTAGTTATTTTAAGGGCCCATTTCTTACATTTTCTCTTGCTTTTTATATTTTTCCCTGAGGTCCACTCATAAAACAGTCATAACTCCCTTTTACATGACATTTTTCAATCTCTCTTTATCCTTTAGACCAGGGCTCTTTTACTGCCCTGTTGTGGCTCCACAGCTGAATTAGATTTGTAGGTAAAAATAAAATAATCCTCCTTTACAGTAAAATAAAGCTCTGCTGATCGTTCAACACAGTTTAACAATAAATGGTCTTAAACTCTGGAGTTAACGTAGAACTGCTAATTCACCCTTTAACCCTGAAGATCAACACAGACTGCTGGTCACCATAGCAACACAGACAACAGTCTCGCCTGGATAGTAGCTAACGAAACGGCAAAGAGAGAGATTTAAGACGAACATCAATAATTTGGAGATGAATGGACTGATTAGTGTTTATAATCACTCCAGCTGGTTTCCTGATACGTTTAATCTGCAATGAGAAACTGACAAACACTAAAAAGTCGCGAGGCTGAAGTCAGATTCTCATTCGCCAGCTTGTTTGAATTTTCCCGTTCCACCTTAAATAGTGCAGCAGTTACATTCTGCCGCTTCAGGCACCATTTAAGGTGGAATGGGAAAATTGGAACAAGAAGCTGGCGAATGAGAAGCGACTTCAGCCTTGTAAAAAGTCGACGTTGAGAGACATTTTACAAGAAACTATTTTACTTTTGCCGAAAAGTTTCCTGCCAGAGATGCGAGAAAAGCGGCAATAGCTGAGCTGAAGCTTAAAGCAGAGCAAAGCAAGTCTGCGCTTTTGTTTATATGTTTAGTCTATACCAGTACATCAGCACATAAAGAGACATATTTACAGTCAAGATGGTAAAATGCATATAAAATGTGGCTCCCAAGGTGGTTTAATTTTTGTGGGACGGACAAAATGAAAAAAGAAAATGACAAAAAAAGCCAATATAAATATGTGGCTACATGTGACTGGATTGATTTTTGTGACATCACAACAACAGAATTCTAAACTGGCTGTTTTTGCAGTTTAGTTTTCATATATGAACTGTATGAACTGGAGAGTGAAAGTTTGTTTTGAAACGTAAACAATATTTACATACTACACTGAACTCGTATTTCAAAAGCAGTCAGTCTTACATGATATGCCCTCTTTAAACATGCCTATTATGCAAATTAAGCATGTTTTTTTTGGTTTTCTGAATGTTAGCCTGACACCACAAATTCTCAGCAATGCAGTGACACTGAGGTGGTGGTGGTGTGTTAGTGTGTGTTGCGCTGGTCTGAGTGGATCAGACACAGCAGTGCTGCTGGAGTTTTTAAACACCTCACTGTCACTGCTGGACTGAGAATAGTCCACCAACCAAAAATACCCAGCCAACAGCGTCCTGTGGGCAGCGTCCTGTGACCACAATGAAGGACTAGAGGATGACCAACACAAACTGTGCAGCAGCAGATGAGCTATCGTCTCTGACTTTACATCTACAAGGTGGACCAACAACATAGGTGAGTCTAATAGAGTGGACAAGGAGGTGGTCAGAATGTTATGCCTGATCGGTGTAACTACTAATAACACTACACTACAGTAACTGCTGTAAGAAAGCGCCTGAGCCTGATCTGAGAATCCACTCTACCACACTAACAACGCCCTGGAGGGAATTCTTCAGACTGAGTCAAACGGCAGCAACGCCAAGCCTCACAGGTTGAGGACCTCAGCAGGGGGACGCTGTTAATGTATTCAGCCCTTCACATGCTGCGGATTAGCTCGAGCTTAGCGGAAAGCACCTCGGAGGAGGCAGCGTCTCAGAAAGGAGGGGCTGGAGATGCTTTATTTCAAACCCTTAAGATGTACCAGTGTTCAATTCCACTGCGAGCCGTGTAAGACTGCACTGAAACAGCGTCGGAGCCTGAGCACTTCCTGCTTCTCCAAAATTCCAAAAACAGGACCGCAGAACACTAGAAGGCTCCCCGGAGAGTGTCATGAATGAATGAGGGTGAATGGAACTAAATGAATGAAACTAAATGAATGAAACTAAATGAATGAAACTAAATGAATGAATGAAAATAATACTACTACAAATAATAATAATAATAATAATAATAATAATAATGATGTTTTAGCCATTACTGCTATTGTGTTCTTACTGGTTAGCAGTACAGCTACTGAGTGCTGATTGGTTAGCATTTCTTCTACTGAGTGCTGATTGGTTGGCATTATTGCTACTGAGCGCTGATTGGTTGGCATTACTGCTACTGAGCGCTGATTGGTTGGCATTACTGTTACTAAGATGGGGCGTCTGACTGCCGGGTTGCAGCATCCTAGTTGCGTTCAGCTGCTACCGAGTGCCGACTGGTTGGCGTTCCTGCTACCGAGTGCCGACTGGTTGGCGTTCCTGCTACCGAGTGCTGACTGGTTGGCAGTCCTCCTACCGTGTGCCGACTGGTTGGCAGTCCTCCTACCGTGTGCCGACTGGTTGGCAGTCCTCCTACCGTGTGCCGACTGGTTGGCAGCCGTGCTACCGAGTGCCGACTGGTTGGCGTTCCTGCTACCGAGTGCCGACTGGTTGGCGTTCCTGCTACCGAGTGCCGACTGGTTGGCAGTCCTGCTACCAAGTGCCGACTGGTTGGCGTTCCTGCTACCGAGTGCCGACTGGTTGGCGTTCCTGCTACCGAGTGCCGACTGGTTGGCAGTCCTGCTACTGAGCGCTGATTATTTGGCATTACTGTTACTGAGTACCGACTGCTTAGCATTACCGCTGCTGAGAGCCAATTGGTTGGCATTACTGCTGCTGGAAGCCGTTGAGCAGATTCAAATTCCTGCTATCAGCGTTAAGCTTGATTAACAATTGCTTGTTTCCTATCAGACTGATAAAACCAGTGCACAGAAGCACAGAGAGCCAGAGCCAGTTTACATTCTGCGTGAGGAGAGATTCTGAGAGCTGTGGTGATGTTAGTGTGCAGTGTACTGCTGTGTGCAGAGAGCCTGAGACTTATTGCCGTGCCAGACGCAGAGCAAAATGAAATAAGTAAACCTGTCGAGGCCATTGGTGGCAGGGGGGGTAACTGTTGAACAGCAGTAAGAGTTAACGACACTGAAGCCCGTTCATAACGACACACAGAGATTCTGCACACTCACATCTGTACTCAGCCCCCAGGCGCAGCATGAGGCGGATGGGGAAGACTTTGGCCCAGGGGGTCTCCCACTTCTGCACCAGGACGCCGAAGAGGTAGGGAGGGTTGGGCAGGGGCAGGTCCTGCAGGGACTGGAAGGTGGGGCTGATGTAGAGGAACCCTCCGTGCTCCTTACTGCCCAGAAAACTCTGAGTGAAGAACGAGTGACCCAGGTGGCTCAGCACGTTCCCTACACAGGACAATAACACAGAAAACACAGGAGGAGTTAAAATAGGACAATATTCTTGAACAAAAGGTCTTAATCAATTTTCCAATGCTTTGTCTAAATTCCACTACTCTGTAAACTGTTTCTCTGTGCATTCAGTATTTTAAACATAACTCAATAACATCATATATACAATAACATATTATTGTATTACAAGTTACTAGTGTACATAAAATAAATAATTAGTATGAAAGGTAATACCAAACTTTTGAATGGTACTAAAATGTGAGATGCGCTGAATCATTTCTTAAGGAATCATAAATCAAACTGAATCATGAAGCCTCAAGTCTCTCAGTAATATTCACTGGTCCTGTATAATTTTATATCTTTCAAGAGGACATCAGAAAGCTGTAAATCAAAATGAAGAAACGTTAGATGTGTCCAAAAATGATGAACAAAGCTGTAGAACAATGATGAAATTATAATAAAACATCTGCAATGCCTCATATTTGAAAAGTGGTGAAGAAATCTTGAGCCACATAACTTGACAAAGTTGTTATTAATAGATAATTACAGATAATAACGAAATCTTTTAAATATTTAATAAAAATACCTTTTTGTGTCTAGTTCAGAGGTCGCTAATAGGCGGACCGTGGTCCGCGTCCGGACCCAGACGCTGCCCTATGCGGACCTGAACCTATAACCGATAAACTATGGAGAATTATTTAATTTTGCCCGGGTGGTCCTATTTTAATCGGCGTAACTTTTCTAGTCATTATGGTAGCTTTAGCTGCCCGGGAGACTCACAGACCAATCGCATGCGTTGTAAATATCACACACGACGCTACTCAGCCAATCAGATCTGTGCATTACGATGAGCACTGAGACTCGAGTCAGTGAAGCACACAGGGGGACGAGGTGAGAAACAGCAGTCGGAGAGGTTAGAAGTTATTTTATGTCACGCTCTAAAAAGAGAAAACTGACAAATGTTGAAATATGACTGAATTGTACTTTATTTGATTTGAGATTCAGTTGTTGACTGTATAAGATGTTGATATACCAACTAGGCTACTTCAGTAAACAGTATGTGGCACTGAATCATGATGCCAGTTAGACATTATGATGTTCCGGACCTTTGCTTGAGGAAATTTTCTCTAACTGGACCCGACTGAATTTTAATTAAAGGCCCCTGATCTAGTTTAAAGGATATTAATCTGCGTTTTTAATCATACTACAAGTTAATATTACATGTAAAATAATTAGTATGAAAGGTAATTTAAAACTTGTGGATGGTAATAAAATCAGAATCAAAATCAGAAAAACCCCTTTATTTCACCAAGTCACACATGACATAACATACTAAACAGACCAAACTATTAATTAGTACTGAGTTAAGGGACAATTAAATAAAAAATACAATAAACAGAATATAAATTTCATGAAACAACGAATTATTTCTTGAGGAATCATAAACTGAATCATGAAGCCTGAGACTCTCAATAATATTTACTGGTTTCATTTGTTTTTCTTTTACAGGCAAGGCACTTCACAGTCTTTCCTGCACCAAAATATAATTTAATAAATCATAGGAATGTGATATGCGCACGCACAGACATAACTACAAACCAGACAGACAGACAGACAGACAGACAGACAGAGAGCTCACCAAAAAAGACACTCTGAAAGCTGAACTGTTCAGCCTCAGCTCAGTTATAACTGACAGCTACTGAACCTGAGCAGACGGGTGACGTTCCCTCAGCGCAGCCGGCCGAATCGGTCACTGTGTTTTTGGAGCACACAGAACACTGTGCTCCGGGCCAGAGCCGTCACTGTCGTCTAAGTCATGCCAAGCATACGCGACATGACACCGTAAACGCACGGATGAGCGCTTTGTGACCTGCACTGACACTGTGTTAACAACAGCTCCAGCACAAAACAAGGAGCGGCAGCACAGCAGCCTCAATTCACCTTTAAAAAAAAATAAATAAATAAAAAAATCGCACAGCTCCAGTTCTGAAATCTGATTGGCTGAGTCGCGTTATAAGTAGTTTTCAAACCTTTGATTCCACGCACATCAACTGCATTCTGTATGATCAACCACTGCATTGTAATCTTTGACACTGCTTGACGTATGAACTGTTTATTGAGACTATTATTAATAATAAATTAAAGACAACACAACCAATTTTTAGGCTGCAAATCCAAGAAAAACACATTAAAAACAAAAATGTAAACTAAACTGTCCAATTACTTGACTATTTCAAGACCAAACATTACTTGACAACAGCAAACATAACATAATTAATTGTAATGTTCATATGATCCACACAGTCACTCTGACAGACTGTAATACACTACAGGAAGCGTAGGGGGCGATATGGCTTCTACTGTTTCATTTAAAAAGCCTCTATAATGTTCATATGATCCACACAGTCACTGACTGCAGCCCTAACAGAAATCTTGCCGTACTGTTTATCAGCGTTAGCTTCCTTGGTGGAGCTGCACTGTCTTACCTGTGAGGGCTTCCTGGTAGAGCTGCACAAAGTGGCTGAAAATGTCCTTTGGAATGCTCTTCTCATCCGGCAGGCACTGCAGTAGCACCACCACCTCGGCCTGACCCACGGCGTGCATGCCCTTCGTCGTCACATACCAGCACTTCCGGTTTACATCTTTACATTTAAGGAGCGAAAAAGAAAAACAGAAAATTAGAACAAAAAGATAGAAGATGTCAATAGCTGTTACAGAGTTGTAAAGACTGAAGTACTGAGACTTGTGGAACTGTTTTAGAACATTTTTAGAAGTCAGTCGCAATCATCACCAATAAAACAACATCATATAAATTTATAAGATTTATGTTTGACTCATAGTTCTTTGAAACAAGATGAGAAATTTTGTGGAAAGTGCAGATTCTAAACTTTCAATCCAGACCACATCTGTCATTCTAAGCAGAAGAGGAGATAATTTATTATGATTTGAAGTTGCTAAAGTTTACGTGATCATGTACTAGACCCGTCTCGGTAACAGAATCCTCTTATTTGTACAAAACTATGTGGAAAATATCCACAGTAAACAGTTAAACCTGCTTTGCTTTATCTTTTATGGGCCAAAGTTTAAGTTTCAGCACATCACTCTCTTTGCTCCTGTGTCCACTTCATAGTTAAGGGCCATCTCAAAATTACTGGAAGAAAACGTGCGGCCGTTATTATTATTTCCGTAAGCACATCTGTTGATGCTTCCAAGCATCACTGATGATGTACAGAAGAATCAGCAAACACTACTACTTACAGAGATACTAATAATAATGATAATAACAGTCATCATCAATACTTCGTACTCTAGTAATTTTAAGACAGTCCCTAACTCCAAAGCGAACACAGGTGCAAAGAAAGATAGTTGAGGCCTAATATTTGTCAAACAAAAGAACATAAAAGCTCAGTTCAGTAAAAGCTGTGATGTCATCTTTAATTTGGCTGTGCAGTGATGAGTAAGCAACAAAGAATTATGAACGTCACACAAACTTTACCGTCCGATGCCGCAGTTTCTGTAGCTGTTTAGCTTAAGCCTGGCCTACACTACACAGTTTAAGGCCAATTTTCACCCTGATTTAACCTGACAAATTTTAACAGTGTCTGTGTTTACATGCAAAGATTACTGCCAATCTGATTGAAATATAGTCTGATTATAGATTAAGACTGAGGTGTTTATTCTCACTCTACTCAACAATCTGATGGAAAATCTCGTTTACATGCTCACTACAAGTAATCAGATCCAAAATGACGTGGATGCGTGGAGAACCGCTTAGAGTAGAAGTTACCATGACAGCGAACATCGCATGAGTCCAGCTGGAGTGAGATGAGTTTTCAGTTGGCGCGCTTGTGTTTTTAATTACTTTAAAATGATGTCAGACTCAGGAAAACGTCCTTCACATGTCCTTATTAAAGAAGGCCGAGAGGAAGACGTCGTGTTCTGAGACACATAAGCTGGACGTCCGTCCCACCGCCGTCTTTTAAAGATCAGAGCATAAACTTCGTCTCCTCTGCAGACCAGTTTCTGCTCCGCCATGCTGAACGGTATAAACTTTTACTATGACGTGACGAACGTGATCAGAACGGACTTAAACTTTCCGATAGGGAATGTAATCAGATACAGGCGTTTACACGGATATTATTCTTCTATTTAACGGATTATTTACAGGCTTACCCACCTCGTTCAGTCGGATAGAAACTGTATTCCAAACGGCCTCAATCAGACTAGACTATTCCGATTGAGGTGTTTAAATTGGACGTAATCTATTCCGATTAAGCTGTAAGTCGGATTATTGTCGGATCATTAGGCTGCATGTAAATGTGGCTAACGTCGATATTATCAAACCTGTTTGATATTTACGACTCAAAACGTTCAAGAGTGGTTAAGATGTACACAAAGCCATTCGGAGTGGTTTAGTGTGAAATGCTACATTCCAGATAAACTGGAAGAACTCAGAATTGTTCACAGTGGTGGTGATAGGAACCAGACGTCCACCTCTAAAAGCTCCCTCACAGAAAGGTGTTACATGAAATGGTTATGAATTCACTGCCTGATCTTTTGTCTTAAATTGTATTTTAATCACATTATTTTAACCTATTAATAGCGGAGGAGTACATATAGGGAGTTGTGAGGCAAAATAATCCCAAAAAAAATTCTTACTTTTTCAGATTTTCCACTATTTTCCATCATCAACATTACACAGAAAACTCAGAAGACTCGTGTAGGTTCACTGGTGGTTTTGGATAGTAAATAAAATGTCTATATTTATGATGTAGTCATGGCGACCCCTGGTTCCTATCACCACCACTGTAAAGACATCTGAACCATTTCACACCAAATCACTCTGAATCACATCTCACACACTGAATTATGCAGAAATTTTGAAATATTGGTGGAATACCCCTTTAACCATGACCAGGCACTACATACAGCAAAAGAACAATAATAATCCTAAACTTCTAAGAGTTAAGAACACTTGGTATGTATTACAACAGAGACCTGCTGCAGATTATACTGTAAACTGATCATGATCCACAGAGAAATGCAAGAGGCACTCACAGTTGACCAGTTTGACCATGGCCAGCAGGTTGGCGTTCAGTACGAACACCAGAGGGTCCGGGCCCCCCTCCTCCAGCTGCTGCAGTAACAGGATCTCTGAAGGCCTTTCCTCCACAGCGTAATCTGCACAGAAAACACGCTGCATTAACACACGCTGACTCCCCACGCTCTTCTCCCACGCTTCCCTCTCCTGGAGTCAACCAGATTACAACGGTCATCATGGAGGCTCTCGGTAGAGTGATGGACATTTAGGCAGAAACATGCTGACCAGTGACACAGACAAACAAACACAGCGATGGGCAGCGTGGCAGCAGTTAAAGACATTTTCACCACGTGTTTCTATGCACGATGCACTTATAACAACATTGCAACATTTATAAAATGTTATTGTTTATGCTGCAAATGATTAACGCCACTAATTTTTAAGTCATTTTCGTATTTGTTTATTGTCTCATAACTTACTAACACATTTACCAATAAACACCCATCAGGCTCCTTCTGTCAATATTAAAAAAAACTGTAGCATTTAACTATTATCTTCTATCGTTTCCTTTGTTTTTACTCGAATATTACTATTATTTTCATTTTCTTCTCTCTTTTTTTTATACTTTTATCTTGTGCTTTTTAACTATAATTATTAATATAACTATTTTCTGCTATTTATGCTATTTATTATTTATTTATTTATTTTATTTTTTCTCTTCCTCCGTTTTTACTTTGTATTGTGAAGCACTTTGAGCTGAAAGGTGCGATATAAATAAACATTATTATTATTATTATTATTATTATTATTATTATTATAAACAATATAATAATTTTAATAAAATCCGCAATTGTAGCCGTCTCGTTTAACATAATCCCTTTAGCAGACCTCGCTGGACAGAGCTCGCAGATATTAACAATCACTGAAAGTGATAACTTGAATGATGAAGCTCACTTTGTCCACTAATGGTTATAAATAAAGTATATAAATAATAAGTAAAAAGCAATTTATCTACACAAAACAACGCGATTAATGACGATTAAACATTGTAGTCGTTTGACAGCACTAATAAGAACAGAACAGAGTGCCTTTAATGTCATTGAACAACATAAAGATTTTACTTCTAATTAATCATTTAACACTTTACAAAAATGCACAGCACTACATCCAACTAATCAGGTTGTTCTCTAGTAGAGGTCTGTGCAAGTTTTTCAGTCCCGCTCCCGCCCGTTCCCACAAGACATCATCCCAGTCCCGCAAAAAATCTGAACCATTTGTCCAGCTCCCACCTGCAACCGAAACGTTTAGTCCCGCTCCCTCCCGCACAGCTTATCAAGGTGAACTGACGCCCAATATCTGACACAGTCTGTTCAAAAATACATTCTCTGCTGAAATAACACAGCAGTCGTGGTCATCAGGCTCACTGTGAATAACTTCACCAAACGCCATTTATTCCCAGTAAACACAGAGCAGGAATTAAACCACAGACCGGTTATTTTGGGTGTTTGACTGGTCAGCTGTGGCCATCGGACTGAAGGCTCTGCCGTCTCTGGATCTTGACTCCATTCATTTTAAATGCTTTATTGTTATCCTTTCATATCATTTATATATATGATTTAGTGAATGTTCTACTTTATTTAGGCTATTCATTAATTAACGGGATTTGTCTTCATGCCCGCTCCCACCTGCTTTGGGCTGGTTTCCCGCCCGCTCCCGCACACAACACTGAAAATTAGTCTTGCACTGCAAGATGTTCCCGCTGGACTCACGGGAGTGTAGACCTCTAATCTCTAGAACTAAACAGCGCAATTAGATGCAACAGAGCTACGGCGGACCAGGGCAGTCTGATACAGAGAAAACGCAAATATTGTAATTATATAGCTACGTATATTGAAAAACATTGAAAAATTAATAATGTGCTATGGTTAAAGCCTGCGTTGTCATTATTTTGATATTTTGTTATTTTTGAATTATTTATATGAACATCATGATTCATTAAAACAGACAAAAACTCATCTGGAGCTGTGACTGGTCAAAGCACAGACTGGTTAGAGGGCTCATTTGCATATTGCAGTGCTCTCCTTCATAAGTAACATCATTAGGCCTAAAACAATTGATCTAAATTTTGTGCAGCCCTGCATGGACTGTTCTAACCCCCATCTCATGATCCACTCAGTTCTTCCGTGACTCAAGAAAGCTTATGGTGATATAATATTTTGTGACCGATATTATATCGTCATATCGCCCATGGCTAAGCACATGTGCGCAGATGACCGTGCAGACGAATGCAGGCATGCAGGCAGTAGAGTGGAGGCAGCTGAATGGTGAGGATGGGCAAGCACCTGAGATGTGGCCTCCCGTACCTCCTTTGACGCCGGTGGAGATGAGGATGGGAGGAAGGCCGTCCTCCGGGATCAAACTGACCGAGCTGCCTACGGGGCTGCCCGTCGGAGCTCCAGGGGCATGGGCTGCCTACGGTGAGAGGAAAGAGGACAAAGTCTCAATTACACAACAGATTATCCTAAAACCTGAGTAGCTAAGCCACATTCAAAACCTGTATATGCACATGTGAGCCTACATGCACCAGCTGAATACTGAATTAATGCACCAAGAAATTAAGAACATTATACTGTCCACAAACTGACCATTTCTGAGACAGCCCCCATGGACCCTCACAGAGCAGGTACTATTTGGGTGGTGGATCATTCTCAGCACTGCAGTAACACTAACGTGGTGGTGGTGTGTTAACGTGTGTTGTGCTAGTACGAGTGGATCAGACACAGCAGTGCTGCTGGAGTTTTTAAACACTGTGTCCACTCACTGTCCACTCTATTAGACACTCCTACCTTGTCAGTCCACCTTGTAGATGTAAAGTCAGAGACAGTAGCTCATCTGCTGCTGCACAGTTTGTGTTGGTCATCCTCTAGTCCTTCATCAGTGGTCACAGACGCTGCCCACAGGACGCTGTTGGCTGGATATTTTTGGTTGGTGGACTATTCTCAGTCCAGCAGTGACACTGAGGTGTTTAAGAACTCCAGCAGCACTGCTGTGTCTGATCCACTTAGACCAGCACAACACACACTAACACACCACCACCATGTCAGTGTTACTGCAGTGCTGAGAATGATCCACCACCCAAATAGTACCTGCTCTGTGAGGGTCCATGGGGGTCCTGACCACTGAAGAACAGGGTAAAAGCGGGCTTCATGCATAACAATCCTAAACTGTGGGAAAAATCACTATAGCGCTTTGTTTTCTTACCATAATGAAGCCTAATCAGGTTTATTTAGAACAATCTCACATTTGTAAATATTTTTGCCAAAATTAGAGAATCCTGGAAATAAAGCCAAAGGCCACGCCCACTTTATCCACCTGTTGTGATGCCAGTCCTCATCAGCACTTTTCAGATGTTTATGCCACCTCTGGACCAAAAGGGTTTCAACATGAGCTTTCAGGAATAGCTGAGATGGAAATAACTGGAATGTGCCAGTGAGGAAAGGCAGTGAAGAACTTCCTCAGGCGAGTTTTTCAGGCCCACCTCATGCGCGCTGGCTGCGGTGGATTTGTTGGAGTACTGGGACACAGTCAGAGGCTGCGACTGGCTGGGGTTTGGAGCAGGTGCTTTAGTGGAGTCTGCAGTTTCTCCGTTGGGTAGAATCCCATCAGCAAACCACACTCGTCTCTGCTCACGAGGAAGAGAACCTAGCAGAAGAACAAGCACCATCAGCACAGATGAACACAGTCTGTTAAGAGAAGGTTACCACTGACAGACTGACAGATGGATAGATACATAGATGGATAGACAGACATGCTAACAGATAGATAGATAGATACACAGATAGATAGATAGACAGATAGATAGATAGACAGATAGATACATACAGATAGACAGAGAGATAGACAGACAAATAGAGACAGATATATAGAAAGATGCTAAGACAGATATATATACAGACATGCTAACAGATAGACAGACAGACAGACAGACAGACAAATAGACAGAGAGATAGATAGACTGACAGAGACAGACAGGCAGACAGATATACAGACAGACAGATATATAGACAGACATGCTAACAGATAGATAGACAGATAGATAGATAGACAGACAGAAAGACAGATAGACAGATAGATAGATAGATACAGACGATAGACAGACAGACAAATAGAGGCAGATATATAGAAAGATGCTAATAGACAGATATATAGACAGACAGATATATAGACAGACATGCTAACAGACAGATAGATAGATAGACAGATAGATAGATACGGATAGACAGACAGATAGACAGACAAATAGACAGATATATAGAAAGATGCTAATAGACAGATATATAGACAGACAGATATATAGACAGACAGATATATAGACAGACATGCTAACAGATAGATAGATAGATAGATAGATAGACAGACAGACAGACAGACAGATCTATAAATAGAGAGAGTACTTTATTAATTCTGGTGAAGATTGTGTTGTTAGCGTGGCATATAAGGTATACAAAACCAATGAAGGTACATAACAATGAAAACAACAAACATCAGACAACAAAACCTCATATTTCCATTTTTGCAGTTTTTCTTTCGTAAATTTACTTGATTGGAGACCCAAGATTTTGTTTTGACATTGACAACTTATAACATATTAATAAATGGTATAAAATAAGTGAGCTGCACTGATCTTGTGCTGTTGAACCAGATTCTGGCCTGAGTTTGATTATGAAAATACTGACCATACGGAAAAACTTCACCCTAACGTTGCTAATAATTAAGGAAATTATGTATCGGTCAGATAGGAAACAAGACGTGAACATTATTTTGTCTTGAATAGGTTTCAATCACTGTCAGCCACACAGCTGATAGATACCAGCTCAATCCAAAAAGCTAATGAAGGTCAACAAACAACACATCACTGTGCAAATGACCTCCTCACGCTAACTACTGACGGCTAGTTTTGGGTTAGGACTCTCCTTCAATAAAGAAACTAAATGACCAGTTTCAGGTCCTGATTTTGTCAAATCCCAAATAAAAACCAAAACTCTGCTTTACCCTCCGTGCCAGGCTGTTTGAGGACACCGACGGGCACCATGACGGTTGGTGGTGGCGAGCTGAGGGCGCCGGACGCCTGCGCCTGCTGCAGGGGCGGGATGGTGGAGCAGTACTCCGCTGGGTTATTGGGGTTCGGGCTCTGATTAGAGCTGCTGACTAAGTTCTCCCATGACTGAGCTGAGGGGAAAGAACACAGCTGGTTTAAGACATCAATAAAAGTCAATATAAACAGTACCTGCGCATTAAAATGCAGAGTGTGTTCTCTGTGTGGATGTGTTTGTTTATTTTACCAAGTTTAAAATGTACCAGATTTTCAATGTTGCCTCAGACTGTGAGATCTCACTGTATTTTCACTTCAACAAAACGTGTCACTTGACCTGGGGTGCCCAAACTTTTGCATACAACAGTATTTAGCATTTCTTCATTTTTTATTTACAGCTTCCTGGTGTCCTACTGATTACTGGAAACCTGAGAGGTTGCACAGACCACCTGACTTGGCTTTTCTAAGTGAATATAAGAGAACACACACACACACACACACACACACACACACACACACTTTCTAAGCCACTTATCCTTCTGGGTTGCGGGGGGAGCTGGAGCCTATCCCAGCGGTCACTGGGCAGAGCATATTTCACAATAATGCTAAATATTATGTTGCCTCTATCTCCATATTCAGCGATACTAACATGAATTCTGTGAGCTGGAGTCGCCTGCTGTGGATCCAGAACTATATTCCAGAGTCTTATAACGAGATGTATTTGGTGACCTGAGTAGGTTTAAGATCAATCCTCTGTGATCACTCACCGTTCATCAGCGTGTGGTGACAGGTCACACAGACCCGCGCCTCCTTCCTGTCCATGTACATGAGCCTGCACTTCAGACTACAGCACGCAGCACAGAACACCTGCACACACAAACACAGCATTAACACCTGCACATTCACATATCCTCCCAAATCAGGAATCTGTGATAAATACTATTAACATCTACTATTTCCATCGATCACTCCTGAAGTATGATTATGATTCTGGATTAATTTTATTAGACTTTCAGTCTTTATGTAGCTTTCTCGGCCACTTTAGAGTCTTCTATGGTTCTTGTCATCGTTCTGAACATACACCCATATGCAAAACTTGGCTATATATGTTTTGATGATTTTCTAAGTGAACATAAGTTTCCATGGACTTAAATAAGCCTTAAATATTTTCTGTAAATTTTAATGCAGAAAAAAAAACATTTATTCATTTGCTGGGTTTAAGTATTTGGGGAAAAAAAAACAAAACAAAAAAAAACAAAATAAAGTGTGCCATAACATTTGCACAGGCCACATTTCAATTTTGACCAAAGTTAGCTAAAGTAGACTTTACGACAGATGACACCTGTTGCCATGACGAGCTTACGTAGGTGTCATGTAGCCTTATGAACAGCACCCTACAGTAAAGTGTTACCTAAACTTGTTTATAGACAACGGTGAGTCATACATTGTCAGAATCCACATAATCAAATCTATCAACTCCACACGCTTTGAGATGAGCTTGTTGATGCTAGTAAGCTTCCTTTACTTGTCAGCTACATTAGCCTCGTAGCATCAGTGCTAAAACTTCAGACACCAAATGCGTCTTGGCTGATCGACAGCGTTCGGGCTTTTTTCAAGCTCTACCGGCGGGTGAGGAGTACAGATGACATGAATGCCAAGATGAGGTCTGCACAAAACAATAAAGGAGAATCGCTTCATTTCATATCTACGCCCTCCCCCACAGCCACCACCCCCCCCGACACAGACGGCGGGGCCCTTTAACGCAGACGGCTGTACTGTCCGTCACCGTGGAGATCACCGCACACCTTTGTCTCCATTTAATTTTCACTTTTTGCCCACCAATTGTCTCTGCCCGTATCCCTGACAGAGCTAGCCGCAGTTTGTTTATCGCCTGGGGAAATTACAGCGCGACTCCGGCAGCACAGAAGCTATTTTAAAGTGCAGTATCAGCAGCCCCTCTGCCCCCCACCCGCCACCCCCAGATCCCTTTGACAGCTTCAGAAGTCCTGCAGTTACATACATATCCTTCTGTTCAGTTCTTCCCTCATACAGCGTTTGAATATGGTATAATAAGCAAACAAAACAAGCAAATAAATACATAAACAAATAAATAAGTTATCACAATCAGTGTAGATTAACTTCAGAGTTACTCTCTAAATCTCATATTAGAGGTGGGCACTATGATATTTTATCGATATTAGAGCTAAGCAATATGGCAAAAATGTAAATCACAATATAATAAGTTTTCAAGACACACAATGTCACAATATTCTTTTTCTGACAATTTTGGAACAGAAAGTAACGAGATGTTTACAAAAATCCCAACAAAAACTATGAATCTAATGACCTGTATTCACATTGACGATAATACCTCTGGACTTCTAGGGGTTAACGCAAAGATGACATCAAAGCACAGATGGTCTTACCTTGCCGCAGGCTCGGCAGTGGTGCCTTCTCTTGGTGAAGGTGAACTTGACCTCACACTTCATGCAGATAGGTGCTTGAGAGTCCGGCACCCACACAGGAGCCACTTCCCCCAGGGAGTTAAAGGGCTTCCGAGAGAGAGCTCCCTGCTGGCCTGCCTGGAGATCGTTGTCCGGGTTCTCTGAGGGAATGTGCAAGCCTGAGGAACTTTCAACACTTTCCCCGTTCATCCTCCCAGCCCCAGAGTCCAAACCCCCGCAAGAAGGATCAAGGCCACCTGTCCTGCACTGGGCCTCCAGGTTCTTGTTCCTGCCAGTGGAACCAAGCTCATTTTGGACTTGTCCCGAGAGAGGCCGGGGTATCTGCAACTTTAGGCCGACAGGTTGCTTGGGCCTTGCGCCACCATAGGGAACACTGACCAGCTGCAGGCGGCCGTTGTTGAGTTTGCTTCCTCCCCCACTAATCTCCGACCCTCGGCCAGGTTCGCAGCACTCCTGCTTGCTCTCCTCCATCTCCTTCTCTTCGGTCACAGAGTCCTCCTTGGAAGGGGCTGGATGCCGCAAAGGTCTTTCTCTGTCGTGTCCCTCCACCACACCATTGGGCTCAGATCTCTCGGCCTGTGGTGATTCAACTACAGAAGAATCCTCTGGATTCTTCATTGCTTTTCCTTTCTGATGTACATCCCAGCTGTCCTTCTCCTCACTTGTGTTACCATTCTGAAAGGCACCCATTGGACACTCTTGGTCTGCCACCAGTTCTTGAGTGCCATTACCAGTCTCTTGTAAAACTGTCTCAGAACTGCTCCCTTCTGGAAGCCCAAAACTACACTCCACTCTTCCAGCTTCCAGGACGCCAGCAGATAACCCATCGTCAACTTTGCTTGCCCCTATAGTCTCCATCTCAGCTGGTGAAGCACCATTCTTCAAGCCCAGCTCCTGAGGTCTTTCCTCAGGAAACGAGAAATGAGCATCATTGAAACAGGCACTGTCCCCCTCAGCAAGATCATCCTGCTGGTCCCTATGGGTACCAGGACCCAATCCCAGAGGGCTGGGCGGGTCTGTGGCAGGAGGACCTGGAACATCACTGGGCTGAGGAACCTCGGTAAGTCCGTTGCAATTCGGAACAGATGGACACCCGTTCTCAAGCGTCGCCCTAGTGAAAGGTGGAGACTCCAAAGCTTGGCCGTCAGCACTTACCAGCTTGCCAATGTTGGGCTGAAGCAAAGGAGGACTGTGGACGTCCGCTGGCCGTTCTTCATTCCAAACCTCTGGCGGAAGCCCAGGACCTTGCTTCGCATCTGGCCCAGTGACCTCCGCCAGAGAGGAGCCGCCAGAGCTCGGCGGCTCCAACAGAGGCTTGAAGTTAATAGGGCTATCACGTGGGCTGAGGTCAGCGTGGGTCAAAGCAGGGTTCAGGGACAGGAGGTGAGCCGGCGGGGCAAGAATCTGGGTCCACTTAGCATCCGAAAGAGTGGGGGTGTCCGTTTCATCTGGAAGAGACACCAACAATGAAGGAATCTTGTTAGCATGAGGAAGAAAATGTGCTTCCGAGGATGAGTGAGAAGAATGAAACAACTGGCAGATAAATTAAGAAACGAGGTCAGAATAGATTGGGAATTTTTTTCCAGAAGTGGGCCAATTCAAGTCCTCGCCTTGGGATCCATCTTTCAAGCTGACACATGAATGCCTTGGAATGTAGGGGTGGGCTTTCCCCCCTTAACTTAAAGAGGGACACAAACAGAATCTCCTTCTTTATAACTAAGACTAGGCAGACACACATGCAAAGAAACCTCTTTTCCCTTCTCTCTGGGCTCTCTGACAGTTTCAAGCCACCCTTACTAACCTTCAAAAGATCCATGTCAAACAGGGCACTCTTTCATTCCAGTCTTCAATCAAATGCTAAGAACAGCAGTGTACATATCTTTGGGTATTTGAGCGGAGGATTACTCTTCCACTGTTCCTTTTTCTTGAGATAAGACGACATACAGTACAGTGCAAAAGTCAGAGACAGCCCTTCATTCATCTAAATTTCCAGACAAAACAGCCATTTGGTCAAAGTTTATTAATTTTTCAGGAGATATTTCTGAAGAGATTAGTTACAAGATAATCCAGAGTTCAATTGTAACAAAACATATGGGACTCTTGACAACTGTTCAAGACCTGGTAGACCACCAAAGCCATCCCTATCAGACAGACAAAACTTAAAGCTTCCGTCACTAAATGTGTTTGGGATCACTTGGATTTTGAAAAGCAGAAAATGCAACCAACACCTAAGCCTGAACTTTGGAGGTGTGGAAAAATAACCCTGCTGATTCCTTAGTCAAGATAAGTCAAGTCAAAGTTTACTTATATAGCGCTATTTACAACGGGTGTTCTCACAAAGCAGCATTACAGAAAAATCTGGGTTCAAGCCCCCATGAGTGTCGCCATTGGCGACAGCGGCAAGGAAAAACTCCCTAAGAACAAGAAACCTTGACAGAAAACAAAGACTCAAAAGGGGAACCCATCCTCCTCTGGCCGACAGCAGATAGAAAACAGCACTAATATAAAATATTAGAATACAAAACGGGGAAAAACAGGCGAAGCAATGGTTAATTAAATAGTAAGAAACATTTAAAACTGAAAGTGAGTCTCCTGAAAAAACAGAAGCTGTAATAAAGGTAAACAGGGAACACACAAGTCTAAAAAATGTCATTATATTTAATTGTTAAGGCTGCTGTGTAATTCAAGTTACATATCATTTACAGGAGAAGGCAAAAAAAAATTGCAATGCAAGTTAATGTAAAAAGGTTTTATTCCAAGTGATTTTAGAGCATTTCTATTGGACCATTCATCATGAGATACCCACACAACATAAAGGACAACTGGTGTTTTGAAATGATGTAGAAAATTGAAAACAGACAAAATAAGATACATGATTTTCTTCGGACAGCAAAAAATGTTTTCTGCTTTCTTTTTTCCTGGTGCTAAAAAAAAAATAATTAAATGAAGGGTGGTGTTTGACTTTTGCACAGTACTGCACTTACATTTCTAACAAACACAAGCACCTCTCTCTGCCTTCATTGGGCTGTTTGACAGTTTGGTAACACTTTACAGTGTTCCAGGCTACATGACACCTACTTAAGCCCTTTATGACAAATGACAGACTTATATAAATATTCATAAAGGCTTATTCTGAAAGACATCGCTCTTCATGAAGACTGCTTTTGTGTGACGGTTTGTGGGGAGAAGCGACATACCACGTAAAGACGACTGCCTTCGTAGCCAAGTCACAGTGATTAAACAAAAGTGAGCACTTCATAAACATGCCCTGAAGTGTCTACTACACTTGGCACTTTGTGATAACATTAGCATAAAAACAGACACTGACAGTCTTTACCCTTAAGAGAGCTTCATTTTAAAGATAAAACTACAGAAATTAAAAACTACAGAAATTGGTAACACTTCAATTGAAGACTATCCACATAGGGACTACATAACACATGCATAAGCACTGAATAACATTTATAAAACAATATTTGAATATTTATGTCCAGCTTACGCTAGTAACCACAAAATGACATAAGATGTTCTATGAAGTAAATGAGATTGCATTGACATATGGGACTTCAGACTAAAGTGAGGGGCATTTGTTCTATTTATAACACTATTATGAAGCATCATTCCCAAGTATTGGAACTTAGGTAGAGTAAGGAAGGCCTAGTTTAGAAGTTTTATCAGTCCTGTATTGTTCTACATGAGTCAAAGTACTTCAGCTAATGGATGGACTTTTTATTACTGGCATACGATGTTCATAAATACCCAAGTATTGCTTTATTAATACGGTATTCAGTGCTAATGCATGTGTTATGATGCTCTTATGTACGGAGCCTTCAAAAAATGTTTACACTCAAATTTCAGTGAAATCATGAAAGCTATTGGAATAAGCGTTCACAAGTGTTCTTATAGGTTTATGTAGGTGTCATGAACCCTTATACACCAATCAGGCATAACATTATGACCATTATGTCCTTGTTTCTACGCTCATTGTCCATTTTATCAGCTCCACTTACTATATAGGTGCACTTTGTAGTTCTACAGTTACAGACTGTAGTCCATCTGTTTCTCTGCATACTTTCTTAGCCCCCTTTTACCCTGTTCTTCAGTGGTCAGGACCCCCATGGACCCTCACAGAGAGGTACTATTTGGGTGGTGGATCATTCTCAGCACTGCAGTAACACTGACGTGGTGGTGGTGTGTTAGTGTGTGCTGTGCTGGTACGAGTGGATCAGACACAGCAGTGCTGCTGGAGTTTTAAACACTGGGTCCACTCACTGTCCACTCTATTAGACACTCCTACCTTGTCAGTCCACCTTGTAGATGTAAAGTCAGAGGCGATAGCTCATCTGCTGCTGCACAGTTTGTGTTGGTCATCCTCTAGTCCTTCATCAGTGGTCACAGGACGCTGCCCACAGGACGCTGTTGGCTGGATATTTTTGGTTGGTGGACTATTCTCAGCCCAGCAGCGACACTGAGGTGTTTAAAAACTCCAGCAGCACTGCTGTGTCTGATCCACTCAGACCAGCACAACACACACTAACACACCACCACCACGTCAGTGTTACTGCAGTGCTGAGAATGATCCACCAGCCAAATAGTACCTGCTCTGTGAGGGTCCATGGGGGTCCTGACCACTGAAGAACAGGGTAAAAGGGGGCTAACAAAGTATCAGAGAAACAGATGGACTACAGTCTGTAACTGTAGAACTACAAAGTGCACCTATATAGTAAGTGGAGCTGATAAAATGAACAGTGAGCGCAGAAACAAGGGTCGGTGTAAATGCTATATTTGGTTTCCATGCTATTGGAATAAGACCTAGATGCCCATATGAATACATTTCTAAACACTCTAATCCTAAATAAATCACCGTGTAGAAGAAGCCGACTTTTGCATAAACCAAATGCTGCTATTGAAAAAGTCTACCACAGAAACATGCAGTAAAAACAGCCTCTCTGCACAGCACACAAACACAAATTAACCTTAACCTGGTAGATTACATGTACTTGGCTGTGTGACACCAATTAAAATCTCCAAGAAAAACAGGCAGAGTCAGGAGTCCTGTGGGAAATGCTAATTCAATTAGCCCCATTTAGACTGCAGGCTGCTTCCACCCGCAGCCTGTGCAAGCTCCGCTTTATGAAGCTAAACATAACCAGCTCTTCCATCTGTTCAGATGCAGTTTTCAGCTGTTCATTCGTTCGCCCTGTGATACCTTCAACAACTATTCAGCCACCGCTCTGGTCTGAACGGTCTAAGCCAGGCTGGTCAATCCTGAACTGCTTTCTCCAGCAAGACATAATTAAGTAACAGAGGTCACGGACCTTCGTTCTGCTCAAACTCGTCCAGCACCTTGTCCAGGTTAAAGGCCTCAGCCTGGAAGTAATTCTCCATGGGTCAGGAAGCTCCACTCTGTCGAGTGCGGTGCGAACCTGGGGAAGAAGAGGCGACATACCAGCCCTTAGAAACCTAAAATTTTGGGGAATTTTCCTGGTATTTTTTGGGTCAATTACAATTGCAATTATACAGTATTTACACGTGACTGTCACACAGGCCATACGTTGTTGGAGACCCTGGGCTGCTCAGATATGCCATTGTTTGACATGTAAATACTAACAGAAATTTTAGATCTTTATGAATTTGGGTCATTTCTGATAAATTTACCTAGCGCCTGCTACATTTTGTATTTTTTTCATTATAGAGCTCTTGAAAACAAGTGTAATTGTAGTTATCTTTTCAGAAACTGTTAGTCTGGAGTGTCTGTGAGCTGAAAGTGCAATAATTTTGATGGTGATTCATTCTGTTGGTTATTATGAGCAAAAATGAACAATTCTCATAAGGCGGCCATGTTTTTTATTGATTTTCTGTCCTCTTGGATTCAGGCTGAGTGCTAAAACTCTGATATACAGCAAGACAGGCTTTATTTTTAATTACAAATTGAGCTGCATATTTAATATCAGATATTTTTAATACTCAAAATCAATGTAAACTGAAAGCCCTTTGTAATATGAAGGCTAAAAGCAGAGATGTAGTATTACAGTAGTGAGTGGGTTTGGGTGATTTTGGAGCTGGATCTCTGGCTGATGGACGGTCACAGGTGGATGAAATCACTCTGGATGGTGAGGTCAGAGTCTGATGAGTGATCTGATGTGTGAGTCATGTCGCTGTTTTAACCCTTTGTTGGAATATGAAGGCCAAACAGCACAGCAATAATATCAGGATTTTAGGTGAATTTCCGAGCCACTTTATTCACTGATGCTGACGCTACAGCTCGATGACACCATGCTTGTTAGTTAGGGGCGGGTCTGTTGAATGTCGTGATATGTGGATCATGTTTGTATCTTAAACAGAGAAGACTAGAAAGTGACCTACCGTTTTGCCGCAAATTGCGGCCTTAGGGGCACACAGCTGACTTTCTCCCACTGTCCCATGACAGATTTGTGAAATGTTCCACTGTTTGGCAAGTGTTTCTCACGTTCTGACCATAAAGGACAGTTTAAAATGACAATTAACCACTTAGGAGCAAAAAATCAGCCTTTAAAAGAAATAACAATTTGACGTTTATCGTGATTAATTATCGATATTGACTGATATAAAATTTATCATGATATCATTTTTGGCCATATCGCCCAGCCCTTACTGTAGTCCTAAAAAACTAGTCATTTCAAATAACTGAACAGATCAAATAACTGTGATTAGGTGATTATGTAATAATGGTGAGAGCCGGTTTGTGGTTATATCAGTGACGAGTGCGGTGATCACTGCAGCCCTACATTCAGTAACGGCCTTCAGAAAGACATCAGATAAACCAGGAGAGGAAAACCAAAGAGCTCAACGAGGAACCGTGAAGGGCTTTTGATTTGTAGATGCTCCTCATGCTATAAAAGGTTCCTGCAGCAGGTCCGCAGGGTGACTGTGAGGATTCCCTACCAGCTTAAAATAACTTCAAGGGAGCTACATCATTAGAAGTACACAGATCGATGATCCTGGCTCTCACCTGCGCCGAGGTCCTCTTCAGCAACACCACAGAAATACATAAACAGCATCCAGCCCGAGGTTTCGTCTCAGCCGGTCTCGCACACGCAGGATGACCAGACCTGAAACGAAAGAGGAACCTTTAGAGAAACAAGCAAAGAGCTCCCAAAGGACTCTTGCAGTCTTGAAACTGAACATCATGGCCATATTTGCGTTGTAGACCTCACGACCCCTGGCTCCCATCACCACCACTGCAATCAGCCTCTATATGTGGCGCAACTGTTTTGCTGCTGCTTTGTGTGTCTGTTCACAAAACTCAGGAAAGCCGTCTGTGTTCACACAGCAGGTAAAAGTGGGAATCAAAGGGGGACAATTATTTATTATCACCCACCTCTAATTCTTCAGTGATGTGAAGCTGAAGTCAGATATTCACCAGATTCTTGTTCGAATTTTCCTGTTCCACCTTAAACAGTGCAGCAGCTCTGATGCCTGAGGGCACTAGAATGTAACAGCTGGACTATTTAAGGTGGAACGGGAAGTTTAGCTAGCTAGCTACGATACATCAGCACTACTAGTAGCCATTTTTATGCTTGCTACGAAGAAAAGGACCATAATACACTGAAACGACATTAACCTTCAAAACTCCTTGGGACCACCGGTGGTTCCAAAACGCACTTCGTCATATTCTTCATAACTTTCATATTTCATGAGCTACATTCTAAAGGTGGGGGTCGTATGAGAGCTGTAACTGTCTTCTTTCCAGTCGAATAGATGGGTGATGTAATTTTAAACCCTTATAATAAAAGAAGCTGAACTCGCAATTTTTTTTCTACTGAAAGTCGACCCATTTTTCCACAAATCCAGGCTATAAACTATAAACAGATGGCGTCTCTTCAGTGATCTGCTCTGTAAAAATGATTTTTATAAAATAGAAAGAGCGTCTAAGATTTTTGGCTTTCAGCAGTAAATTGTAAGCATATAGCAATATGTGTGTCATAAAACATGTTCTGTTAATTTGAGGGGAACTGTAAAATGTGTGTGTATATATATATATATATATATATATATATATATATATATATATACACACATACACACACACACACACACACACACACCTAAAATAAAAAAACTAGATTTATTTCATGCAGTTACTGAATAATTTGCCTTACAATCCTGTCATGTAAATTCAGATGGACAAACCAAAGTATACCCTGGAGAATAAGAGGTTACACTAAGGTAATACAGTGGTTATCATAATTTTTAACAGAGAAAAGTCTCACATTTGTGGGTTTCTTTGGCCTCTCGCCCAGCCATCTGCTGGTTTTCCTGTTTTTTGTCATAACTCTCTGTTTGGAGTCTCTGAAAAACCTCAGTTTGAGGGTCATGTAGCCCAAACACTTTGCCCTGACCCCTCTATCTCAACAAGAACCAGGACACCCTACCCCTAGACGTGAACGCGCAAAACGGAGGGGTAGGGCTAAGTGGTGAAATGGGATCGGGCCTGAGAGGGAATCTCTTGTTTTGATCTGCAGTAGTGGTAACACAGTCACAGCTGGGAGTGACTTAGCGCTCGCTCTCCCTCCCAGGCTGAGAACGACTGCATGACAGGACAGGCGGAAACTGGTTATGACTAAGACTGGGAAGAATAAAATGAACAAATAAATAAATAAAAAAAGGCGAATGGCGGACGACGCGGAGCCTGGGCTGATCTGATGACCTCCACACAGGGCTGCGGCCGACTCCTACACACTGTCACGGACAATGCGTCATTGACAAAGTGGATATTAGAGAATGCTGGTCACACATAAGGACAAGTGCTACCATGGATTACACCGGAGAGCAGAGAATCCGCCAAGCAGGGGCTTTAGAAACCAGCAGAGTCAACACATTTTCCGGTTAGTTAAAGATGCAAGCTATGCCTCACTGTCAGCACAAAGCCGAGGAGACACGGCAGGAAGAGGATAAGAAACACAGAGTCGGCGCGAAGCGTTTATACCACCACAGAACGCTGAAGAACCGATTAGCGCTCTAGCACTCGGAAGGGAGTTCTTACGCTAAACACGACAAACTTACCCAAATAAAAAACAACATATAATTGCAGATCACTCTTAAAAATAAAAGGTGACCACAGAGGAACCACTTTTTTTTGTTTAAATGAAAAGCCACACACATTTACGCAAAATTAAATGGATAAGAAGTAAACAGAGTCGTTCAGAGTGGTTTGGTGTGAAACGCTCGGTTCAGGGTCAGAACTGTTCACAGTGGTGGTGATAGGAACCAGACGTCCACCTCTAAAAGCTCCCTCACAGAAAGTTACTACATGAAATGGTTATGAATTCACTGCCTGATGACTGAGACACTGTTTTGAGAAGGTTTTGGCCTAAAAGGCATTATTTGTCTAATTCATTCATGGCGCAGGGATACGTGCAGGGCGTTAGAAGGCCAAACGGTCTGCAAAGAAAGCTTTTTTTCCATATTTAAGCACAATTTTCCCATCATCAACATTCCATATAAACTCAGAAGACTCATGTAGGTTCACTGGTGGTTTTGGATAGTAAATAAAATGTCTATATTTGTGTTGTAGTCATGGCGACCCCTGGTTCCTATCACCACCACTGTAAAGACATCTGAACCATTTCACACCAAACCACTGAATCACTCTGTTTACATCTCAACCAGTAAATTATGAAATTTTGAAAAAAAATTGGTGGTATTCCCCTTTAACTCGGAGAGTCTGTGTAGAACCTGGACGATTAAATACATATAATATTATATGAAAATATATGAGAAATGTAAAATCTGGAGCAAACAAATGGAAATTGAAACAAATGCAAGACACTGATTCACTTTGACTCAGAGGGAGTTCATTCAGCACCGGTTATTTTCGCCGACCCCCCCCCACGATGACAGAGACCAAACCTGATTAAGATTTAATTACGCTGCGGATTCCCTGAATTATACATTTCCTAGTCAGAGTCAACGAAGGTGTATTTTTAGACCTGTAAACCTGCTACTGGAGTAGTAAAGACACTTAAAGGCACATTCAGAGTAATAATCAGTTATTGGAATTTTTATCTCCTTCAAATCAGTATTGGTCACACTTTCATACCGGTCGGGTCCCGATCACAACAGCTGTGATATTATTCACCATCACACTCCACCTCCACTGTTTCACTGCTTTCATTCAGCAAAAGTAAAAAAAGAAAGCAAACCAAAGTGGCCTTAACACTGTTTCACAAATACGTCTTTATTTCTGGCCACTTTTTCCACCAAAGAAAGTAGTTCCAGCAGCTTAGAGCCAAGTGACAATTGCTGTTGCTTAGCAACCAGTGGTCAGTGGAAGGACACAGGTATGGTGCTTTTATCAGATGTAACAACATATATTGAGCAACACTCGGACACGCCAACAGGTATAAACAACCAACCAAACCACACTCTGACTTGGTCTTTATGTTCATGTCGAATTAGTGTTCAGTACTGTTTATGTTCTTCAGTTACACACAAGGCCTCGTCCACATAATATGGATTATCACCACATATGTACTTTTAAAAACCTCCGTTTAAAATAAATAAATAAATAAAATCTATATCATTTACATTTTTATGCAAACACTAACAAGCATCCCAGCCCAGCAGGGGGAGGTAATACCCCATAGTCAGCTATTAACCAGCTTCTTGTTGACTTTTCCCATTCCACCTTAAACAATTTAAGGTGGAACGAGAAAATTTGAACAAGAAGCTGGTGAATATCTGACTTCAGCTTCATATCACTGAAGAATTAGGGGTGGGTGATAATAAATAATTGCCCCCCCTCTTTGAAGATCATATGATTCCCTAAATGTAACTAAAGTCCAGCAGTGAGGAGCTGAACTTTACCCTCCTCTGCTGTCACTGCAGACTGGCAGGGTCGCCTACAGAGCAGCGCTGGTAGCTGTTAATGAAGTGATGCTCTTTTTATTTGAGGGTCCCATTTCAGAGGGAAGATTTCAACCACTACCCCTTTTAACTCTGCTCTAAGGGGCAAGGAGGCACTCGAAAACAAGGGGTAGGGGTAAAAAAAGAAATGGGACTGGGCCAAAGAATCGATTATATTCCCGATCCCTGTACATCACCCTTCTGGGTCAGAGAACTTGTGCCTGGTCAAAGGCAGCAGCTGGAATGCAGTAATACATAATCCACCCTTTTACATCGCGTACGACCTCACTTCCTGTTGTTGTTCATTGCTCCAAAGCCATATCTGCTCTGAACAGCCCAGCGGGGACAGGAAGTCCACTTTCATCGCGTCGCAGTTTAGGAATAATGCACTTCCACTTTCTTAGCCATGGTACGACAGGCCGAGCGGAGACGCAGTTCAGAGAAGTCGTTTCACTTCTTTTATCTCTGATGTTCGAAGACAAACACACTGACTTTAAAGGGGAACCAATTCGTTTTTTGCTGCATCATTAAGTGGTTAAGATGTTAAAGTCATTCAGAGTGGTTTGGTGTGAAACGCTCTGTTCTAGAGAAACTTACCGAGTCAGAACTGTTCACAGTGGTGGTGATAGGAACCAGACGTCCACCTCTAAAAGCTCCCCTCACAGAAAGTTACTACATGAAATGGTTATGAATTCACTGCCTGATGACTGAGACACTGTTTTATGGTAGTTTTGAGAAGATTTTGGACTAAAACATATTCTTTAAACCTATTCGAGGTGGAGGGATACATGCAGGGTGTTGTGAGACAAAATAATCCCCAAAGAAAACTTTTATTTTTATTTTTTCAGCCCTTCTGCTATTTTACATAAACACACTAAAAAAAATTGGATTTGGATAGTAAAAAAAATTGGCTATAAACTACTATCTTGGCTATAATTAAATACACACACACATACATACACATATATATATATATATATATATAATATATATATATATATATATATATATATATATATATATATTCCTAGTAAGAAAACGGTTCTATACGGAACCATGAACGCTCAAAGAGCCCTCAGCATGACTAAAGGGTTCTTTGAGAGTCCATGGCTCCACATAAAACCATTTTCTTTACTAAAGAACCTCTGAGGAACCATCTTTTTTAAGACTGTAGGTCACCATCCTCTGCGTTCGGTCTGTGTCATCTGTCAAAATATAAGGTTAGCGTTTTAAATAAAGACTTCTGGCCTAATGGTCAGTCGCCATAGCTGTATCCCAATTCAGGGGCTGCATCCTTCGGAGGCTGCATCTGAAGGCCGACTGCGTCACAGCGGCGCGACTAGACCGTCCCATTTCGAAGGCTCCTTTATATGCGACCGAGAAATGTGTCCTCTTCATGGCAACGAAGGATCCAACGGGTGGATTTGACATGGAGCTTGTGAACTGCTGTGACATCACAACCACCACTGTTTAGGCTGTCGTACTGTGTCACGAGTTCAAGTCTCAAGCCAGAAAAAAAAAACAAATTCTGGTTTTCTAAGCCAAAAAAGGCCTGAACCTCAGTTTCTACATCAATTATAAACAATTACAATTTAAACTGTAATCGCAATATTGGTCAGAAAAATCACAATTAGATATTTTGCCAAAATCGTTCAGCGCTAATCCTTAGTGTCTACAATAAACCATTCCACACCAGACCAATTTTGGGGGAACGCCCCTCTACGTTCACTATACAGGGTGATTCAAAAAGATTCATCCGATTTCAAAGCGACATATTTTTACAACCGTGAGGTGCCTAGGAACCAATCACAATCCAATTGAAGAAGGGGGTCATAGAGTTTCTGACTGTCAGTGGAAGACAGCTCCCTTCAGTCTGAGAGGAGACGAGACCCCTGAGCAGAAAGCGTTCTGCGTTCTCCACTTCAATAAGAGTGAATCCGTCATAACTGTGCAGTGTGATTTTCGTGGGCAGTGAAGCTCCAACAGCTCAGAGCGTTCATCGTTGGTTCCACAACACTGGATGATCTCCGAAATCGCATTGAAAGAGCCGTGAGTGCAGCGACACCCGACATGCTCAATCCAGTATGGGATGAGTTTGACTATGGCGTTGATGTTGTCCGTACAGCTGGAGGAGGTTCATATTGAGCACTTGTACAATTACATAATAAACTTCATTCTCATATAAACCATTTACAGTTTACAGTCAATCGTTTTGAAATCAGATGAATCTTTCTGAATCCTGTATTCTCACATGCATGGAGACTCAAAGCGCCCAGCGTCTCTGCGCATCTGCAAAAGCAGTGATTTGCTTTTCAGTACTTTGATCTCGACGTTAAGATTAAAAGAGGAGAGAAAGCCACTGTTCTCCCATCACGAGTGATGTAACACACTTATACGCATTACAGCAGGTTAGACATCCACACGGCTGAACCAACTGGCTGTTGCTAAGAGAAGAATAAAAGCGTTTTCTGGAGTTTGCTGCAGGTCAAGTGCTTCCCTTACATCTCCACCGCCGTTAAAGATGAATAAAACAAAGGCTGTTCTTCATTCTCACGCATTTAAAGAGCAGAAGGCTTTGACACCACACTGTAAATCCAACAGGTCGCAGTGTTTAGGCGAGTAAGGCTGTGTAATTGTGAACTAACTGAGGAAACCATGACATCAAATAAACACGAATATTAAAGAATACAATCAGAGCAATGAAGGTTTTTGAAACATTTGCATTAGAACCTTCTAAACAGGGATGTTTCTAATTACAGTCACTAAAGGTGCTTTTTATCATTTGAGAAACGTCACTAAAGTTCAGCCTTTTCTCTCTCAGAGCGACGCAGAGAAACTTGTTCATGCATTTGTTACAAGCAGAGTTGATCACTGTAATGATCTTCTTACTGGACTTACTAGAACAATACATCCCTTAGAACTTTAGAACTTAAGTAGCATCTAAAAATTACGACCACCTCCTTGTTTCTACGCTCATTGTCCATTTTATCAGCTCCACTTACTATATAGGTGCACTTTGTAGTTCTACAGTTACAGACTGTAGTCCATCTGTTTCTCTGATACTTTCTTAGCCCCCTTTTACCCTGTTCTTCAGTGGTCAGGACCCCCATGGACCCTCACAGAGCAGGTACTATTTAGGTGGTGGATCATTCTCAGCACTGCAGTAACACTGACGTGGTGGTGGTGTGTTAGTGTGTGTTGTGCTGGTCTGAGTGGATCAGACGCAATGCGCTGCACTACAGTCCCCAACGTAATGTGCGCTCTGACTCTCCTACTTCAACAACAATCTCTGGGACAGCGGTTACACCTCAATTCTACACAATTCTACACCAGTCATATCACCAAAACGCATTTCAGCTGCACTTCAACTACTTAACGTCAGCTCAGATATTGAGGCCAAGTTTAATGAACTTGCAGCAAACCAGGTGTCAAACAAATAGGTTGGTTTAAAGGAGCTCCTTCATGTAATATTTCAAGGTCTACTACAAGTGACTGTATTTTACTGCTGATGTTTTTGTGCATTTTGAATAAACAATGGCTTGTTTGGGTTACAGCACAACATTAATTAAAAATGAAATAAAAACTGTTTTTTTTCCTGGCCCACAGATTTGTGTTCGATTTTTAAATATGGCCCTTTAGTGGCTGAGTTAGACACACCTGCTCTAAACCATCTGTTTTTTGTTTTGCAATCTAGTTCATAACATTTCAATCTACAGTGTATTGGTAAAATAACTACTCTTACATGACAAGCGATACACTTACGTATGCTCGTGCACCGACATTCCCTTCAGGATGAACAAAGCTTCTGTCTGACTTACTCTGTTATTAGGCAATAGAACGCTTAGTGTATTATTACTCATCAGGTGAAACAGAAAAACAGAACACAGCTCTATTTAAAAGATATATGGCCCTAAAAAGACATTAAAGTCACTAAAAACACCAAAAATAGCGACTAAAGCAATAGTTAATCTGAGTATTATAATTCTGACTGAAAGCAAAACAGCATGAATGATATCCAACCTCAAAATAATGTGGATCAAAGCACAAAAAAATCCATAAAACAAACCTAAACAGTCATACCAGGAGAAATTCCACCAAATTTTCAAAATTTTGCACAATTTCATTGTTCACAGTGGTTTGCTATGAAACTGTCCATTGTCAACGAAGTTACAGCCTCTTTCTTTACAGTGGTGATGATGGGAACCAGGGGTCGCCATGACTACAACACAAATATAGACATTTTATTTACTATCAAAACCACCAGTGAACCTACACGAGTCTTCTGAGTTTATATGGAATGTTGATGATGGAAAATAGTGGAAAATCTGAAATAATTAGTTTTCTTTGAGGACTATTTGGCCACATAACTCCCTGCAGGTATCCCTCCACCAAGAATGGATCTTAAAAACAATGCATATTAGGCCAAAACCGTCTTAAAATTATCATAAACAGTGTCTCAGTCATCAGGCAGTGAATTCATAACCATTTCATGTAGTAACTTTCTGTGAGGGAGCTTTTAGAGGTGGACGTCTGGTTCCTATCACCACCACTGGGAACGGTTCTGACTCGGTAAGCTTCTCTACAACGGAGCGTTTCACACCAAACCGCTCTGAATGACTTTATTTACATCTTATCCACGTAATTAAGTTGAACTTTTGAACATTTAGTGGTTTTCCCCTTCAACCCAGCAGTGCTGCATTGCTGGGACTTGTCCACCAACAACCGTTAGCCAGTTAGCTTAGCCAGTGCTTAGCTAAACCACACGGCAGAGTAAATAAACTTTGGCTGAGCTTGAGCTCCACATTTCCGCTGCTAATGAGATAAAAGAGCTATTTTTAAACGCTTTTACGCTCACATGTTGTAGCGGTGGTGATGCAGATGGGCTTAAAAGTGTGGACCTGATGCTAAAAATTACACGAAGCCGAAGTTAGCGTCTTATTTTTAATTTCACCGTTCCACCTTAAATAGTGCAGCAGTTGCATTCAGGCGCTGTGCGGGAGCCACAAGCGCCAGAATGTAACCGCTGCACCATTTAAGGTGGAACGGAAAAATTCGAAAAAGAAGCTGGCGAATAGCAACTTCAGCCTCGCAAAAAATAACTGCTAATGCTTCGGATTATTGTTAAGAGTCACAGCAGCAGTTGAGCAGCGTAGTGTTGATCTGTTGCTGCACCTCGGTGCAAAACGCAAGATTTTGAGAATAAAAACAATCAAAATGCTTCCTAATCTGTCTGATGAGGATTATATAGGTTGTTTTAACTCACCGCTGCGGTGGCCATCCTCACTCACAGCGCCATGCAGCTCCTCCTCCAGCTCCAGCTCCAGCTCCAGCTCCTTCAGCGGGGTGCTCTAGCCAGCGCGGCGGTTTGGGCTCACCCTGCAGAGGCAGAGCTGCGCGTAGTCTCCGCGGGTCTCCGGATCTCTGCTACAGGCCCACAGGCTCTAAAGATGGCCTCTAAACTAGAGCGGGGAAAGCGAGTCAACCCTGCTTCACCACGGCAGTGAGAAGGGGGCGGAGCGTGGCATAATTATCCGCTATATTATAACAGCGGCACCGCCTCCTTAGCCCCGCCCATAGCTCCGCCTAACGGGCGTGGTTACGGGCGGGGCGAAGGGGCGGCACTGCTGCTCCAATGTTGCATAGTTTAGGATTAGTTGCAACGCCCGATTAATTAGAAGTTAAGATGAAAGAACACACTGTTTTTAATAATTATTATTTTAATAATAGTAATTTAACATTATTTACTTTTGCAAATTATGTATGTTTTTTTCTTCAAAATCATCATAATAACAATAATGATAATAATATAGATTAGTCCAGGTGGATGTTGGAGAGGGTCTAGATTAGTCGAAATGGATGTTGGAGAGGGCCTAGATTAGTCCAGGTGGATGTAGGAGAGGGTCTAGATTAGTCTAGGTGGATGTTAGAGAGGATCTAGATTAGTCGAAATGGATGTTAGAGAGTCTAGATTAGTCCAAGTGGATGTTGGAGAGGGTCTAGATTAGTCCAGGTGGATGTAGAAGAGGGTCTAGATTAGTCCAAGTGGATGTTGGAGAGGGTCTAGATTAGTCCAGGTGGGTGTTGGAGAGGGTCTAGATTAGTCCAATTGGATGTTAGAGAGTCTAGATTAGTCCAAGTGGATGTAGGAGAGGGTCTAGATTAGTCCAGGTGGATGTTGGAGAGGGTCTAGATTAGTCCAGGTGGATGTTGGAGAGGGTCTAGATTAGTCCAGGTGGATGTAGAAGAGGGTCTAGATTAGTCCAAGTGGATGTTGAAGAGGGTCTAGATTAGTCCAGGTGGGTGTTGGAGAGGGTCTAGATTAGTCCAATTGGATGTTAGAGAGTCTAGATTAGTCCAGGTGGATGTAGGAGAGGGTCTAGATTAGTCCAGGTGGATGTTGGAGAGGGTCTAGATTAGTCCAATTGGATGTTGGAGAGGGTCTAGATTAGTCCAGGTGGATGTTGGAGAGGGTCTAGATTAGTCCAGGTGGATGTTGGAGAGGGTCTAGATTAGTCCAGGTGGATGTTAGGTGGATGTTGGAGAAGGTCAAGATTAGTCCAGGTGGATGTAGGAGAGGGTCTAGATTAGTCCAGGTGGATGTTGGAGAGGGTCTAGATTAGTCCAGGTGGATGTTGGAGAGGGTGTAGATTAGTCCAGGTGGATGTTGGAGAGGGTCTAGATTAGTCCAAGTGGATGTTGGAGAGAGTCTAGATTAGTCCAAGTGGATGTTGGAGAGAGTCTAGATTAGTCCAGGTGGATGTTAGAGAGGGTCTAGATTAGTCCAGGTGGATGTTAGGTGGATGTTGGAGAAGGTCAAGATTAGTCCAGGTGGATGTAGGAGAGGGTCTAGATTAGTCCAGGTGGATGTTGGAGAGGGTCTAGATTAGTCCAGGTGGATGTTGGAGAGGGTCTAGATTAGTCCAAGTGGATGTTGGAGAGAGTCTAGATTAGTCCAAGTGGATGTTGGAGAGAGTCTAGATTAGTCCAAGTGGATGTTGGAGAGGGTCTAGATTAGTCCAGGTGGATGTTGGAGAGGGTCTAGATCAGTCCAGGTGGATGTTGGAGAAGGTCAAGATTAGTCCAGGTGGACGTTGGAGAGAGTTTAGATTAGTCCAAATGGCTGTTGGAGAGAGTCTGGATTAGTCCAAGTGGACGTTGGAGAGGGTCTAATCGGTCCAGGTGGATGTTGGAGAGGGTCTAGATTAGTCCAAATGGCTGTTGGAGAGAGTCTGGATTAGTCCAAGTGGATGTTGGAGAGGGTCTAATCGGTCCAGGTGGATGTTGGAGAGGGTCTAATCGGTCCAGGTGGATGTTGGAGAGGGTCTAGATTAGTCCAGGTGGATGTTGGGGGACATCAGTATGTTCAGAAATCTGACCGCCTCTAGGAAGAAGCTGTTACAGTGTCTGGCAGGAGGGTGAAGAGTCTGTGAAGGGGGGGGGGTCATCCACAATGCTGGCAGCCTTGCAGATGCAGCACTTGTGGTAGGAGGTGTCAGTGGTGGGTAAAGGCACCCTGATGATCTTCTCAGCTGTCCCCACAATCCGCTGTAGGGTCCTGCAGTGCGGTCCCCAAACCAGACAGCGAGGCGGCTGGTCAGGACACTCTCTACTGCCCCCTGTAGAATGCAGCGAGGACGGAAGAGGGGCGGTTTGCTCTCTTCATCCTTCACAGGAAGTGAAGTCTCTGCTGGGCTTTCTCAGCTAAGCCGGTGGTGTTGAGGGTCCACTATAACTGTCTTTTATTCTGGAATGTGAAGGACAGTAATGAGTTTAGGAACATCATTAAGCAGAGTGTGAAGAGGCCTGAGCTCCACAGAGCAGCTGTAGCTCATATGTGGGTTTAGAAATGTCTCACTTACTGATGCTGATATCTATATAACAACAGCTCAGTCTCTGATCATCACGGCAGGTGGCTTCTGAGTTAAACTGCACTTCAGCGTCACATAAAGAAAACACAAAAAATCTCATTGTAGCTGAAATAACTTCTTATTAAATTAGATTTTTATTATGGGGTGAATTAATGTTATGATTTGATTGATGGAATCTAAATGACTGACTGTTACTGTTCATTTATTATCGTTTTTTGTTTCTTGTTAATTCCTTCTCTACGTCACCTGCAGCTGGAGATTTCTACCGCTTTAAGAGAGTCTGTTTAAGTTTAGTGGTTGCCACACATGAATAAAAACATGGCAGTTTGTTCAACCAATTTAGGTTGAAACACGATTCTCTGAATACTTTACATAAATATTTCAGACGTACATGTTTGCTCTCAGTGGGCAGTCCTGGTCCAGACTGTTTACCGAGCAGTGCTTTCCCAAGAAGAGCACATTTAAAATCCATAAATTAACTCAGCCAGCCTGGCAAATGGGCTCCAGCAGAAAGTGGGTAAATACCTGAGAGAGATGCATTAATAAAGCTGGACTTCAAACTAACACAAAACAGCAGTTTTTAAAACCCTTTTAAAACCTTGTTTTTGTCGCCACCCAGTGGACACTCGGTGTTCTTAAGCTGTTCCGGTCGCTGTGTTGCTGAGTGGTGGGTCTTAAGGAGAAATACTGCTTTGAGAGCTCACACAGCTGACGTATCAGACATATCAGACACAGCAGACACATCAGACTCTGGAGGTCTTGCAAGGTCACAGCACTGAGTTTATTATTCAGCTTCATTTAACATATCGGATTAAGCATGTATCTGACTGAGCATGTATGTATCTATCTATCTATCTATCTATCTATCTATCTATCTATCTCTGTCTGTCTGTCTGTCTGTCTGTCTATCTATCTATATCTGTCTGTCAGTCTGTCTATCTATCTACAGTGGTGTGAAAAAGTGTTTGCCCCCTTCCTGATTTCTTATTATTTTGCCTCTTTGTCAAACTTAAATGTTTCAGATCACCAAACAAATTTAAATATTAGACAAAGATAACGCAAGTAAACACAAAATGCAGTTTATAAATGAAGGACTTTATTATTAAGGGAAAAAGAAATCCAAACCTACAGGGCCCTGTGTGAAAAAGTGATTGCCCCCTAAACCTAATAACTGGTTGGGCCACCCTTAGCAGCAACAACTGCAATCAAGCGTTTGCGATAACTGGCAATGAGTCTTTTACAGCGCTGTGGAGGAATTTTGGCCACTCATCTTTGCAGAATTGTTGTAATTCAGCCACATTGGAGGGTTTCCGAGCATGAACCGCCTTTTTAAGGTCATGCCACAGCATCTCAATCGGATTCAGGTCAGGACTTTGACTAGACCACTCCAAAGTCTTAATTTTGTTTTTCTTAAGCCATTCAGAGGTGGACTTGCTGGTGTGTTTTGGATCATTGTCCTGCTGCAGAACCCAAGTGCGCTTCAGCTTGAGGTCACGAACAGATGGCCGGACATTCTCCTTCAGGATTTTTTGGTAGACAGGTAGAATTCATGGTTCCATTTACCACAGCAAGTCTTCCAGGTCCTGAAGCCGCAAAACAGCCCCAGACCATCACACTACCACCACCATATTTTACTGTTGGTATGATGTTCCTTTTCTCAAATGCTGTGTTACTTCTACGCCAGATGTAACGGGACATACACCTTCCAAAAAGTTCACCTTTTGTCTCGTCAGTCCACAGAGTATTCTCCCAAAAGTCTTGGGGATCATCAAGATGTTTTCTGGCAAAACTGAGACGAGCCTTAATGTTCTTTTTGCTCAGCGGTGGTTTTCATCTTGGAACTCTCTTGGGGTCTCTTTCTTATGGCGGAGTCATGAACACTGACCTTAACTGAGGCAAGTGAGGCCTGCAGTTCTTTGGATGTTGTTGTGGGGTCTTTTGTGACCTCTTGGATGAGTCGTCGCTGTGCTCTTGGGGTAATTTTGGTTGGCCGGCCACTCCTGGGAAGGTTCACCACTGTTCCATGTTTTCACCATTTGTGGATAATGGCTCTCACTGTGGTTCGCTGGAGTCCCAAAGCTTTAGAAATGGCTTTATAACCTTTTCCAGACTGATAGATCTCAATTACTTTGTTTCTCATTTGTTCCTGAACTTCTTTGGATCGCAGCATGACGTCTAGCTTTTGAGGATCTTCTGGTCTACTTCACTTTGTCACGCAGGTCCTATTTAAGTGATTTCTTGATTGAGAACAGTTGTTGCAGTAATCAGGCCTGAGTGTAAACTGCATTTTGTGTTTACTTGTGTTTACTTGTGTTTACTTGTGTTTACTTGTGTGATCTTTGTCTAATATTTAAATTTGTTACATTTAAGTGTGACAAACATGCAAAAGAATAAGAAATCAGGAAGGGGCAAACACTTTTTCACACCACTGTATCTATCTATCTGTCTATCTATCTGTCTGTCTGTCTGTCTGTCTATCTATCTATCTATCTATCTATCTGTCTGTCTGTCCGTCCGTTCGTCTGTCTATATCTGCCTGTCTGTCTGTCTGTCTATCTGTCTATCTATATCTGTCTGTCTGTCTATCTATCTATCTATCTTTCTGACTGTCTGTCTGT